ATCCATGGACCCCGACAGATAATAGTAACTAAAATTAAGACCGAAAAGGGAAAACAATCGAGCATAGATTCGGTTGAAGTCCCGCTCGTCTTCACACTGTCTCTCTTCTGTCTCTGCTTCTGTATCCGAGTCTGTCTTCCCCTTTCCCATCTTGGGTGATACCTATTACTCACTTGGGTATTCTTGGAGTTGGGGGAACTGCGTAGGTGGTAGTTTAAGGGGCAATTGACTAACTAGACGGTTAATAGGGGAGGAGAGTTCGGTCAATTGGGGGCTCATGGATTAGGCAGTCGAGCCATTGAATGTCTGTGCGAAAGGGGGAAGGGGGGTAAAATAATTCCTTTTCTTTTTATTGCGTATTCCTTCAGAATGGCATCGTGTCGTTTTTCCCCACGAAGGATGATAGTGTCTATCTTTGGTTCAACTGCCTCGGGATCGAACGATCCCGTGGGTTAGTCTTAGGAGGTTCGTTCAATCCCCCCCCCCTCCTCCCTCGGTTGCCTCTTTGGGGGGAGGAAGGAGAAGGGAATGATCCCTTTTCCATCTTCCCTTCGATCATGATCTCAAACGCATGTTGCTTTTTTTAAATATACCATATCCACTTTGGGGGAAGATGACGATGACGATGATGTTGCTACTGCAGCTGCGGCGGCGGGACACGACAGATGGGAAAGGTGTCAATGTCAATTCATACTACTACTTACTTACTTACACATACACAGCATACACACGCACAAGCTTGGTTCTGGTTCCATAGGGCCGATTGCTATGTAGGATTGCTATCGGGAAAAGAGCCGTAAGGCGGATCCCAGGATTCAGGATGATAAATCCTGAGACTTGTTAACTACTATTACCTGTTTACTCCGTAAGGCCTTTTTTTGGGGCCGAGGAGCGAGGTCCAGGCATACTTGAGGTAGTAGTATTTAGTATCATAGTGGCTGACTGTTACCTTAAACCTCTGGCTGAACGGAAGAATATCTGACACCGGTAATGATTGTGTCAATCAGTATTGATCCTACAGCTAAAACAAATGTCCTCGGGCAGGGCCAATGGAAAATTCACCCATTTACTTCCCGAAGGAAGAAAAAGAAAAGAAGACAAAGTTTTTCAACGGCGAACGTGGGCGGGACAAGAAAATAAAAATGCTAAGAAAAAAAACAAAAAAAGAAAAGACAGAGATGAAAAATGAAATAAGTTGAAATAAAATAAAATGAAATAAAATAACAACATAGATTTACCATTTTGAGTTTTTTTTATTTTTTGACTGACTGACCCTGCTGCTGGCTGAAGCGGTTGTTTACCTTACGGCATCCGATGCAGTGTTGGGAGAGGGGGGAGGGAGGAGGGAGGAGGAAAATACGCTCAATACCCCTGCCGTCCCGTGTTGTTGGTGTACCGTAAAATAAGTCTGGAACTGGGCTGGGATTGACATCGCCAGTATTTGATGATCGTCTCGTCTCGCTCCTTTCCCTCCATCTACAATTTCTACTACTAGTATAGTCCTCTTCCCTCCCCCCCCCTCTCTCCTTCACACTCTCTCTGTCTCTTCTTTCTCTGTTCTAGCCTACCCCGTCTCAATTTCTTTCCCTTCATCTTAGTGTGGGTTTCGTAGTAGTTTGTTGCTGCTCTTTTTATAGTGCTGGTTGTGATCGTTGTCTTTTCCCGGTTCACCCAGTGTTTTACCCTCGTTTTCCCCAGAATTTAATCCCATACCTTACTACTTACTACTACTTTTACTATTTCACTACTTCACTATCTACGGACTAGTCCCGACCCATCATTCCTTTTCGTTGGTACTGCGGCCACTAGTTTGGGTCCGTCCAGTAAAAACCACTTGCTCCCTAAACTGTTATTGCGACAGCGACGGCTGGAACTTTACTTTACGGCTCATTTACTCCATCCTTTGCCCACATCTGTTGTCTCCATATCTTCTTCACACGCTCTCTCTTGATTTCTCTTACTTACTCGTACTCTCTCCACTATCTTTCTCTCTCTCTCTTTGCTTTCCCCTCTTGCAATTGATCTATCATTTCCATTTTCCTTTTGTTTTCCCCTCCCCCATCATCTCATTCCTTCTTGTCAATTGTGACCCAAATTTTTGGATACGTTTCCCGCAGCCGTTTCAACTTTCAATCTAAAACACTCAAGAAACTTTCCGTGGCTCTCGACACGGGGCATGCGCTTTCAACCTCGATCTTGAAAACCCGCCAATCTTCAGCTCGTCGGTGCTCTCGACTGCCTTGTGTCTCCCCAGCTCTCTGGTGTGCGGCATCTTTTCCCTACCATGGTCAAAGCTAGGACCATCCCATCACAATCGGAGGCTTAACGGTCGCTCACTTGCTTCGCCTTGCTCATTTGGCCGCCCCCACGACTCGGTCATCGCCCACCTGGATTCCCTGATATATAGTCAACATACCATCCCTCTGTTCCCCTGATGCAGGCTTCCCACCCGCCAGTGTCCATTCACACCATGTCCCAGCAGGATCTGGACCGTCCCTCTGCCAGAGCACCCCATAACGAGTCCCCCGAACCATATTCGGTCCACACCCGCTCCAGGTCAACTGCACATGCGCATAGTCCTAAGCGGCTGTCCGTGTTCAGTGGCCGCTCTCGCAGTAACACCACCAACTCCACCACCTCTTCCCGCCGTTCCCCCGCGTCTTCCATGACTTCCGTGGATGCAGCGTCGCTGCCTTCGCATGATGACCGGGCAACCTCGGCGGCTGGTGTCCGTCATGAACGGCCCGAGAGCGTGACCAAGTCGCTCCTTTCGCGGGGAAGCCGGATCCTCCGTCGTCAGGGAAGTAAGTTCCACATTGTCTCCACGCTGGACGAGGAGGATGAAATGGAGCGTGAAAAGCCTCGCTTTGAAGTCTCGGAGATCTTCAGCCGGAACAAGTCACGCCATAGTGATGCGCGTAAGTCACTCCTGTCACATGCGGATTGCGCTGTAATTATCGACATTGTATTCAATGCTCACACAATGGACTCGCCACAGATGACCAGCTGAAGAATCTCATCTCGGATCCTTTTGACTTCCACCATCTGACTCATACGAGCCCGTCCCAATTCCAATCGCTGGAAAAAGCCCGGGAGACTGACTTGGTCACTGAGTTCTCGGCCATTCGTGCCTCTCAGAGGCCTGTTACCAACCTGAAAGGAATTCGTGCTGAGGACCTGCACTTCCGTGACTTCTCCACGGAGGATCTTACTCAGTGTGGGACGGCCATTGGCTGTGACGACGTTGTTCCCCCTCCGCCAACTAGTCCACCAGCATCTCCAGGTGGTTCCTCGTCGGTGAGTCCCAAGCAGCGCGACCTCAGAGGACGAAGAGAATCGCGCGTCATTGAGAACTTCTCGCGGCCTGTCCCAAGGTTTCCTAGAGTTGGGTCAACCAGCCCGCCGCCGAGAGCCTCCTCCCCGAGGCTGGCATCCTCCCCTGAATTACCCGAGCCAGCTCCTCGCGCCATTGACGAGATCCTGGGTCTGTCAACCCAACCGACATACCCGGAGCACGTATACTCGCATACCGAGGATGTAGAACATGGTGCTCCTTGGCCGCAGATCCCTATGGAAGACATGTTCCAGCCTCCTTCGGGCCATTCCTTCCCGACCAGCGTCAACAACGAAGTGATGAATGCCCGCACCTCGTCAATGTCCTTACCCACTCTGTCGTCAGACTTGGAAGACGTGCCAGAAGAAGAGGAGCCGGCCCCCTGGCATGAAGGAGCCGGCCTCGAAACTGACGAGGTCTCTCCTCGCGCGCCTGTTATGTCAAGATCTCCACCTCTGTCTGAGGCGCAATCTCCATCCAACACTTCCCTGGCTGGCCCTAGGTCCGATTTGTCCATTTTTGTCGCCGAAGACTTGTCAAGAAAGTTCGCCGAGGCACTGGGTTCCCCCACCCTTCCACAGGATCGTATTGCACCACTGCAAGAGTCCATGGCTCGGGAGCCAGTCCGAAGGAGATCCTCAGTCAACTTGAAAGCCATCCAAGAAACTATATATGAGTCTTGGGACGCAGACATTGACTACTGCTATGAACACGCTGCCGAGTCGAATTGCAACTTTGACTGGACTCGCAGTTCACTTGACGAGGCTCGACAAGACGATGCGGAACACGGGGTTACTGGCGCAGATGGGAACACTGCGATGTTTGAACCAATGCGGCTGAGCGCGTCGGCCTTGCCCGCTGCGGACCTGGATCATGTCCCCAGCGCACAGGTAGTGGTTACCTCCACACTAGATGACAACACTGGCATTGCTGTGACGCAGCGGGACAGTGATTATTTTCAGCCTGTGAGGTTTGCCCCTACCTTGGGGAAACATATTAGCCCCGATTCGCTGTACGATGAGTATTTGACGGCGGACACGGAGTCAGACCGACACTTCGCCTTCTACTCGCAGCCAGGTGTGATCCAGCCTATGGACCAGTCTGTGTCTCCCCGGAGCAGCTTTTCCCCCATCAGCAAGTGTAACTCCCAGGAAAGTTTGATCCTGTCCCGCGCCGCGTCGGTGGTCCGCAAACATCGTTCCTCCGTATCGACTGCTAGTGTTCCTGATCTGGTGCACAGTTTGGCAAGCAGCCGTGAGTTCCACCCATCTGAGCAGAGACTCTCAGGTGAACTTTCAGGAATGGGGCGCCCCGAATCTTCCCATCACCGGCAGACCAAGAGCCTGGCCCGCGAAGTTGAAGCCCAGCTTCTTTTCCGAGCCGATGGCGACGCAAGCCCCGAGCCTTCAGGCTATGCGTCCACCGTGGGTCCTTCCATCCACGACAGAGCCAAGTCCACCACTGAAGTGGAGGCAGGCCCATTGATTGCCAGAGCCATCAAGAATGATGCTGCCTCTAGGGCCGCCCCTCGGCGCAAGGGCCGAGCATCCTATTCTCTCTTCCCCACTCCTGCAGCCAATTGAGCTGCAATCAACCCGACGACAACTTGCATCCATCACAGACCCCTTGTTCTCAGCATTCTGCAACATTCCGTTCCTCATCCGTTCACTTATAGAACTTCTTCAACGACTTGATGATTCTTTTTTTCCCTCATTGTGGTGGCTTGCGTTTCGATTTCTCTGCGATGAATGTTGTCTATTGAACCGTCATTCGGTCCCAATCTTGCGGGCCATGCGCTTATGTTTTCTTTGTTATTTCCTCAGATTTTCTTCACTTGCATTTCCTGGTGCATTTCTCAGCGACTGTTTTCCTCGGGAAGAAAAAATCTTGGGTGTTTTTCTGGCAATGGAGGATTTGGAAAGGACAGTGAACGGGGTTTCAGTCGGAGAACATTCGTTCGGATTTATATTTTTCATTTTGTTGGTCTCGGTTTTTGTCTGGGTAGTTGCTGCAATTGCAGTGGCACTTGTGTTGTTCAACATCCATTGTCGATTTAGGTCTGTGTCAGTATATAGATAGAGCAGGAAGGGATAACTGGGTCTGTCTGGGAAGAGTTGTTTGATACGAGGTTTACACGCGGGCAAACCGTGGAGAGGAAAAAGTGATGATTATAACATTTGATATTACTGTCACTATAGCATGGATGGCGCTATTCATTGATTCAGTTTTCATGTACTGGGAATTGCAGTAGCAGACGTTGAAACAAGTAAGCCCACGTGCATCAGGCTAGACCAAACCACCTGATCGCCATGTGACGACAGCTCTCACCGCCAATCAGGGCGGTCTGGATATTCTGCCAGTAGTGTGCTCCCTCCCTCTGCTGATGTCGGGGATCGCTCTTTCCATCTTCGTCATCCACGCTTGGTCGCAGACGAGCATGTCGTCTTCCTTCTTCCTTCGCCTCTTCATCATTTAGCAACCTTCTTTTTCGATACTTCTACGCTTATGTCTTTGTTTCACCCGCAATCACCAGTCATGTCTGCCGACTCGCAGGCTCTGACCAAGCGTCAAAGCGAAACCAGCCTTATGCCCCCGCCGCCGCCACCCAAGCGTATCAAGCGGCCGGCCACTGTGTTGGACGAAGATATCTACACCAATGCTCTGTCGGAGATTATCGCGCGTGATTATTTTCCCGGTCTCCTGGAGGCCCAGGTGAAGCAAGAGTACTTGGATGCGCTTGATTCGAAAAACAAACAATGGATCGCAAGCTCCAAGAAGAAATTGACCGACCTGTTGAAGACACCGGGAAGAGCTCGATCGTATTCCGGATCAGCCAATATGACACCACGAGCCACCAATTCGGGACGCCCTGAAGACACCCCGATGGGCTGGGGTGGAGATACACCGATGTCAGTCATGTCAACAACTTCGTCATCTACTACACCCAACGTCGACCATGCTACGATACCGGATGTGTCTCGCCTTGGGCTGCTAGAGTTCCAGGCCAAATATACGAGTGAAGATAATGAGTCGTTCAACAAGCTGCTCGATAAACAAAATGAAAAGCACCGCGAGAGATATAAATGGTTGTGGAGTGGGAATAAAATACCGACTGCTAGACAGATTGCGCATCGGCGGCAAGAAGCTAAGCGAATTGAGGCACAAGGGGGTAACCCAGATCAGCTCAAGCAGGTGGCCATAAAGACTGACCTGGACGCCCGGCCCGCAAATCCAGATACCTGGAAGACTCAACCCGAGAACTCGCTCATGTTTGCGCCTTCTTCCATAGAGGACTCTTATGAAACTATACAGCAAAAAGCCGAAGCATCATCGCGCGCAGGGCCCAAGCGGGTAGTGTTTCAGAACACACGGTTACCAGATGAGAGCGTCCAGCAGACGTCATCTGCCACAAATGCACCCCCGCCCTCACCTTCGATATCGGCCATTAAAGATGCTATTGCCGGACACCCTCGCCCCACCGAATCTGAAGCAGTATATACAGGGGGTGAGACGCCACGAGTGAATGGGTATGCCTTTGTTGATGAGGATGAGCCTGAATATCCCCTCGCTTCATCAAATGACAATAACGATTCTGCGATTTCTCTGGATGATATTCGCCTGCTTGGCGGCAGTGATGCCACACCGAATCCTTTTGAGATCAAAGAAAACCGGAGACGAGAAGATATTCACCACCGCATGGTAGATCGCGTAGCGAGGTCTAAGCGAGCGGAGAAGTCCCTTCGCGAAACAAAGACCCCTGTAACGCCACGGTTCGCCAGCAGCCCACGACTGGACTTTGGTTTGCGCACCCCAAGTGCAGCTACGCCAGGAGGGAGGACGAACAAAGCGTTGACTCCCGCAGCACAGAAGTTACTTCACCAGGTGGGAAGTACGCCTCGTCTAGCGGCATCGTCCTCAAGTTCATCTCTGAGGAACATGTGGACACCGACCCCGAAAAGGGGCAAATAATGTGGTGTCTGCTTTCATACAAATTTCTCTCTTTCCTTCTGAAAGCAAAATGAGTTAGCGCTTGTGTTTCGACTTGACATTATTAGATACCAGGGATTATCGCGGCGTCATGAAAGGGGATTATATGCTATCATGAGTTAATGGTTAGAAGGGTTCGACATTTTTACTACAACAGTTGCCGTCTACATTTGGGCATCTGTCATATGGCAATGTATATACTAATTCAAAATTGTGAGGTTTACTACTAGCTAGCTGCCTTTGGTCTAGTGTTTGAGACAGATCAAGGCAAGTGTAAAGACTTTTTTTGGGTGTAGAGAAGACAGGCCCACCTGCCAACTATAAGCAAGTGTATTTTTACAGCTTACGTCTCAAAACACTTCTCATCTAGGGGCCATGTTAGGTGAAAATAACAGATACGAACTCCAGGCTGTAACATACAAGCCATCCTTACGCAGAGGGGGTATCTATTCGCATCTTCGTATCAGCTATGCACATGCAATGCCTCTCTGATCCAGCATTATGGCTTCACCATCTATGCCCGCTCCAAACATAAAGCAGACGATCTATGTATTCCACACTATACATACCCGATGCATGTCGACTAACGAAATAAGAAAATAGAGAAAGAATAAGGAATTCAAAGATTCTGGGGAATAGTAACACTCATTCGAATTAATTTGCGTGCGAAAAACTCCTACTACCCAAGGACCCAGAACAAAGTCCAAACACTTATCACCATATAGAGGGAGATCCAGATGCTCTCATGCAAACTAGAAACAGCATTAAGGTAATATGCTGCTCCAAGATAACTGCACGTGATGTCACCATTAGGGTCGCGTGTGCCGTACGACATATTCGCCCGCGGGCCTTCCGGACAGCTGAAGCCTAAAATCGAAGGACAATTTCGGACAAGGCTATGACAGACGCCCTGGCAGGGGAGAACTTCCTTGTATGGACCGGGGCGGATTTTGCTGTCGATGAGGGGGTTGCGTGAGTTGTTGGTAGCGGGGCTTTTGAGGAGGGAGGAGTTGGTGATCGAGGTGCCGTTGAGGAAGGGCTGGCCTGCATTCCGGATCTGAAGGTAGGTGGCGTTGCTGGAGAAGTCTGCGCATCGGGGAATTGTCACGGCGCAGAGCCATTGCTTGTATGCTTCGGCGCAGGTGTGGCAGGATACAGCGAGGGAGAACATGCTCTCGCTGGAGGTGTTGCATTGGACTTGTTGGAGGGAGTAGTTGAAGTTCTTGTATAGGGATGCTGCGTTGTCGTCGTAGATACTGCGGAGTTCGGTCATGTTGATGGAGGGGTTGGATGGCACTGCGTAGGCGACTTCGGAGCAGAATGGCAGGTCGTATACAACGGCACAGTTGTCATCTGTTTGGTCCTTCGTTAGGGTACATTTAGACCGTGGCATTGGGGCTCATTGTCTCTCACCTGTTTTGGTTGTAAAGTTCATGCGTGGCCATACTTTACCTCCACCTCCCACGATTCCATTGCCCCAACTGGTGGAATTGCCCTCACGAGCCATGATTCCGTAGTAGGTGGAGGTTTTGTTGAGACCGGTGACATAGAACTGCTCGGTTGGCCTGTCTACTGCACCCCGGGTGGTGAGGCTCGCCTCAACCTTGCTCTTCCCAATCTGCGCCAGCGTATCGAGAGCGCAGAATGACCGTTCTAAGCCAGAGATAGACGAACTGTTGATGTTGTTGGCGAACATTGTGTATGGAGGAGTCCTGTCCATCCAGGAACTGTAGTTCTGTGACGTAAGATCGGTGGTGGTGAGATTTCTCGTCGTCAGAAGCGCTGCTCCAGTGTCCGAATCAACTAAGAACATGAACTGATCGCTCTCGTCGACGCTATGAAAATAAGCATCTGTCGAGGCCGCAATCTGGTAGGTGAAAGAACCAGAATATTCAGTGCTATTAGGAGCTGTCACTCCGACATAGACATCACCATTCGCCGTAAGGGTCATGCCCACATAGCCCTCCTCCGCTGATTTGATTGTCTGGTCGGACTCGGACTTGTCAGGCCCAGGCTTCTCTATCAATTCAGATGCGTAGACTGTCAGCTGCGGTACGGCCGCTGTGCTAGTGGAATCCGAGTTGTTGTGGCTGGGCTTCGAGCATGCCGTGAGGGACAAATAAACGGTGGTGGAACGCTTGGAAAGATCGCGACGCTTATTCTCAGAGGTGCTGTTGGTCTCATCGCCATTCACGGGGAAATACCACCACTCCGTCTCGCCCATCTTGAGAGTGCCATTCTGATACTGATTATTTCCGAGGGATGTCACCCCAGTGGGAGCCCGGCGAACCAAGTCGAGTCCGCGCGTATCTCCCTCTTCGTCTACCGCATCTTCGAACTCCAAACCGTTGTATTCTGCGAGTGGGAAAGCGAATTCCGGACTAGCCTCACCGAAGAGGAATTGGCCATGACTTGTGGAGGCCAGGATTGAGGGATCTGGCAGGGCATTCTCATCCGCAGTCGCAGTCGCAGTCACTCTGCCAACGCAGATGGCCAAGGCGATTGTGCATCCAAGTACCGCGCGGACAGTCGCACGCCGGCGGCACTGTAGGCGTGGCGGTATAAGGCGAACGAACATTCAGGATGGTTGAAGGATTGTTGATTGCGAAAGGAAAGGCATCAATCGACGTCCATGGGCTGTCTTGTGCCGGAACGTAACAATTTCCTCTCACGGCGGAGGCCAGCCGAATTGTGAGGGGAAATGCAAGTGCCAACGGGGATGGAGATGCGATCGGGGGCTACCCCATGAACACAAACAGCATTCGCCCCGTGTGACGTGAATCCGTTCAACCTGGAATTGGAAGTCCCAGTCGGTTGGTCGCTGAAATTAGGGAAGATGGGCCTGAGGTCATACTGGCTGGAGAAGAAAAGAGTCTGGACTCTCGTAAGGCGTTGGGATTTGCCGGTTGCCTGGAGGCTCCGAATCGCAGCTTATCTTGGCGCCGCCACTCCACTTCCTCCGGAAGCCTCAGCATATACTACTAACAATTTCGTGCATCCATCCCACCCTCCCTTGCTTAAATTCTACGGTATGTTTTCGTAGCTTAGGAACGAATATTTCCTTCATGCATATGCATATCATTCACTACTACAAACAAGCTGACCCATTCATGTCCATCGGATATTTACGTGCATGATCATATTGACAAAACCAAACCTCCCCCCGACTCACCCTGCTAGGCTCACACGAGCTTGTAGCAGCGAGCCACTACTCCGCTGAGAATTACAATAGCTGCAATAACCCCAAGAATCCCAAAGAACCAGCCAAGTCCTGCCGCATCTTGCCCAGGGACGCGGACGTTCATTCCGAAGAGACCGCAGATCAGGTTCATAGGGACCAGCATGGTGGCAATGAGCGTCACCTTGCTCAGAACTTTGTTGACGTGATTGCCCAGCATCAAGTTAGTCACGTTCAGCTGCGCGAGATAGTTGGTATGCGATCGGCTAAGCATCTTCTCAAAATGCGCCAGGTTGGACATCATGGTTACGACGTGATCCTGAATGTCACCCAGGTAGAGACCGATGTCGCCACGCGGTGTCACCGAGTACTGCTCGTTGCAGCGCTTGGAGAAGCCCCGGATAACGTCCGCCTTCCCTCCTAGCAGGCGCATCAAACTCATGACTTTCTTGCGCAGACCACCGATGCGCGGCAAGAATGACTCGAAGTCATCCATACGCGCGATGAACACGAGATCTTCGATGGCCTCGGACTCGACCTCAATCTCCCGAATGACGGGCCCAAAACTATCAACGATATCGTCGCTAGAAGGCAATTAGTCAATTTTGTCCACAGCGCAATGCTCATCTTTACTAAAACTTACATCATGGCGTAACAGATCCAATCGCTACTCAGCGATACATAGTCACGGAGCTTTCCAATTCTCCTCCGGACGTTAGCGGCATGAGGGTTTTCGGTGAAAGAGAACGAGAGCACCCCATCACGAAATACGACCATATAAAAGTTGACTGGCTCCATGAAACGCTCGTCCGCCTTGTCCACCTGGTAGAATGTCCGGAAACAGACAAAGTAATACTGCTTGAAGAGCTCGACTTTCTCACGCGCTTCCTGGGTCAAGATATCCTCTGTTGTCAAAGGATGAATAGAGAAAGCTCTGGACAAAGCTCCCACCTCATCCTCAGTGGGGTTTAGGACATCAAGCCACCAGACACCTCCGTCCGGGCCCAATTGGAAAAGATCTCGGAAGGTGTCTCCCGGCAAAACCAGATCACCCAGCTCGGCAGCATGCACGGTACTCTGTGCCTCCGACGAGAAGAATCCGAAGCGAGTAGGCTCGTTCGTGTTCTTCAGGGTCGCCAACAGTTCCTTTTCGTTTACAACTTCGGTAAAGTTCTTATTGTCTTCCTTCTCCAAAGTCGACTCCAAAATGTCTTCTGACGAACGCTCAATGCTTGACGAACGTTTCTCCGCGTCCTTCTCGGACTTCTGAGCACCCGGACGAAGGTCATAAAAGACCCGCGGCTTCTGACTTTGAGAGCTGACGCTGTGCTTGCGTCGGTTTGCAGAAGGTTTCGCCTTTTGATTGAGAGCAACGAACTCCTCCAGTTCCTCGTAGTCAATCACTGGAATTCTGCCCGGTTGTTCAAAAGTCGGCAGGCAGCCATCATCGGTGGGCTCCAATGTTAAATCTCCAGGCTGCGGCCTGACCACACTCGCATTGCTGAAAGTTGGACGGCGAGGATGTGTGCCACCAGATACCGTGCGCTGGAGAATAGCTTCCAAGTCTGGGGCTGCATGGCTTTCCAAAGTATTCGCACGCTCTCTGCGACGCGGGTCTGCGAATGCTTCGACCGAATTGGGCGGGGACGTCGACCGAGCAGACACAGATGACTCGCGCGACAAGTTCGGAATTTCCTGGTGCGTGCGACTATAGGTACGGCCGTGGCGGATGTTCCCCGTAGGATCAACTGAAAAGCGACGTCCCATAGCATTGAAATCCTTGTCTGATCGATCATCATCCACTACCGCGGTTTCGAAATCACGCGATAGAGAGCCAGCTTCCCGAAGCGCATCCTCGATGTTAAGCAGGTCTGGACGCTGAGGCGTCTCGGGATTGAAAGCCTGCGGGACGGTATTTTGCCGACTCAGTGGCACATCGGGGGTGGCTTCCAAGCGTGGCGCATCCAATTGAAATCGATGATCATCCAATTCAGGAACCGGGGTGCTGAACCTGGTCAGGCACATGTATTTCTCGGACTTCGGTGACTCGGACATTGTGGCTATATCGGTGTTCTTGATTGATTCTTCCTCACGTGGGTATTTATAACAGGGTTGATGAAAGCGAATTTGCTGGCAGGGAGCCGATATTGTTGACTTAATGTTTTTTTGAATTGATTATATGCGCGGCGGCGTTCAAGGGCGCGGCGTCGGAAGTTGTAGACTGGATGAGAAAGGTCCCAGGGCGATTGCTCCTCCATCCATTAGCCAGACCCCTCGCAAGGGCCTGGCATTACCGATGCGCGTCCGTGTGCCAGCTTTGAGACTGCTTGAATAAGCTCTATTAGGGGGGTCTGGTGTCGCCCCCGCAGAAGACCCTGAACTTGGGGCCCAGAAGAGGGTGGAGGAGGGAAGACTGGTTGCAGCGAAGGCCCGCCAACTTGACTGAGTGAAGCGTAAGGAGCGCCGTCGCTCCGAAAAGTGCGGGGGAAAAGTGCGATGACAGAGAGAACTCCTTAGCAGAGTTCTCGCAATTCAGCGCAAGATTCGACCGGCAGGATTGACGCCCAAACTGGGTTTAACGAGATCGAGAAGAGCTGCTGGACAGCGGATAATAAGTCGGACCAATCGGGCTGCAGAAGATCGAAGACAAGTTTTGGTCTGACTTCAATGAAGTGTTGGATTGAAAAGTGCACTGAATGTGTTTCAATGTGAGTGGTGATGATCGTCGGCACACTCAAAAGGAAGAGGGTGGGAGACGACTGGTAGAAAAGAGTCGCAAAAGTGGAATGGGGGACCCTATTTTTTTTAGAGTATGATGTAGTACGCACCACACTCGGAAAAATAGACCCCGTGGTCAAAGACGATGCGTCAAACCACGAGGACGGGAAAAGAGCAACGGCGAATCAAAGACAGCCGGAACACTTGAAGAAGCACGATGCAAGATTCTAAAATATGAATAAAATCAAGAGCAATGGGTTTTGAAAGATGTCACCAAGGAGGTGATTATGAGGGAGATGTCTCAAGGGGACAGGAGAGGACCGAGAATCAAGGCAGCCGAGTGGAGGAGCAATTCTAGTATTAAATAAAATACGAGGGGCGGGCAGAAATTTCCGCTTCAAGGGTGAAAAACGGACTGAGGAGTCTGAAATTTTTAGTTGAAGACGCCGCGTCGGCAAAGGCCCCGAGGCGGGTTTAGTCCGGTCGTCGTCCAATCACGCAGGTGGCTTTTAGTAGTCTGGAAATCTGGGTGCTCCCGAGTCCGTGGCCATCATCAGCTGCTCTGCAAGAATAATCCAGTGAGTAGTCACTCCCACTACATGTGGGATGGTCAGATTTATGATTGTTCAAATCATTGCTTGACCTCTGTGAGGAATCGGGAATCTCCTGGAATGGTCTTGCTTTGTGGATGTGGACCTTATTCGAGTGGGTTCTATCTAGTAGTATCTATTCCATTCATTCAAGCTGCAAGCCTGAAATTAATTACAGTAACTACTGGGCACCTGTCAAAAACTTTCCTGTGAAAGAATTATTTATATCTCTTTTGGCTGGCAAACCTGCACGTTCCAGATCCAATGGTTGCCGTGGACAAGCCAGATCCGTGTGATCTACCCACTTCGTCCAATACTATGTCTCATTTGCTAGCATCCTAACCAAAAAAAAAAACAAACCACTCTTACTTCACTCTATCACCCAAGGTTCTCAAACGGAATTGCGCGAATAAGACCTATCTAGGCAGCAATCTCAACATCCCATCCTATCTCGTTAAGACTGCGTCCACATCAGCTGTTGCATGGCACTAAATACTTACTACTTTGTACTAAGTAAGTATGTCTTGCTTCGCCCGAAGAAGTTTTCATCTCCATCTCCTAAGTGGGCGTAAATACTGGTAATATTACCTTGCCACATGGAGCCTGACTTAGGGGGGAGAAGGTCGTCTTCTGCTGCCCAATGAAGGCTAAGTTGATCATAGCTGAGTCGCACTGCAATTCCAGCCCTGCGTATCCAGTTCCACACGCGAGTGGACGAAACAGGGCAGAAAGGATCAAACCAGATCTGGCTCATTCTCGAAACACATCATCCTTCCAAAACCCCCACAGGGGTATGCATGAAAACTTTTATGATATAGTATGTATGTCATTGTCACACCCTTTCCACCGAATCATTGTTAGTCTGTTCAGCTATTGTAGGACAATGAGTAGGGAGAGAAGTCTTTTTTGGACTGGTCGGAAAAGTATATTGCACTTGAAGGAGGGGGGGGAAGCAAGCGTTTGCGGCTGAGGTTGTGTTGTGTTTGTAATAATACGCACAATCTTCAGGTTAGATCGAGATCCAATCAGGAGGAGTCTACTGAGGGAAAGCGATCGCATGACTCCAAAGAAAACTTGTATTGATTAGTTACTATTTGCCAGCTTAACTATGGATGTGAACAAGGAAGTACTTTCTGTAAGAGGTAGTAGTAAGTATTAATAACCATGTCACAAACAATGATGATAGGAGAATTTGGGTAATAATCTTCGAACTTGGCTTTGTGGCACCTGGATCTAGCAAAGCCCTGTGGCCCCTCACTTGCCCGCTTTCTGCTTCCCCGACGTCGGCCTTTTTTTTTTCTGCTAATTTTTGGAAATCCGTTTTCATTACCTTTTTTGACCACCGAGGAGCGCCAAGAAAAGAAAAGAGTCACAACCTTAAGTCGGAGCCGAGTGCGATAATAATTATTATTGTAGTGACTCAAGTCTATCTATCACTACTACGCCGCTGGTGACTGGCAACAACGGTGCTCTGCCATACATACTACATACCTAGCAAGTCACTGGAGGTTTCACCCCGCTTCAGTCCATTTTTCTTTCTTTCTTTTTTTTTCCCCCTGATCCCTCCTCCGTCCTTGTTCCTCCACAATGGCTGCCACTTCCTTTGTTATCAGGACGCCCTGCTCGTCCGCCAACATTGGACCTGGGTTCGACGTGATCGGTCTGGCATTGTCCATGCATTTGGAGCTCCACGTCACAATTGATACCTCCAAGTCATCGCAACAGCCACTTAACTGTCGTATCACATATGACGACCTGAGCAACAGTACCGAGAAGATCAGTCTGGACCCCGAGGTTAACTTGATCACCCGTGTAGCACTTTACGTACTTAGATGCCATAGCCAACGGGCATTCCCTGCTGAGACTCATGTGCACATCGTAAACCCGATCCCCTTGAGTCGGGGTCTCGGTTCTTCTGGCACTGCCGTTGTGGCTGGTGTAATGCTGGGAAATGAAGTAGGTAAGCTTGGGCTCAGCAAGGATCGTCTCTTGGATTATTGTTTGATGATCGGTAAGTCGCACGTCCATCTTTCTGCTGGTGGGGAATAAAGTCGAGCATCCTGCATGCGATTGATTCTGCTTGACACCTCGTCATTTGCTGGCCATCGCTCATCTGCTCAACAGAACGACACCCCGACAATGTCGCTGCCTCGCTCTTCGGAGGCTTCGTTGGCACCTATCTCAACGAACTCGCCCCCGAAGACGTAGCGCGTAAGGAGATCCCTCTCAGTGAAGTTCTCCCTTCTCCGGCCGGTGGTATTGACACCGGCAAGAGGCCTCCTGAGCCGCCCATTGGAATCGGTCATTACAGAAAGTTCCAGTGGGCCAAGGAAATCAAGGCTATTGCCATCATCCCCGACTTTGTCGTGCCCACCGCCAACGCCCGGAATGTTCTTCCTACCTCGTATACCAGAGCGGACGTTGTAAGCATTGTTCCCTCCGTCGCCAATTCCGAATCCGATAGCAAATGAGCTGTATCGGCTAATGCTATTACTTTGTTTAGGTCTTCAACCTCCAGCGCGCTGCCTTGCTCCCAGCAGCTTTGGGCAGCTCTCCGCCGGACCCAGACATGATCTATCTGGCCATGCAAGATAAGGTCCACCAACCATACAGACAGACTCTTATCCCCGGCTTGACGGAGATTCTCCAATCAATGAACCCACGTACGCAGCCCGGTCTGCTTGGAATCTGTCTGTCAGGTGCAGGCCCGACCATCCTTGCCTTGGCAACGGATAGGTTCGAAGAAATTGCAGACCGCATCATCTCTCGCTTTGCTACCAATGGCATCGCCTGCCAGTGGAAGTTGCTTGAGCCTGCCCAAGACGGCACCACTGTCCAATACTGAGAATCGGATGGCGGTTGCCCGAAGATCTCTTCAAATCACATGAAAAGAAAGTCATGATTTGAAAGTTTGATAGATATGACCGCCATGATTGGTGTATATGCTTTCATAGACGGCTAGAGCCTGGGGAAGGGCTCTATAAACAGTGGGCACAACGAAAGTGACTCTTTTTATCACTCGTTCTTATGATATCCGTGTCCACATTCTCTTACTGCACAGTTGCCTAGACTGTCAGTTTTACAATCTATCAAATATAAGCTTTCTCTGCAAACCCAGTATTGTCAAAGCACTTTGTGTACTCTTGTAGATTTGAAAGGACTCGATCATCTTACTGGAAGAGTACTGTTATTACAGATGCATTGCTAGAGGATATACAACCAGGCCACATTATCAATGGCCGTCCTCCCAACGTCCCTATAATGACACCGAAAACAAGCAATTAAAGAAATAGTAAAGGACGATGTTCAATCGATCGATGATGGGTAACTTAACTAGTACAATCAGGAGCACAATACGTCATGCCCGATACAGGCCTCAATAATACGAATGTTACTGTCCGTGTAACAATACAGTGTCCGATTGACCCGCGATAAGCAGAGGCGGTGGACATGCGACCACCTCAAGCTAACCTCAGCGCCGGCAACGAAGTAAAGGGTGCCCCTTCGACCAGCGACCGTCTAGATCGAACTGGGAAACAATCATATCGCACTTTAATCAAAACATCCACAATGGATAGTCTACTGGCGCCAATTCAAGATGCTCTGGAAGGTCAAATCGTGAGTTCTAGGTTTCCTTTGCGCCCGTTGTTTTGGGTGATCGTTATTACAGCCACCTATGCGTTTACTTCTATCTACCTATCCCGAGTGTATGGTTAACCATGTTGCCGTTTCCATGAATAGGACTTCCAGGGCCAGCGTATTGCAGAGCTTCTTAGTACGGTGCTTCTTGTTCTGTCGGGTGTAAGTTTCTCTACTATTTTTCTACGATGATGGTGGTGGTGGTGTTGTTGTTGTTGTTGTTGTTGTTGTTGTTGTTGATGATGTCTTCTGGACTGATTGCTTACGATGGTCGCTTTGTTTAGGCCGTTGCTTTCATTGTTGGATACATCTTCCAGGATATCCATCTAACACTCTGGGTCGGATTGGCCGGCACGTTAATAACTGGGTTGGCCGTGATTCCGCCTTGGCCTATGTACAATAAGAATCCCGAGAAATGGCTTGTTCCCTTGACGACGGGCGTGGGAGGTGGTGCAGGTATTGTGGTAGATGGAGTTAAGGTTGCGTGAGACAAGGAGTCGCGGACTTTGGACATGTCTATTTAATATCCTGAATCAATCACAACTTGTCCGCTTGCGTGTGCACAAACAAAACCTGCATCGATAATTTTGAAAGCCGCTGCTGAGAACTGCGAAATGAACCACAAACGCCATAGAAAGCCCTCCCTTCCGGTTCTACCTTATAGGGGATATTGTAAGACATAGAAGGTGATCCGCCCGTATTCGAACCCTGCGATCTTCGCACACGCGTTTACCGGCCGTACTTCTGGAACTCCCAGTCCCTATTGTCGAGGGGACAAACTTGACGGGTTTTCAGCCACCGCGAGATGCAGTGGAAGTGGAACGCATGCTAGGGACAGAAAAAGGTGGGCGTTAGTGTGGGATGCAGAGTGAGTGTCAGGAAGAGTAAACTTACGTTGCAGATACCCCAAGCAACTGTACACTCTTCAGTTGTAGAGGAACCTTGGTTGGCCTGGCACTCGATACCTAGCAACCATCAAACATTAGACTCCGGGTTACATGAAGGCAAGACAGGTCCAAGACGTACAGAGATCCATGATGTGATTACGGCAGATTGCGCAGTTGTCGACGACAATATCCCACGCCCACAGAGCGACCGCGTTCCACTAGAAGAGCAACCCGATTAGCTTCAACGGTACTCAAAAGGGAAGCACACATCTTTAATGCTGTACCTTCTTAACCTCAAACTTCTTCTTGCCGTCACTGGCACCTTCGGAAGCTTTCGACGATCCCTTTGCTTTGACAGCGGCGGCAGAGCCGGCTTCTTTCATTTCCACGTCCGCCATGTTGCGCGCTTTAACCCTTTGACGGCGCTTAGTCTGTCGAAAAACAGGTCACAAGCCGGAATAGGTGAACGAGCTGAGCAAGGTTCGGAGGAGGGGCAAGCAAATAGATTAATTACGTAGGTCGCTCGGATAGTGGTGGTACCTGACCTATAGGTACTATTGGTAGTAGTTGTGGTTAGTTAGCTGATAACCCGGGGAGTGGTTGCGGTGTGAGCCCACCGGCAATACTCTCTGGTGGACGTAGATCGGAGAGGGGCATTGGCTTACCCGAGGAGCACTGACGTAGTAGGGGTATTTCTATCAAAGGAAGGGTTGATAGGAAATGATAAGGGTAGAAGAAGTATGAATCTTCGTTTATTTCTTTTTTTTTTTTTCTTCTTTCCTAAAAGCCGAGTACCTTGTTGGGGAGAATAATGGCCTGGGGGTATGAAGTGAGATAAACAGCAGCTGAATGGGAGTTAATTTTTGTTTTGTTTGCAAGGCTGCTGGCCTGGCAGTGGCGTAAGAACTCTATGCTTGTTAACTAACTATTAGTGAACTGAACTTGTGACTTGTACCAAAGTGGCTGAGTCATCGCCGATGATCCCCGCTTGGTTCTTCTTCCCCCAGCCATTCTTAGGTTTCCGCCCGCCCTTCCCAAAGTCCAGTCGCTACTTACTCTCTCTCACCTTCACCTTTCCTCCCTCAAAGCCTCGGTCAAGACCTACAATGTACCTCAGCTTTCCTTTACTTTCTGCCTTTATTCGCCTATCTAGACGTGAGCATGCCTAGGAGTCTTGGCTTACTGCTTCCTCTGCGCTTCCTTCGACTCTAATAATAGACGATTTCAACTCTCCGACTTGATCCTCCCATCTGACGTCTTTCCGATCGATCAATCAAAGAAGACCAACTCGTCGGGCCACACACTCAGTGCCCAGCACACCTAGCGACGATCTCCTCTTGTCCTTATCTCCTGATAGTTTTATCCAGCTTTGATTCATTGAGTACGGGCTGCTGGACAGTGCTTCGTACCACCATCGACTCCGTGACTATCGTTCGAGCCGCTTCTTATCGCTATTGTTTTTGTTTCTGGTGCCGCCGCCCAGTCGTTTTCGGTTTCTCTTCAAAAGGCTGCCTATTTCTTAAGCCTATCTGACCACCATGTCAACTCAATCACCCAACCCTCCGACGCCAAAGGGCCCGCGAAACAATCGACGCAACTCCAAGAGGAATATGACACCCTCTACTCAGAAAGTCGCTATCCTGGCAACCCCTCCCTCGTCACCGCCAAGGAACTCCAGTCCTGGCGGGACCGCCACCGATTCCTCTATCAATGTCAACGCCTCCAAGAAGAAGAACAGTCGGTCTGGCAAGAAGCCGCGCGACGCATCCAAAGCATCGCCAGCACCTAATGGACACCGTCATACTACTTCTCAACCTAATAATACCATCGCCACTCCCCAAGTGAAGGACAGCCCCCATTACGCCGGCCCGACTTTCCATGCATCTCCGGCACCGTCAGCACTGCCTATTCCCAGTTTCTTCTCCAAGTCTCTACCAGAGTCCGATCTCGCACCGACCATAGAATCCGACGGTGATCACCTTGATGCTGAGCCGGATCTGGAGAACACCCCCTCAAAACCGAAGTCGCGCCCACAATTCCAAGAGGAAGCGCGCCAGTCAACACCTTTGGATTTTCTCTTCAAAGCTGCAGTCGAGGCCAGAAACCCCCAGCAGCAGCAGCAGCAGCAGCAGCGAAGCCCCGAAGCAAGCAGTCGGGTCCGGTCGCCACAAACTGATTCTAAGACCCTTCAGCACCGTAAACCCAATGGCACTGCCGGTGGGCTCTTCCGGATGGAGATGGAAAGCCCGGAGTTCCAGCATTCACATATTGGGCCTTCCTTTGCGACCCCTTACAAAGACCGCATGAACGCGTTACGGTCGGCCAGCTCACCTTCTCCTCCGGTGTGTGATTTCGATGAGCAGGAGAAGAGAGCTAAAACCGAAGCTTTGAAAACTTTGTTGCTCAATCCTCGTCCCCAGAGGCCTTCGTCCGCATCTATCACGGCTCAAGATCACTTCAACCCAGTGATGGAGCGCCCTGCTTCAAATCCCGGCTTACCTCACTTTGCAACGCCAGTAAGAACGACTTCGGGACCGCCCGCTTCTATCTCGCATGGCATGTCGTATGATCAGAAACAAACATTCGTCGGAAATGGCCGGCACTATTCCTCATCCTATACACATTCGAACGCTGCTCAACAATATCACTTGCAAAACTCTCCCTTGCGGAAAGAAGTCCTTACTTCGAGAGTTGAAAACATGCCGAGCGTTCATGGCCAAGCTTTCTACCCTCCAGCCGCGTACGATCAGCCCAAATCTCCGCCTAAGTATGCACAATATCCGACGTATTATTCTCCTCCGCAACACCAATCTCCTGTCTCACGGAGCGTGTCAGTGAGCAACAACGCGCAGCCTTATGACACGAAGAAGATTGAAGATGATCTACGAAGGATCTTGAAACTCGATGTAAACCCTACCATGCCAGCCAACGGCATGCAAAGCTCCTTCGCCTGACGCGACTGTCATTGGCATTTCGTGAGGCCTTCCTTCCTTCCGTTGATTTCCTATTTCATCCGTTCATTTCACGATATCAAGTTTTCAGAAAGGGCACAGTCTTGACGAACAGTGCTGGGGACACTAGCTGAATCCCACTGGCCATGTGAAGCATGGTCTCATTTTTACTGGGCTACCGCAACTTACGTTCACATCCTAATCATCTTGCGCTTCATGTCCTAAGTTATGTTCTATGTCCTTCTCAGGGGTCCTGTTCTGTTGTTCTCCACGGTTTCATGTTGGTAGCGGCTATCCTGGCGATTGAAAGGGAGTTATCTGTCCCCCTAGTATGTCTTCGAACCTCTATTTGCATTGAACCCCGGAGTACGGTTGCCTTTGGAGTGCTCTTTATGGGACTGTTGGTTTGGGCGAGGTTTCCTGACGTCTGCGGATATCCGTGATGACACTCGTTGTTCATGTTGTTACATTTTGACCTTTTGTTGTTGCTTTTCTCTTTCTTGTCTTGCCTTATGCTTTACCCTTTCTTCCTATCTCATCTTTATGTCCCTTTCTATCAATACCTGTCCTTCGTGGGTTCGGTTCCAGGTTTCGCCAAAGGCGATGAACGATGACTTTTCTGCTCTTTTGTTGGGTTCGGCCCTCTCGTCTGCTGGACGAGATCTAGCAAGACCAATCCAGGACTGGTTGTTTCCTGACGTGTATCATGAAGGCCTTTCGTTTCTCTTATTACTTTTCTTATTCCTATGTGTCATGTACCTACATTCGTTTCGAAGCTCCTAGTCTTCGCGGTGGGTTTGTCCGTTATCAACGCACATCCACATCAACGGCTATCCCAATCATACCTTCGTTCAGCCGGATACTATTCTTTACCTCATCTACACTTCTCCACCCCCTATACTGTAATGTATGCCCAGCAAATGGCCAGAACATGGCAATTAGTAGTAGCGATAGTAGTAGCGGCAATGATAGTTCTAGTCTCTCTGCCAAGTGACAGCTACTCTAGTATGTCTCAGGGACAACTGGAGCAACCATATTAAGAAGATATCTACCCATCTCCAGTCAGTAGTCCGACGTCTACTAACTAGCGAAACCCCTCCCCGAAAACCCGAATTAGCAACTGTCTCCCCCTACTACACGCACTAGACTCTTACTTAGTTGACATCTCCACGGACTACAGAGCCGGTAGGGAAAGACATGGGTATGGATAAAGGAGGCCCGAATCCGGAGTCCAGAACCCGGATAGAAGCCGGGCGGGCGGCAAGCCCAACCTCAACGGCGAATGGGGAGTTCCCGAAAGCGTCGGTTCCACTTTTTTGCTATTATTCTTGGTTCCACTTCCGTTTTGCAAATTTCGCTAATTGGAGAGAAGTCTGCCTCCACTTGCATTTCCACCATCACAGAGAGAAGAGAAACAAGAAAAAAGACCCCCGTGAAAGCGGACAGGGGGTATTGTGTGGTGGGTAATTGAATGGGGAGATTTCCAGGGCATTGGGATATTTTATGGTTGTTTCTTGCCTGGCCATTCCTAGTACGCTTCCAGGTCAGATACTATATAGTAGTTTGGTCACATGCGTAGTGGTTAAGTGCCATGCACGTATTGCCTGGTAATCGTAATGATGGCTCAAGTAGGTAAGCTATGTACTATAGGTGTATCTGAGACAGATCTTGAATGAACGATCCACTGGTTTAGATGCTCTATTACTTCTATCTAATACATGTCCAATGAACGGAATTGCCGGTTCTTCTGACAAGCGAGACAGGTAAATACATTAATTGTTTTCGTCGGCTAACTCCTCGTGCTAAATGGAGTTCCTAGGTGTTCGTGGGGTCAACTTTCCCCGTAAGACGAAAAGGGTGGTGCTGTGTTGCATGGATGGTTTCCCCTATTGGTGTAGGTTTCTGAGGGTATAGGGTACGAAACTGGGGGATCCGATCTGGTGAGGGTGGTTAGATATTAAGGCTGGTGTCTTAGGGTTCAGAAAAAGTTCACTCATGCAATGAATTACATGCCGGAATAACTATAGGTCAGATGAATCTACTTCTTGCGGTATACGCAGTAGCTCTACTTCTTACCCACCTACATAACACTAGTCACACTCAGGTACCCGGAGTATATCTGGTTTACACAAGAGTTCACAGGGTCTTTTGGAGGTAATTTGTTACATCATTTAGTAAGATGGATTTAAAGCTGGGATGAGCAAGGAACATGATCATTGGCATGAATACTCCGGTTCGATGATGGGACGAAGTTCCTACATGAAACCGATCCAACTTCAAGGTTGCGTCCATATCTCTCTCTCTCTCTCTCTCTGGGTTATGAAGGACATAGAGTGGTTCATCTAAAATAGAATATAGTTTTATAATTAAGCAACTGTACCTTACCTGAATTCAGCATAGGAAAAATTGACCCCGACCGTCTGCGGGAAGGCCGTAGACAAGATCAGCCACTGCAGTCATAGTTTATTGAGTAGCCCTATCCAGGAAGGGTTTTGCAAGAAAAGATGTAATATCACACGCGTAGCGCCGCAATTGGACAAGGCTTGCCACCTAGATGGAGGTTGGTGGCGGGTAAGGAATGTTAAGAAGTGGTGTCTGCAGGAACGGACATTTTAGGTAGTGGTGAGTGAGGATTATGTGATGCATGATAAGCTTTCTCTTTCTCACTTTTTCCTCCCTTCGGTGGTGTTAAAAGGAGTCGAATTTAAAGCAGGGGGAATTAAAATGTCCATAACCTAATAATCTTATAGAGAGACTGCTAGATAGAGAGGAGGAGGAGGAGGAGCCCTTGAGAGGATACCGGAAAGCCATACCTAGATGGATGGATGGATAGATAGACCAATAGTCATCAGTTACAAAATAGTTATTTTAGGGGAAGATTGAGTTAGCGTTGAATGTGTAACCGCCGGTACATTGCGAGGCAATCTAAAGTGACTGCGAAGAGTAATGATGTGGTCCAGTCAGTCCCTGGTTCCGGACGCCTTTCCAGGGGGTCAAACAACGAATCGTCGCTGCCGGCCTCGCCCCCCCGAAAAAAAAAAACCCCCCAACTGCACGCTAGTTGGTGAAGGGCCCCAAAGGGAGACGACGACAGCAGCAGCAGAAGGAGAAGGAGTTTGAGAGAAAGTGGAAGACGACGACAACAATAACCAATATCCAATATCGAAATTGGAAAAAGAATTTTGACGGAAGGTAAAAAACAAAAGACAGAATCTAATCTTGCTGTTCATCACAAGAGAAGGAGGGAAAAGCGCTTTTCTCCAATCCTTTCTTCACTTCAACTTTCCTTTCCTTTTCCCTTCCTTCCCTACTCTCTTTTCTCCCCTCACAAGGAGAGACAGACCCAAAGACCGAGATCCAATCCTCAATTTCCCCAATTATCCAGTCCTTCCAGACCAACCCATTCGCAGTCCCTCCCTTCCTTGCGCGCTTGCTCTTCCTTTCGCTCTCGCGCTCTCTCTCTCTCTCTCTCTCTCTCTCTCTCTCTCTCTCTCTCTCTTCATCTTTCTCTATTTCTCTCTGGTACTGGCACCATCTAATCGTCTTCCACTCTGCTGCTCTTTCAAATCTCCACATCTTCTTTCCCTTTTCCCACACCCCCTTCCTTCCCCCTCCCCCCCTTCCAACTTTCTTCTTTCTCCCATCTTCCTCTAATACCAATCGCCTCTTAGTGCTGTCACTTAGCGGTTCCCTAGCCGCCCCGTTTTACCCACCGGCCCTAGCAAGCAAAACTTCCTCTACATTATTATTTGCCTTCCGCTCTTAATCCATCTATCCGCGGTACTGAATTCCGACCTTGGAACTCCCTCCTCCTCCCCCCCCCCCCTCAAATGCTCCTCGATCCCTTTTCATAAGGAGAATTAGAGTAAAACAGAATAGCCAGCGCTGGTCTATTTCGCTTGCCCTCTGTCACTAGGCATCTGTCTAGATTCCAATCATGGCGAATGCGTGAGTATCTCCCTTTCCATCGAAACACACCTGGCCACGTCTCCCGAGAATCCGAGCTCAGAGGTTGACACTTTTCTAACCTATCCACAGCATCGGCTCAGCATGGCGGTCCTTTTGGCATACGATGACTTCTTATGATCGCCATGCTTCCCATGACTCGCCATATCGAACCGGTAAACATGTGCCTCTTAGTCAAAGTCGACACGAACCTCTCACATCCATTGCAACAAGCGCTATCGAATCGCGACCGGATTTGACTTCCCCGTATGATGACGATCACCCCAAGGGCTCAAATGGCTGGTCCGGCTCACCTACCGGAGGGGGCTCGCCCAATCGCCCTTACTCTCCTGGAATGCGATCATTGTCATCTCAGAAGCGTCAATCCGCAGATCCCAATGCGGATGGTGCCCCGGAGATTCAAATGCAAAGTTTCCATGATGGTGCTCCGCCCCCTCCCCCCATCGCTCATTCATGGAGGAAGATTGAGAAATGGCTGGAGAACAACTACCAGGAGCTCTGGGATAATCTATGCGAGGGCTGCACCCAAAATGACATCAACGAACTGGAGCACGAACTGGACTGCAGCCTGCCGTTGGAGCTGCGGGAATCTTTGATGGTCCATGATGGTCAGGAGCGGGGAGGATTGCCCACCGGTGTCATCTTCGGCTGCATGCTTCTGGACTGTGAGGAAATCGTTCAAGAATGGAAGAACTGGAGGGTAGTCAACGAGGAGTTTTTGAGCTCATCTATGATGAACGCTCCTCCAAGGGCAACTCCCAGTTCATCGTCCGCTGTGCCCCCTGCCCCGGGGGCTAATGGTGCTTGGAGAAACGACCTGCTCGAGCGACAGGACTCGCAGCCTCCCGGTGCAGTCCAAAAAGCCTATGCCCATCCGGCTTGGATTCCCCTGGCTCGCGACTGGGGCGGCAACCATATCGCTATCGACTTGGCCCCAGGACCTGCTGGAAAGTGGGGACAGGTTATCATCTTTGGCCGGGACTACGATTGTAAATACGTCATTGCTCGGTCCTGGGCTGCCTTCCTTGCGACGCTAGCAGATGATATTTGCAGTGGCAAGGTCTCGGTGGATGAAGAAACGAATGAGATGAAGCTGTTGGAGTTCAAGTCGCAGAACGTGGAACCCCCCTACCTGGAGATCTTGAGGTGGAGAACCGATCAGAAGTATGGCAGGAGACCACCTAGGCGCAAGGCTCCGAATGGCTTGGGTTTGAGCACGGGCGGCAAGTCGGGCAAAGAGTCCCCCTATGGCAGCCCAACTCCCAGTGAAGAGCGTGGAAGGTCTCCGCATCGCTTCCCCAACCGGGGGGCTACTCAAAGCCCCAAAACTCAATTCGGCATGTCAAGTCCGCTGGCTCGTGTCACAGAAGAGGCACCGAGTCCGGTGCACACCGTTGAGGAGACTGAGCTTCCAGAGCAGGCCGCCAAGGAGAACGAAGAAGAGCGTCAATCCGAAGACTTGATGGAGGTAGCTACGCCTCAAATCGGCGGGAAAGAGAACGAGGGAGCCGGAAAGACTGAGGAGCGCCAGTCGTTGGAAGCGGACAAGGCGCAAAAGCGTGACTCGAATCAACCGTCCTCGGCCACTGGCTTGGACGCCGAGGTCTTGGGTGAAATGAAAAATGTAGCGATCTAGACCTCGTTTTGAGCGATTGTTGCCTTGTGTTGCTCCTTTTGTTCCGGCGCGTCATCTTCATCTTTTATCATGAGCACCTTGCTTTTGCGTTTCTAATGAGGAGTTTTCTGATCTTGTCTCCTTCCAGTCCAAGTGTCCCAGGCGCCCCTCCATGAAAGTTGATGGATTTGTGTGAACACTCTTCTGACCTACATGTATAAATCCTCGCATCGTCATACTCCAAGATTCCTGTGGCCGTCCGTTTTCTTTTCCCAATTTTTTTCTTGTCATTTGCAACTTCCAGCAGCCTTATCTTTCTACTTGGGATGGTCACCCGCGATCTGTTTTCTCCACATTTCTGTAACTTTACCTCAACGATGATGCTGTATTAGTTCTCTTCAAGGCTTTTTTTTTTCTTTTCTGGATTTCTGCAGTAGTCGATGTGGTAATACTACTCACTCTACGACGATCTATCACTAGTATGATGATGTGTCTTGGCAGTTACTCAAGTGCTTGACTTCAATTTATTCAGTACCCTGCTCCGGCATTGGTTGGTGCTGCGAATCCCGATATCGCCGGCTCTTTCTAGCTCGCCCATTTACAAGTATAGGCTCGACTGGAATAGCATCCGGGCATATTCCGAACCTGGAAGTCCATCACCCGAACTTGAGTCGCTCCCTGCTCGGTTGGCAAGATCACTGCTGCAAATGCAGATTGGTCACACAATCAACGTCAATGACTACAGCCAAGCAACGAACCTCTGGTCCCCAAGGCTGTTGTCTCCATCCCGCCTTGTTTCATTGAGGTAATGATGCATCCAACCATCAGACGGCGAGATACCGCTCTGCAATTAAGGCAGGCTATCCAGGAAGGCCACTCGAATTTTTCAATCCCAGTCGTCATCATCGTCATCAGCATGCCTATAACTCCTCGCGTTGCCCGTCCGAATCGACCGCTTCCCCCGATCTCTGCGCTCTCCGCCATCACTATCATCATCTTCCGACCCATCAGACGCCCCATCACCAGCCCCGAACTTCTCCTGAGCAAGGATTCCCTTCCAAATCAGCCTTTTCTCCAATGTAGCAGTGCTAAACCCATCTGTTCCATCCCGACCACCCGATCCTAGCCCCTCAAACCCAGTCACGCGCTCAACCCCAACCCCATCCTTGAATCCAATCACACATGGAAGCACCCGGATCTTCAACCGCTCCACGACAAACGGCGTGTTCCGTACATCCACCCGAGCAAATCGTACCTCATGGTGTCGGGTTGCTAGCGCTCGAATGTGCTCGTCCATTGTGCCGCAGCGCGCGAAATCCGGGTGCGCAAAGTGAATCACGCATCGATGGGTCTGCGTGGTAAAGTCGAGAAGGGCTTGATCGCTGGAGATGGTCGGGTACAGACTGTCTTCGAGGATGGTGTGGTCGCGAGTGCGGCTGTCATTGTTGTTCTTGTTGTTTTGGGCCGAGGCAAATTCCGCATTGAGTTGCTCAATTCGGTGTGCTCGATAGGCTGTGTCATCCTCGTTCTCTAGCGCGTCGAAGAGAGCGTCCGAGTCGGCGTCGTGGTCATCTTGGTCTCTTGCGGGGGGGTGGTCTTCGAAGGCACGACTCATGGTTGCGGTGGGTTCTTTTCTATTGTGGGTTATAGTTGTAAAGATGGGCTTTCGGTGCAGAGAGCGAGGTTGAGCCCGGTGGTATATGTGTTCAATTGAAGAATAAGGGCAAGCCTTTAGAAAAAGACAGGAAGAGGAGAGGTAGTATATATGGTAGTTATATGTTGATGATAAAGGACGAGGAGGGGAGTGCGAAGCACACGGTGGGTCGGAGGGGTAGGTAGGTGGAAGCTGAATGCTCCCGCAAAAGACTTCAGAGACTGACTTTGAGTGAGATAAGAAGGAGGCTTAAATGAAGATATTATATGTAGGGATATGGATACAATATTCCAAGGTGAACAGTCGGTTCCCCTTCGTGACTTGATCGGGGAACGGAGTCTATACGGAGGCAGAAGAATCTACGGCGGGTTATCAGTCGGTTTGGACCGCATTGAAATTCCCAGTGCTGGTACGATACTGAGTATGGAGGAAGTCCCTGAAAAGGTACCACCGCCTCTTTGGTCAGGTACCAAGTGTAATTAATCATTACCACCAGATCCCGATTTCCCCAGCAATAGGGACAACGTGGCACTGTGAGACACATCACTGATAATCGGGAACAATCGACCAAGGCACAGGTAATATGAACTTGTAGAAAGCCAAGCATGGCACACCATCACAAAGAAACATGACCTACTGTATGTAACTATGTATGTACTGGTATACCAGCCAAGATTAAAAATAACCGACTGTACGCCGCATCCGGAGGAAGCGGGAGTTCCAGCCCAGGCGGGAAAGGAAACCTTTTTTTTCATTTCCCAGTAATTTGCTTTTCCCCCTTCGCCTTCGTTCGCGATATTATTATTCTTCTTCCTTCTGGTCTTTCTTCCTCCCCCCGGCTTATCCTCAGCCTCTTTCTCGACTTTCTCCTCCTCGTGTCTTCCCCCCTCTTCTTCCCCCCTTGTCCTCTTCACATCTTCATCCCCCGTTCTTTCCAAACTGCCTGGCTGATTGAACATATCTCCGGGCCGGTGTTTCGTGTTCTTTTTTTATACTTGCGGGTTTTCTTTCCTCTTAACGCTCGCTCCGGCGCCGCCACTATCACTTCATCCCCGACTCGCCTTCGCCTTCCCACGACTTCTCCTCGTTCCCACAGGCCTATCGTTTTCAATTCCCACCCCCTTCGCATAGACACTCATTGAATCAGTCACCATGGCTGAAGGCAAGAAGACCGACGACTACACGATCCAGATGGATTCGATAGACCAGGGCAACAAGAGCTTCGAGGCGCCGCCGCCGCCTCAGCCCAGGAGTCCGCCGTCGGGCTCGCTGTCCAACAACCCCATCTTGCCCGTGTTGGCCTACTGTGGATCCTCGATCTTGATGACCGTCATGAACAAATATGTCTTGTCCGGCACTGATTTCAACCTCAACTTCTTCCTCCTCTGCATCCAGGTATGTTGGCTAATATCGGAGAGCCCATGGCGGGTGTGTATTGCATGCTCAAGGCTGACCGCTGTTCGATTTCCCCTGCAGTCTCTCGTTTGTATCATTGCAATCCAGACCTGCAAATCATGCGGTTTGATCACTTATCGCGACTTCAGCGCGGACGAGGCCAGAAAGTGTAAGTGCCCAGACTCTACATGCGTGCTTTCAAACCCCCCCCCCCCCCCCCTCGCGACGCTCTCGAACTGACATGCCTTTGATTATCACTAGGGTTCCCCATCACTCTGCTCTTGATCGGCATGATCTACACGGGCTCTAAGGCGCTTCAGTTCCTCTCGATTCCCGTTTACACCATCTTCAAGAACTTGACCATCATCCTTATCGCCTACGGAGAGGTGCTGTGGTTCGGTGGCTCTGTCACCGGTCTTACCCTGTTCTCTTTCGGACTGATGGTTCTGAGCTCTATCATTGCCGCCTGGGCTGACATCAAGCACGCTGTGGAGAGCAATGGCGATGCGACCGCCAAGATGTCTACTTTGAATGCAGGTTACATCTGGATGCTGGTCAACTGCCTCTGCACATCGTCCTATGTTCTGGGCATGCGCAAGCGGATCAAGCTGACCAACTTCAAGGACTTTGACAGTACGTTGCTCGGATTAAAACTATTGTAGCTCGAAAGTATCGTTTTACTGACCTGCCGTTTTCTAGCCATGTTCTACAACAACCTTCTGTCGATCCCCGTCTTGATCGTTCTGTCCGCTTTCTTGGAAGACTGGTCATCCACCAACGTCAACCGCAATTTCCCTCCTGTGGACCGCAACAGCATCGTTTTCGCCATGATCCTCTCCGGCCTGTCGACTGTGTTCATTTCCTATACCTCCGCCTGGTGTGTTCGCGTCACTTCGTCGACCACTTACTCCATGGTTGGAGCTCTGAACAAGCTTCCCATTGCTATCTCTGGACTCATCTTCTTCGATGCTCCTGTTACCTTCCCCAGTGTTTCGGCTATCGTCGTTGGCTTTGTTAGCGGTATCGTTTACGCCGTTGCTAAGATCAAGCAAAACGCTAAGCCAAGGACTGGTGTCTTGCCAACCGCCAACCCCCCGGTCAGCGCCAGCAGCCAGAGTATGAGGGACTCCCTACGTTCCTAGTCGGGTTGCCAGTCATCAACAGGATGGTCAACTCGTTGTGGGCAACTGCTCCGGCTTGACCATCGTCAAGGTTACTCCGTACCGAGTGCAAGACTGAACGTGCTCGTTACTCGCATGTGATATGTGATTCTTCGTTTCGTTGTAGTTGGCGAGGGCTGTCATTCAGACCCTGAATTACAGTCTTCATGCCTTCCTCGGCAGGTGTTGGTGGTTCTGTATTCAATTTCCACATGTCGAGCTACCTGAGAGGCCTTTAATTTGCTGTTACTGGTCTTTCAGCTTTGCTTTCAAATATCTGCCCCGATCATGACCCTTTTCGCATATTCTTTCTATTTTTGTTTCGGGCTGCGCAGATGGCTTCCATTTGAATATCATCTAGTAATGCCGTGGATTGATATGACATGTCTTATTTTCTTGCTGATCCTGGCGTGTTCAGTGTTCTTGTCTGTGACGGGGCCTCGCAAGTTCAGGTTTCGTGCGGTTGAGGATTTATCAAAAAAGGAAGGCCTTTCCTGGTGTTCAAGCCTGTATATAAGAAGTTCTTTCTTTACTGCCTTTTTAATAAATTTTATAGAATTGAAGCGTGTTTTTGGACGACTGAAGATCCCTTCGCGGTAAGAGTACGACTTAGTCGCCGAGGTTGCACTCGGAGTATCTTCTCATAATGTAAGGTCCCTGGAGCTTCTCGTGAGCATGTTGCATGCTTTTCCCAACAAATCTGTGTGTGTGTGTGTCACGGTTTTGAATTAAACACTTAATGTATAATTGCATTACCTAGATAGAACCTTGTTGAGCTACTTAGTACGTACTACCATTAATAAGTACTGATGCATCTCCGGAGGTCTGTCTCTATGGGGGGTTTCGTCCCTACCATGATCCCGCAAACCCGACCCTCTCATTGGTCCATGCGGCAACCAGGGAATCATACGTACTTAGTAGAATTTTGAACCGCCGCCGTGCCTCCACCGTACCTTAGTGCCTCTTCATCGCAAATATATATATATATATATATATCATTATCAAAAAAACATTTATATGGAATATATATACAGTACACAACCTCTACCTAAAGACAGAAGAGACAACTCCCGTCTTCCCCTCTTTTCATCATTATTCCTAAGTATTTACCTTCTCTTATTTTTTTTTACCCCTAACAATTTCCCTACATATTCTTAAAAATCACCAGACAAGAGAAGGGAAGGGATTAAAAAACTGAAAAAAAAAAAAAAAAAAGGAAGATAAAAGAAAAAATGCCCAAGTCCAAGAAAGGCGGCGGCCCATCCCCAGCAGGTCAGCAACAGCAACAGCAACAACAGCATTCAAAAAAGCATCGCAAAATGTCTTCGTTTGCTAAGCTTTCGACTACCACCCCTACGAACTCTGCAAAGCCTAAAGCCGCTCAGAGTGCTCATCACCATCCCGGGTCGTCGGGTAATGCTAAAAACAGCAACAATGATCGAAAGATGAAGAATTCGCAGCAGCAACAGCAACAGGTGCAGAGGAACCAGCGGCCTATTGTGCCTTTTGGACGGAAGGATCGGATTTTGTTGGTTGGGGAAGGTGAGTCGGATTTGCCCTTTCTTCCCAATTATTACTTTTATGTGCCCTTCTTGCGGTTCGATAGATCCATGCATTTCCTTTACAATCTTGATACTTGCTTTTCTTTCTTCCTTTCCTCTTTTCTTCTTCTCGCGCGCGCTTTTCCTCCTCCCCACGCAGAAAGCAGATGCTCAGTGTTTAAGCTCGCGTTGGCCTTTGTCTACATCCTACTTGCTAATCCCCACCGGGGAAGGGGGAATCTGACCCGGAGAACCATGTCATAAAGTTGCTTTGTTGGACCGCAGTCCTAACTAGATTGATGTAGGCGACTTCTCCTTTGCTCGCTCATTAGTCCTCCAGCACCGTTGCAAGAATGTCATGGCTACCTGCTATGATTCCAAAGATACGCTCCACAGCAAATACCCCCAAGCTGAAAATAACATTCACGATATACAGTATGCATTTTCCAAGGCGACGACGGGGGAGCATGCTTCGGACAGTAAGGAGAACTCATCCAACGGAGACGGCACAAGCATTGTTGGAACCAATGCACAAGGGCTCCTTGAAGACCAGGCGCAACGTCGTGGACCCAAAGTCATTTACTCAGTTGACGCTCGAAAACTTGGTCTTCCTGCGGGTGGCGGTAAAGAAATACGGACGGGCTTTCCACGACAGGAGCGAAAACGCCCGGCCTGGAAAGAAGCAAAGAGCGGCACCTCATCTGCACCACAAGGTGGGCCGTGGGATGTGATCTGTTTCAACTTCCCCCATGTCGGCGGTATCTCCACCGACGTCAATCGGCAGGTGCGAGCCAACCAGGAACTCTTGGTGGCTTTTTTCAAAGCGTGCGTGCCTTTGTTGTCTCATCAACCCGAGCGCGTAGATAGTGACGATGAAGACGACTGGGACAACTGGGAGGACTCTGACGTTGAATCAAGCGGGGGTGAAAACGATCATGATGGCAGTGAAGACGGCGACCAACTGCGAACAGCCAATACTACCGGGCAGGCGACACGCCAAAACAGAGTGGAACCAGGTCAGATTCTAGTGTCGATGTTTGAGGGTGAGCCTTACACCCTCTGGAATATTAAAGACCTTGCAAGGCATGCTGGCCTGCGAGTGGTCACCAGTTTTCGATTCCCGTGGGCCTCTTATAAGGAGTATTCCCATGCGCGGACACTGGGCGACATTGAAGGAAAGGATGGTGGAAGAGGCGGCTGGAGGGGGGAAGATAGGGACGCGAGAATGTACGTCTTTGAGGTTAAACAGGAAGACCATCCAGTGAAACGGAGGAACGCCCCATCTTCCAAAGCTGGGCAGAGTGCGAAGAAGAAGAGGCCGAGAGATGCATCCGACAGTGACGACAGCGAATAGGAAATGCCTGTGCAAATTACTCGTTGCAGATACACATTCCACTGTCCGTTTCAACCCAGAAGAATGAGATAAGGAGTAGGGCCAGTTGCAGCTGTACATAGCCTTGGTACGCATTCCTTGTTTACATGATGTAGACTTTCTTCATATCACCCTCATTGAATACTTCACCGGTCGTAGGGTCCTTTACTTTACCTGCCTCAACACATCCGACTTTCTTGCTCATCTCTAAGAGCCGTTGCTGACCGTAAATCCTGCCATTTGGAAGCACAATCGGGTCGCTTTCAACGTAGCTCTTTGTGTGGTGAGCATATGGCATGTTACGTGCGAGCTCGTTAAGCTCGGTCGAACAAATTGGACAAACAGATGTTGTTGTGGACAGCGAGTTCGAACTGGAGGAGGTATAGGCCGAATGGCACGAAGGGGTCTTGAGAGCCGACAATCCCGCAGACAGAGCGATGTGTAACAAAGGGCGAGAAGATAATGACAAGAGCTCATGGTGAGTGCGGACAAAGAGATCGGAAAGATAAGCCCATCTTTCATGAGCATACATCGACTAAGGGTGAGTTAGTTGTACAGTCTTTCATGAGAGTGTCTCCAATATCCCCATTACCTTGTACGGCTCAGCTTTGGTGTCTGGAGGAAAAGCGAGAAGTCCTGCAGCTCGATGAATCTCTACCGACTGTGTTTCAAGGTAAGGCGCCAGATATCTTTTGGCGTGAATCATAGCGTCGTTGAATCTCTCTTTATGTCCCGTTCTGACCATTTCAATGTATTGCTGCAATCGGAGTTCGAACTCCAGATTATACTGTAAACCATGGTCAGGCTTGTGTTCTGGCATATAGCTCCGTGATCATCGGTCGATGTTAGACAAACCTGACTCTTCTTCAGCGCTGCTTTATTCTCGCCACACCATTGCAGGGCATCTTTAGTTTCACCAGCGCGTAGGCTCTCGGCAATCCGTTGACACTGTACGAAAACGTTGAGATCAACAAGTTCCTCGATCCCCTTCTCACGGGCTAATTGCTGGGCACTTTTGATATACCCGGAGCGTAACATATGATCTACCATGAGCCTGTCCAATCGAACCCTCGCCCACTGATCATACTGGACGTCTGCCAAGCTAGGAATCTGGTGAAGTTTCTCCAGGTGCTGGATACGCTTCCGGGACTGCTCTTGAATTTTTCTTTCCTCCTGATGTAAATTCTCCATTTTCCGTTTCAAGCCTTGCATGCGGGAAATCATAGCGTCGAGTGCAGCAAGAGCTTGGTCAGGCGTTTGCTCATTTGATAAGGATGCATTGGCGGTCTCCTTGAGTGTGGGGATGACATATTCCTTTTCACGCTCTACGAGGCGCTGAACAGATTTGAAATTTCGACGTGCAAGCTCATGTGGTAACCGTAGGAGAGGCTGGTCCTAGAATTAGACGACCAAATTAGTATCAGAATGCGGGGGCAAGTCGGCAATAGGTTGGGGGCATAGAGCTGAATACCAAGAGCAGATGGTTCTCCGCATTGAGCCGGGTAGATGTAAGTTCCGCAGCCATGGTGAGCAAATATATAGCCAGTGATTGAGTTCCTGACTGGGCAGTTACAAGGCTAACCACGATCAAATGGGACGTGAAGTAGACATAAGTGAATGGGGGTTTAAGGAATGGGGGAGCAGCAGATGGAAGTTGCCCGACGTGGTTACCGGAAGTGATGCGGGGGACACCGCCTCCGGTCACGGGCCTTCAGTCACGGTACCCGCGCCCAACTACGAAGACGTTACACTTATGTTCAAAGCCCACGCAGGTGGAAATAGTAATTGAATCGAGAAAAGACACTGACATACAAGAACCGCAACAAAAATCTCTTTAGTAAATAGATTCCCTTTTCAAACCCAAGACTCCGACACAAAGAAACAAGTATGTTACAGGAATCATACCCAAGCGACGCTCCAACAAGCCTAGACCGATTGAATAGCGGCCGCTCCCCGTTCTGAGGCAGGTAAAGAACTTCCCGGAAGCGTTTAATCACTATCGTCGCTCTCCTCCTTCTCCTGCTTGGACTTCCGGCGCTCCTTCTTTTCCTTCTTCTCCTTCTTCTTGCGCTTGCGCTCGGCACGCTCCTCGGGTGTCTCACCTTCGTGGCGCTTGCGCTTCTTCTTCTCGTCGTCGTCGTCATCAACATCCATCTTGTTGGGAGAAGAAGGGGTTTCCGTTTGCTCGGCAGGAGTAGCAGCCTCTTCCTTAGCGACGGGTTGAGCCACTGCCTGCGCGCCTTCTTCTTCGGGTGCGCTGTAATCCTTGTAGTCGTTCTTCCATTTGGCAGGCGTAGCCTCGTTAGCACGACCGTACTTCTGCATTGTTTGTCAGCAAACCAGCACATAGGTGAGCGTTTCACAAATCCAGAGAATAGCTTACATCCAGCTTTCCGGCGGACTTGAGCTTCTTCTTCTCCAAAGCCACAGGTCCCAAGCCCCAGCGACGGGGGTACAGGTCACGTTCCATGATACAACGCTTGACCTTGGCAACAACGCCGTGATCACAGGTGGACAGCTCGACGGTCGACATTTGAGCGATACCGATGGCAATAGCCTCACCCTTAGTGGTCATGAGGACCACCTCTTCGTTGACCTCAATACCAGCCTCTTCACCAGAGTCAGCAATTTAAATCAGACCATATAAAGGTGGGATCTTACCGAAGCGGAGGAGACCAGGAACCATCAGCTTAGCACCATAGCACACAGCATTCACAGCGCTGTCTTTGACAACGATACGCTTGTACGTGGTGAGGAGAGTCTCCAGAGGCTTAATGACCTTCCTCAAATAAGACTCGTCCCGCTGGTTGTCGTACATCCATTGGGCATCCAAAACGTCATGCAGAGTCACCATTCCACTGTTCTCATCCATGGCACCACTGCGAACACGGCGGAGTTCCTGCATGTGCGCACCAACACCGAGCAGAAGACCCAAGTGGACACAGAGGGTTCTGATGTAGGTTCCGGCTTCACAGCTGACCCAGAAGACACCAAGGTGCCTCTCGTTGTCGAACTCGTAAAGCTTGCTTTCGTGAATTGTCCGGATACGAAGCTGACGCTTAACAGCAGAGATCAATGGCGGCCGCTGGAAAAGAGCTCCAGTCAATGTCTCGAGAGCCCGCTTAAACTGGGCCTCACCACCAGGGATCTTATCATGGAGGCGGATAACGCAAACGTATTCTTTTCCGGCACCCTGTTGGGATTTCACCAGGCGAGTGGCACGGTCAATGCAGACAATCAAGCAACCGGTGACCTTGGGGTCGAGGGTTCCGCTGTGACCAGTCTTCTCCGCCCTTTACAGAACTAGTCTCAGTATCGTCAAGACGAGAGGAGAGCAAAATAGAAAATTTACCTCAGGATTCTCTTCATCCAAGCAACAACTTCATGACTGGAGGGGTTTGAAGGCTTGTCCAGGTTGATGACACCGGAGTTGATGTACGACTTCAGGTCGCGCTTCAAAGGAGTGCTACCAGCGGGGATAGGCGTGAAGTGGCCGGTCCTGACAAGCACTGATATTATGAATCAGTACCAGCTACATTGATATGAGATATGGCATTGGAGTGAACATACGCTTGTCATAATTCTTCAGAAGAAGCGGCCACTCCGACGTGTCGATTTTCGAGGAACTAGCCTCAGGCTTGATTGCGTAGTCCATCTCCTCCTTAGCCACTGCGACCGCCATTTTGAACAGGCTGGCTTGAAGGGTGCAGAGATAACTGGGTTGTTGCGCGCGTTGAGGGAAGGCGCAGGAAAAATTGCACTCTCCGGACTAAGTTTTGTTCTCGCGCTAGCGAGGAAGAAGTCTGGGAAATTTTGCAAGTGCGGCGAAAGCTCCTGCGACTAATCAGGTTAGAGCAGAAATTTTACCCGCCGACCCAGCATCCCGTGACTAGTCTTTTGCACGTTGCAAATTCCGTATTCGTACGTCTCGTTACGTCTTTAAAAACATGTTTATTTGAAGGACTGTATCGGAAGTTGACAATTTTCATTACTTGGTAGTATAGAAGAGGTATCGGTCTATGTGTCGTGTTTACTTGAGTGTCTGCTACCTCTCTTTCAATCATCATTCTGAGCATCGAAACGACTTCAGGTATCTGCAAGAAGTTGATAGTCGTACTTCTTGAGCCCTTGGCTTCAGCATCAGGTTGAATACATTTGTAGTAAACATTGCCCGCTTGACCAGACTTCCCTACTCTGCACTTGGAGCGACTGGTCAATCTGGCAGGAACGATGTGCCTACTCAGTCACCACCAAGTCTTCTTCCTGGCCCTCTTCTGCTCCAAGGGCTCTGAAAGGATGAAGTCCAGCTTCCCGAAGAACCCTGTGTTTGGTCCGTCGCACGGTAGGCGGTCCCAAATGCGCGAGCTTCGCCCCGCGGCGTGCGGGCAGCAAAGAACCGCCTCACAAACGCTGGAGTGACGAGGTAATTCTTACCACCTCCGAAAGTTGGATATATACGGGTAAGAAAATCGTAGAAGTGGGCAGCAACTATGCCCATGCCGTCCCTCAACGCCGCAGGCCATCCGGAAACGACCAGCGTTAATGTGAGCATTGCCCAAGGCAAGAACTCGACGGGTATTTGGACAATGAAAAAGCTCGCCTTTCTTCCTCGGTTGTCTTGGGAAAACGTGTAAACGAATGCCAGGATCAACGCTGAGTTGAGAAACATCAGTATGGGCAAGCATGATTTGGTACCACGGTTAGCTCACCGGAGGTAAAAATTACATTATTCAAAAGACAACCTGCCGTGAGCTTTGGGTTGTCAGTACTGGCAATTCAAGGAGGCTACATTGGAAGGGAGGAAGGGTCTATAAAAATGACAAAGCAATAGGATATATAGTTATAGAGATGTAGGGCACCATAACCACCAGTGTGAACCAAATCATCACACTAGCTATCTCACTGGTCGTCCCACCATGCCTACAACGCATATAGCCCCGGTAAAATCAGTTGTGGAGCTATACGGGATGCAGGGGTGATCTCCCTCGTTTCCAGGAACCGCTTCAGCTGATGCTGCGCTGGGCGGGCAGATATACGAGGTGGGTAGATAAACAAATGAAACAGAAGAACGATAACAATAACGAAGATGGGCGCAAAGCAATACTGCGAGACAACAGGGGTCGAAGTCATCGCTTGCATATGAGACTGGGATGTTCCCACAACTTACCATGATGATGGATGCTACGAAGAACACATAAGTGAAAAAATCACCAGGTGCACTGAACCGGGGAGATTCAGTCTCCAGGCGGCTGCCATAGGTAAACACTACCGGCAGTTAGCACGCCCGTTCACCAGAACAGCGCAAAAGCCATACTAAAGTAGAGATCAAAGATCAGGGAAAGGCCTGGTCCAGTGATCATGAACGGCGAGAACAGCCTCCATATCTCTGGTAGTGTCTTGAAGATAAGGCGGCGAAGGAACAGTACATAGTAACCGCTGAGAAGGCCACCATGTACTAGTATAGACTGTAGAAAGGTAAGTGCAGTGAGTGTTCTGAAGGAGAGTCAGTTATGGATCCTGATATGAGACACAAGTGATGAGGGAATAGCTCATACCTAGTAACAGGAGGAGCAGCCCAAAACTGGTCCATTGTGATTGCAAGAAGCTGCTATGAAGAGCAGTCACGATGGTAATCCTGTAATCTGAGTACAGATACTATTCGAGACACATCATTCAGTGTCACAATAGGTGGCGTGGCATTCAAAGTTGGTTTAACAACTAAGTTGGAAATAATGGGAAAGAAAGAAAAGGACAGAAAGTGAGTTCTTATAGTGTGTGTATTTCCTAGCTCCAGTGCGGCATCTGTTTATCCGTTCCGGCATGTGTGCGACCCACAGGGTTATACCAATTGCGGGAGTTCCTATCACCATTTCTGTACGTAATAATGTCCTGCTGTTTCAGTGCCTGGTTAGTAGAGAACTACCCCGTAGTTAACGATAATGACATGATCAGTGACTGACTATAGCCACCCCAGATTTCAAGCAGAAACGAGTGTGAACAGATTATTATATTCATGAATGGGTCCTCGGTAGTCCATAATGCTCCTGAAATAACGAGTTACTAGTGCTACATGCGAGCTAATTCAGCATGCAATGTGTCGCTATATGCCACAATATACCCCTTCCATCAAACAAGTATCGATCTACTGAGACGTCCCTTTTCGACGGCCGTGATTGCTCTATGACTCAAGTACTATAGTCAGAGTAGTGGTGTCAAACCGAGCAAGTTGCTAATATATCAGGAGGCTCTCCTCTCTATTCGTTTATTGGCCTTGGCCGCTTCTTCATCATGACTCCATGAGCCCTACAGAGGGCTAGTGAAAGCGGTACCTCGGACGGCAAGTCGTCCGTCCTTACCCTCAATCCAAACATCCCAGGTTGTGTAGCCCTTTCCCGATTTGGGTTTGCCGCATACTGCTAACTCTTCATCAACATATAGAGGAGCTATGTTCCTATACTCAATGTGTGTGACAGTCAATTGTAACTTACTCAGATGGCCCTGCAGAGCAGTAAGAAGCAACGTCAAAGTCAACGGCCCATGTACAAGAAGGTTGCGGTAGCCTTCAACGTCTTGTGTGTAGGCCTTGTCGAGATGTATAGAATGAGCGTTGAAAGTAAGAGCCGAGAAGCGGAACAGCAGGGTTTTGTTAGGTATGAGTCTGTGAAGGAAGTATGGACCTGAGGGTGCTACGCGCCACCGAGCACCGTTAGCAAAGATAAAGTGACTGGTAATCTTCGAGGTAGCTCGCACATTTTATAGCCCTGTTTTCCGTGTCAAAACCAGCCTTGTCATGACTTAGTTGCTCGGGAGTTTTCTTGCGCATAAACAATAGATTCCTGGTCTCAATGACACAAGCATCGCCAACGTCTTCCTCGGTTTCCTTCCATATCCGCTCTTTTATATCGCGATGGTCTTCGCCCTCTTGAACTGTGCCGATCCGCCTTTCAATCCTGACCATAACCTTTTCTTCGCCTGACCGGCCCTTCATTACCACGTCACGAATAGTTTCGATACAAACGGCTCGGCTGCCATTTAGAACCAGGCCTTTCGGGGTGGAGAACCTGACACTCCCACCAGCCCACAAGCGCCTATCAAAGGGACTCCCGGGGGCATGTAAGGTGTCCGTACCGTCTGGAAGGATCTGCGGCAATGTGACCTGGGGAGGGAAGTAGACTAGGTGGTGGCCTGCTGGCACGGGAGATCTGCTGTGTGCGGAAGGAAGCTCATTTGGCGCTGGGGTTAGCGTGGGAAGGAGTTCGGCCAGAGTTAAGCTCAGGAGGTATGACGGCTGGGGATGTAGATAGTCAAAAGTCAAGGGGAGCTGTCGTGATGTCAAATCTCGGTGTAGCCTTTCGGAAAGAGACGAACATGCACGAAATGAAGCCGGCAGTGTCCGCCATTTCTGCTGTTGTTGCTGTTGTCGCAGTAATAGTCGCATCCGTCTGGAATTCAAATTGAACATGCACATTTGGTCCAATTGATAAGATAAACCAGGCCCTGGTGGACAAAATGAACCATCAAAAACAAACAACTCGGAGATGATTACACGGGCTTAAACGAGTTCAAATTTCGACTAGTTATGTCAGCCGCAGCTGTGGAAAGGAACAACTCACAAGCTCTTGGCAGGAGTACAAAATCGTGAGACAAGCAACTCAAACCCAGTGGATCTCCGAAGTCCTCATAGCGCTGCCATGGAGCCTCTCAAGGTCGCATTCCTCGGCCCTGTCGCGTCATTCTCCCACCAGGTCAGAATTTCATCAGGTTGGACTTCGCAATAGTCCCATGACTAACCAACCTTTTAGGCCGCAGTTGAAAGCTTTGGGTCTTCAGCTGAACTTTTACCCCACGTATCGTTTCCGGACGCTTTCGCAGCATTGCAAGGAGGCAACGTCGATTATGCTATCATCCCTTGCGAGAACTCAACCAATGGCTCGGTTGTTCAGACTCTAGATCTCTTGGCGGACCCGAGCGGCCTCTACAGTAATGTGAAGGTGTGCGGGGAACATTATCTGACAGTTCACCACTGTCTTCTCACTCGAAAGGGTCTCTTCCCACCTGGCCAGCGAGATTACAGCTCCATCACCAAATTATATACTCACCCGCAGGCATGGGGTCAGTGTGATACTTTCCTTGAAAAAACTTTCAAAGGCGTCGAAAGACAAGATGTCTCGTCAACCTCCAAGGGCGCTGAGATCGTGTCCAAGGAGACGACAGAGCGATGTGGAGCAATAGCTAGTCGCTTTGCTGCCGAGCATCACGGTCTAGATGTATCAGAGGAAAATATCGAAGACAAGGCCAACAACACCACCCGGTTCCTGGTGCTCAGAAATGTGACTTCGGAACGTACAGGTCGGCTGGTCTTCCAATATGCCAACGGTTCCCCAGCACAGACAAAAACTTCTACTACACCAACAGCGCAAAAGACTTTGATCTCATTTATGATTCGCCAGGATTGCCCGGGTGCCTTGGCAGATGCTCTCTTGATTTTCAAGGATCGTGGGATGAATCTGACCGGCATTAATTCGCGACCCAGTCAGATAAGGCCGTGGAAGTATGTATTCCTGGTCGAAGGCCAATACGTTCCAACAAGTGAAAATGCGGATGCGGTATCCAAAATCATGGATGGGCTACAACATGTAACTGAGGGTTGCAGGCATTTGGGAACATGGGCGGATCAGCTCGTATATGTCTAAGTGTCGGTACTGGTGAGGAAGTGTAAGGGGTTCACAAGTGCTTGTAGCCTGCAAAAATTCAAATAGACATATCAAATCGATACCCGAATAAGGAAATAGGTTCTATGAAGCAATTCAATTGCCGTGTAGGCCTCGTGTGTCATGCGCTACCAGATTTACAGGCATCTACAGGACCTGTAGATAACATGAAGAGGAAGCCAACACTGGCTTCCTTCCGTTATAAGAAGAGGCGCACTCAGAAGCAACAAAAGAAAAACACAACGAAGAGATCCAGTGCTGACAGGCACTGGAACAAACAGTCTAAACGCGCTAGCCCAAGTGTTATACGATCGACAGCCCTTGGTGAGTTCTAGGTTCGACATAACAGATCTATCATCTTTTCGAACTGAAGTATAAAACCTAGTGCCACCCTAGACTGTCTACATAACCTCAGTGAACATGGTACGGAGCTTGGATGGCCCTGCTGCTATGGTGTCAGCAAGTAGTAACGATTGCACAAAAAATGAAGCACATACTTCTAAGCAGCTTCATAGGATATTGACTGGGCAACGGCACGGTGTGTACCATTGCGGCCATGTTGCCGGGAGAGCCGCCATCACGAATCACGGGGCGAGCCGTCAGAAGGTCCGAACTGGAAACTTCTGGCCGTTCATCCTCGCTCTCTGCGAGGCCGCGGAACCGTCAATCTGTATAGAGTGGTTAGCACACGAACAGCATCGAGATTAGGATAAACGTACCGTCGTAGAATTCATCCTCGTCATCGTAGTCAGCAAGCTGTTCAAAGTTGACCTTGTACCGAAGGATGGCTCCGATACCACCGAAACCCTTAACAAACTGGTTTCCTTCACTGGACTTGTCGGAAACGAACTCCAGGGTTGCTCCAAAGTCCTTGTAGCTTTCAGCAAGCCACTCAAGGAACGACTGCTGCTCGCTAACTTCCATCTCAGTGCCTGTCTCCTTGTCCATGAAGAGTTCCCGATTCTCTTCCTGTGACTTGGTAGTGTGGATAACGACGTCCGAACCGCTGGAGCTCTTGAGAACGTGCCGAGTGACGTCAAGGTTCTCATAAACGATCAGTGTCTCGGCCGCGCCAAGCTCCAAAGCCTTCAATGTATCGTCAATACCATAGCAGACCTTTCCAGTATCCTGACTGATTTCTTCGAAGTACTTTCCGATAAGCTTCTTCTCCTGAACGAATTTAACGTTGCTCAAGGTCTCAGATGCCAGTTCGATAGCCTGGTTAAAACCGTTCTCGCCACCATAAGAGACGTCGACAACCTTGATAACCTTAGCCTGCAATCTCTGGTCGAACATATCGGACTGGTTCAAGTCGTTCTTGAAATCGGCAGAACCGGCCAAGATCAATCCTGCAACATTGACCTTGTCGTTGGTGATGTAGTTCTGAACAGCCAACTCAGCAATCTTGCGTACGTAGTTGTGGCGCTTCTCCTCACGAAGACGCGCGAAACGCAATGCTGATTGACCACCACGGCCGTGCTTCTTGGGCAGATCAACGCTCAACTTCTGTAGAATTTCTCTGGTGTTGCCGCTCAGGGTACCGAACAGAGCACCGTTTCCATCCATGACGATGAAACCAAACTTCTGATCGGATTCAAGAAGTTCACTGAGAGCCTCAGTGTGGAACTTGTTGTCACAGAGATACAACGAGGTGTTGATTGGCTTGAAAGGCTCGAAATCGATGTTGATCTTGCGCTCCTTTCCTTCAGAGGTGATAATTTCACCGCAATAAACCACTAGACCGTTCGGAGGCACCTTATTGTAGAGCTTGAGACGTTGCTGTGTCGAAGTGATAGCGGAAAGGACGGAAAGACGGTTGACACGAGACTTGATATTGGACGCAGTGCCCTGTATGCTGTGATTAGCAGACTGGCTGTGTCTCTCTCAGTCAAGCCACTTACAAACTCTTCCGCCAACATCTTTGCTGCTCTAGAAATCTGGTCCTTGGGGGCTGCAAAGAAGATCCGAGAATTAGAAGTATTCTAGCGACGACTCGACTGGACGGAAGACGTACGAATGATAAGAGAGATCATGGAGGTTCCGTTTCCTCTAGCGGCCTCAAGCCGCTTGATGAGTTTCTTCACCTTCCATATCTCGATGTTCTTCTCCGCTTCGTTCGGCTGAGCCGCGCTCATGTTGGGCGAGGCAACAATATGATACGACCAGAAGGCGTTAAAGTGTGCGGCTTGCTGGTGCTAGAATACTGACTGTTAGCGGTAGGACGTCTTTTTTAGAGTGCAAAGAGAAAGCGAACTGAGATTAAAAGGGATCTATGAGAGTAGGCAACCTCAAAGACAAAGGTGAACGGGAAAGAGACGATCAAGTCACATACCTCACGGCTGGTCGATTTGCCGTCCAAGTCCAGCGGGGTGTTTAAGCAATTTTCATCAGGCACCGTGGGGGGGCGGCCGACGACACAAGGAACCAACGAATGGGCCGGCGGTCGCCTGTTTACGATGACATAAGCTGGAACTCGCACAAGGAAGGGGAATCAATCAATACCACAACGCTCATTTAGAAGCATTGTGATCCATATTGATAGGGAGTATATAAATACGAGAGAGAATCGCATCTGAGGCCTCTGCATTTGCATCATTGTTAGGCTTATCGATTACACTTAATATTGCGACCGCAAGGCTTCAAAGATCAATTAGATGGACCGGAAGTGCGGTTCCTGGAAATACCATACTTCCGTCATCCAGTATACGACCCAGCGCTTGCGAGTCGAGTTAATCCGGCCAACTGCACCGCTTTGTTCCACACGAACCCTTTTTATATGGGGGTCTCTATTATAACGAGCGTTCCTTATCAAATTCCTAATTTCTAAGAACTTTGGCTGGGGCATGCTACCTACATAGCATCTCTGATGGCTCAATTCATACCAATCAATACGAACGGTACTACGGAGTACTTCCCACGTAACCTTCTTCGTTGATGGTCCCAAGAGTGGCATTTGGCCTACTTTACCTATCGACTAATTAGATCATCTTGTTATCATACTTCATATATGGCACAACCTAGCGTGAGTTTGGGTCTTTAAAGTTGGTCATCTCTCTAAACATCAGTGGTCATTACACTCTGCGATTCTTACGAATCGTAAGTTTTGTCGGCGACTTCGAAGCATCAGTCTTATCACTATCCCGAGAACATGCAAGAATGAAACCGTCCATGTTATCGCAGGCTGAACCACCCCGTCTGGAGTACATAAATCAATGTGGTGAACCAAATACTATTGATGGCTTATCAATAACACGGAGAACTATCTACAAAAGCTGGTTGGAAACTCCATGTACCTGTGCAGTATTAGTTCCAAGAAGAACCCCACATTCGCTCCCGAAATTCGCAGAAGCTCCCGGGGGTCCTTTTCTATCATGGAATAATTTCTCATTGGACTTACCAATCAAGATTTCTACCCTTGCCTTTCTCGGAGATAACCTGTTTGTATCCGTTAGGTCGACTACGGAAGTGCTACACTACTACACGCTTATCTTTGTCCTGGACATCGTGCAAGCTGATCCTGTGGCTGCGCCTATAAGATATTGCTGATAGTGACGACCATTCCACTCACACGCTGGGTTTAGTATCCGCCACCAAAAGTGACGCCCTAATGTTATTTCGCCGATAGCTGATTTGTCTCCTCAACAGCCTTGATTGTACTTATTGCCTTCAATAAATAGACTCGGTTTTTCCAAGGTTCTCTTTCCTCGATCGCTCTTCCCCTGACATATTTTCATTTATTCATTTCCTTCTTTCTTTTCTTTCCTTCTTTTTTTCCCCTTTGCGAAAGTCGACCAAGCAGCAAGTAGCTTGATTCACGACCGAAGCTTCTGTCCCCGGGCAAGGGACTCTAAAGGAATCTTACACAATGCCTGAATCCGCAATTCCTGCAGCTGCTGGTGCCCAGGCTTCTAGCTCACATAGGCCGATCACGCCTGGTAGGCTAAGCGCTGATTCTGCAATTGAATCTGATGTATATCCTTATGGGCTTGCAACCAGCAGTGGCAGCTATTCAAGAGTAGAAGATAGCTATCAGAGGCCAAGGTAAGTCGCCTACTCATCATGAAATCACATAAAATGCCAGCCTCGGTTTAACTGTCTCTTGTGCTACACAGATCAGCCTCCTTCTCCGCGCGGTTCAGACAGGCAGGAGGAGTCAATAGCATTGACAACTTTGCTCGGTCGTGGCAGCGAGCTGCATATTTTCCAGAAGTCTTACCTCGACGATCGTCATTTGTGATAGACTCTGACGAAGAATGGGCGGGAAATACAACCGACATCTTCAGGCCACATGATTACCCGGGGCATGAGGCCGACGTTACACGTCCCTTATTGGGTGCTGATGGAGAAAATGAAGACAATGCCATGGCCGGCCAGCTGGATCTGAGAAAAAGGGCATCGAATGCAGACATTTTTGAACCATCGCTGGGCGGTTCGTACGGAACGATTTCTTCCCGCGTTAGTGCGACGACACGGAAGCATGCGATCCAATTGCACAGAGAGCAACAAAGTCATGGTGATACATCTGTGGGCTACGAAAGGGAACCGGTCCTTGTAAAGCAGGTGCATCATGAAGACGGTACGAGAGAGTGTATCGTTGTCGGCCAATCTACGGTTCCACAGACAATCTTCAATTCCGTCAACGTGTTAATCGGTGTTGGTTTGTTGAGCTTGCCACTAGCTCTGAAGCATGCTGGCTGGCTTCTTGGCCTGCTATTTCTGCTATTCGCTGCAGTGGCCACAAATTACACGGCAAAGATCCTTGCAAAGTGTCTTGATGCTGATCGGAGTATCGTCACTTACGCAGATCTAGCGTACATTAGCTTCGGTCATCACGCACGCTTAGCGACAAGTCTCTTGTTCTGCTTGGAACTAGTTGGGGCTTGTGTTGCACTGGTTGTGCTTTTTGCCGACAGTTTGCAAGCTCTCATCCCGGGCTTGAGCCTTCTTCAGTGGAAAATAGTATGCGGACTTTTGCTTGTTCCCCTCAACTTTTTACCATTGCGACTTCTTAGCGTGACAAGTATACTCGGCATACTTTCTTGTACCTCTAGTATGTGTACCTTCTTTCAGAACTCAGTGTATTACCGAGAAACTAACATTGTCGAAGTTGTCATTATCACTTGTGTTGATGGGCTTACGAAACCAACCGCCCCGGGATCTCTCCTTCAACCAGCCAGGACGTATTTATTGCCTGACAATTGGGCCACTCTCCCTCTTAGCTTTGGGCTAATAATGTGTAAGTCCAATCACTCGCTAGGGGTTGCTTAGGAGAACGCGCTGATGTTCATATAAGCACCATGGGGTGGCCACGGCGTATTTCCAAATATATACCGCGATATGCGGCATCCACAGAAGTACGGCAAGAGTCTGTGGGTCACTTATATTTTTACGGTAAGCGGGTTTCGGCAGCATCTTGAAGAGTATATGCAGAGAAAAATCGTGCATATTGCTCTACGAACAGGGGATAATGTTCTCGGGTGCTAATCGAAATATTCGTCCTAGTATTCTCTTGACTGCACGATGGCCATAGTGGGCTGGATCATGTTTGGAGACGATGTTCGAGATGAAGTCACTGCCAATATCCTACGTACAGAAGAATATTCGCAGGTATTGTCTATTTGCATGATCATGTTCATCGCCATCATTCCAATCACAAAAGTACCATTGAAGTGAGTCATATTTCGCATGAAAAATATGGATTGTTGATTGACAAATGTAGCTGCCGGCCGCTCGTGGCCACAGTCGAAGTCCTCTGTGGACTTGGGTCACACCCTGAACTTCAGACAGATCCCAAGAGCACGAAAGCCATGGTTCATAAACTTTCAAAAGCCTTAATACGCATCCTTGTCGTGGTCAGCATTGTTATCATGGCAGTGCTATTCCCTTCGTTTGATCGAATCATGGCGCTGATGGGATCAGCTTTATGTTTCACGATCTGCATCATATTGCCGGTTGCTTTCCACCTGAAAATATTTGGCAACGAGATAAGTCCAAGAGAACGGGTACTGGACTGGTGCCTTTTGATAACTTCCTCGATATTGGCATTGATTGGGACTGCATGGTCCATTCTGCCGCAGGATGCCATCTCTGCACTATGAAAGTGCGGATAGCGACGCTTTCTTGTTGTCCCATACGACACTATTATCACTTGACGATAATTGAAAAATTGTTCCTTGTTTTTCCAGGGTTCAAGATTTCCTTTTTGAAAGGTTTGGCGTTGTAGTCGCCAACCTGATCCCAAAGTTGGAATATCAGCTTGGAAGTCTGCTTGGTCTTAGCCAACGCAAAGCCCATACTAGACATTATGTCTTGCAGCCTGCTTTCGGTGAGGTAGCGCGAATTGGTAACGCAGGAGACTGGCAGGACCAGAAATAGGCTTGGGGTAACATCAAGAGAAGATCCGGAGGGGGGTGATGTGGTCAAGAAGGATATACAGCGCTTCAACATTTCACCCCGACCGGCGGCGTCGGGAACATAATTGAGGACCAAGGAGAGACTGATGATATGGAACCTGTCGAACTCGTTTTGAGGAAGCGGCCTTTTCATGAAGTCCTGTTTCAGGATTCCCGGTTCTTGAGAATTCAGATCTATCCTAGTGACATCCAGTGACTTGTTCATTGAACAAGCGTTCTTCGTACTTAGAGCTCCAATCTCGAGTACTCGGAGCTTGTAGGGCGTATTTGCCATTGGCAGTAACCGAGGAGCTATCCAATCAACCAAGACCTTGCTAGAGTCGCCTCCACGATCTAGAGACTGGCCAAGTTTGCTTGCGAGCTGGTAGCTTTCCAAGCCACCATTTTCCCGGATCTGCGCTTCGATCTTTCCGACCAAAGCATCATCACCGGCCCGTACAGCTTGGGCATGCGCCTTGAGTAGTCGATGGTGTGATCGAATGAGATTTCGAGTAGCTTTCGCCGACAAGGCCGCATGCTTTGCCCGGACAGTTGGTGGGCGGGTGCGGGACAGAAGAGCAGGTCTTTTTCTCCGTTGTTTGTTAGAAGCCCCCATGTCTCGACCTAGTAATACTGCTGCCCTGGCAGTTTCTTAGCGTTTGAGTCGTAGTGTCTGCGCAGGCCAACAGCCATCAATTGGGCTCGTTCAACTATTGTCGAAATCATCGATGGCTTCGAACATGTGAGAAACCGCCTATTCTTCACGTGACCGTAACGGATACACTATGCCGAAAGAAGACAAACTCGACAGACTAGCCCGTTCGAGTTGTGGTCGCCAAGAGATCCAAACCATCCGACACGGAGGGCTGGTCAGGTGACCCACAGAGTCAACCGTAGGGTTTTCATTAAGCGAATACCTTCCAAATAATTCGACACTCGACACTGCGACAATCAACACGACAGCGCCGGACGATAGCCATGGCTCCCAAGGTGGATAACAAGCAAGGTAGGCATCATTTATGCGATTCATCCGTCTTCTTGAAATTTGCAGATTTGTTCTTGTCGGAATCCCGGTTTTGTGAGCCTCGAATGGCATCTACATGTGGCGGTACTCCGGGGGATAAGGCCCTCTCAGCACGATCGAAAAAAAAAGGCGTTTCCGATGAACGATTCGAGCCCTGTGTTTCCCCCGCTATTGTCAACCTTCTGCATGGATTTTGTGATTTCGAACGAGCGATCGGCTATATTTCATTTTGAAGTGACGGACGGGCTGACATTCAGGATCTATAGGCAAGACCAAGCCCAGCGACAAGGCTGGTGCTGCCGCCAAGGCAGTCATTAAGGGTGCTGGTGTACGTTCTCACAAGGCTTCAAATCCGCCCATGCTCTGTTCGGTGCTAAATATTATTTGATTCTCCAGGCGCACAAGTCTCGTAAGGTCCGCACCTCTACGACCTTCCACCGCCCCAAGACCCTTCAGCTTTCCCGGTCGCCCAAGTACCCCCGCAAGTCGATCCCCCATGTCCCTCGCCTCGATGCGCACAAGGTCGTCCTCTACCCTCTCAACACCGAGAGCGCCATGAAGAAGATCGAGGAGAACAACACCCTGGTCTTCATCGTCGATGTCAAGTCCAACAAGCGCCAGATCAAGCTCGCCCTCAAGAAGCTGTACGACGTTGACACCGTCAAGGTCAACACCCTCGTCAGGTACGACGACCTATCTCATAATCATTGACTTACTACCGAGTTCGGGATATCTAACTTGTCTTTAGACCCGATGGACTTAAGAAGGCCTACGCCCGTCTAACCCCTGACGTTGATGCTCTGGACATCGCTGCCACCAAGCTTGCCATCGTCTAGATATATTTCATTTAGGGTTTGGGTGAATTTTTATTTTGCGCGGTGGTTCATAAATATCAGTCATAAAGTTAGCTGCCAATGCTTGAATGAGGGCTGAATGATCGTTTCCAAAAAAGAAGAGGGAATTACTCGAATGCATGAATACCACGAATAAATCTGGTTCTAGGCTCCGTAGATCTTAAAGCCATTGCCGCGGACTCAAGGCCACTTGCCTATCCTAGGCCTAGTGTTCAAGTAGAGGGTACAAATCTATGCATGTCACAGCCTTACATGCGCAGGCCGCCAGAGCTGAAAAGTGAACTTCCGGCACGGTCACGGTGCTATTCCATGTGGCAAAGCCAGCACGTCCTTTCTATTGGTATGATTGATATAGTACATGAGGTACCCGTTTACATGCAGGGTGACGGCAGACGTGCTCTATGCATGAGCCCGCTGCTTTTCGTTGAAAAAAGTAGAAGACAAAGATTATACATCTTATCCACGAAGAGCTTCGAGATGCTTCAGGATCGCAAGGTTCGAATCCATCCACCGCTCAACGCAGTTCTGCGCGCATGTTTCCTCATTTTGTTCCAGGCGACCTGACGAGATCTTTCCCGCGATACATTTCTTCCAGCAAATATCGGACAACGAATGGACAGCTAAATGATGACCATTAGCAAATTGTTGCCCTGGAAAATCGCAAGACAGGGACGAATCGGCTTAAATAATAGCGACTCGGACGTAATTGACTCACTTTGCTGCATTGTGGCCTTTTGTTGCTCGTTTGCCAACATCTGGCTCAGTTCGTTCTTGTCGGCATCATTCAGCTTGCTAATATCGACCTGAGTCTGGGCGTCCATGGTGAAGATGGATTTCTGTGAAAAGGACCGGAAAGGTAGAATTTAATGATGAATGTTGTTTTAGGAACGGATCGCGAGTATGCTAAGTACAGGTCTTGAGTAGGAGATGGGATGGTTTGCTGGTTGGTCTCTGACGATGCTCAACCATCGGAATCAAACGCCTAGAAGAATTAAAGGCGGTGTGCCATGGCAGATGCGGCCGCAAGCTCGTAGCGCCCGCCGCTCGAACGCATCTATCTATTGTGGAGCAAATCATTCTTTGGGCTACGGAAAATCAATCAACAGGGTTTGGGTGTTTGGTTTCGCAATACTCACTTCTGTCTTTCTTTCGAGAAATCACGCAAAACCGCCTTTATCTTTGTCTCGTTGGCTACATATCCAGAGATGCCCCCAGTACGGACCTCGCGCAATCGCAAACCGCCCCCGGCAGGCTTCGATGATATAGAGGATACACTGCTGGAGTTCAGCAATAAGATGAAAGATGCGGAGAATGCATCGCATGACGGGAAGAAGAAGCACGAGATGCTGTGGCCCATATTTCAAATCAGCCACCAGAGTAAGTGGTCTTCCGTCGAATTCATATTCCAGTTGTCGACGGCTCAAAGTTACTCATAGTATGACACATAGGGTCGAGATACGTATATGACTTGTATTACGAAAAAGAAGCCATATCAAAACAGCTGTACGAATGGCTTTTGAAGAACAACTATGCGGACGCCAACTTGATCGCGAAATGGAAGAAGCAAGGCTACGAAAAGGTTACTATCTACCCGTTTTCTACTTCTGCTCTTCCTTATATCTCCTCCTTCTGTCATTCTTCAAGGGATACTACCACGAGTTTGCCCTACCAAGACCTGGAATAAGATGAAATCACTAACACGTGCCATGTCTTTATTACAGTTATGCTGCCTCCGGTGCATCCAGACGAAGGAAACGAATTTCAATGCAACTTGCATCTGTCGCGTACCTAAGGCGCAGCTCAAAGAAGATCAAACAATTCAATGTGTTAGCTGTGGGTGTCGCGGTTGTGCTAGCAGCGACTAGCCTCATCTCGAAAGCAAAATTTCTTTTTCTGTATTTTAGCGTATCCGGGTTTCGTTAAGTCAGTTGAGAGGCACAGGTCATGCAGGTTAGACCTTTCTTTGGTACGGCGTTAGGTTAGGAATTGTGACCACAGACATCTTTTCCTTCCGTGTACTGTTTCCTCGTTCGCTGCCTTTCGAACATCTTTTCCGTTTCTGCTTGCTTCGCGCATCATTCGGCACCAACTCACTAGGCTCTGTTCATTATTCAGAACATACCTGAACTCCTTATTACCTTTTCTGAAACTAGAAAGTAATACGCTTCTACGCTCTTTTACACTTCAAAAAAATACAGAAACAATGCAAACTGTGCGCTCTTGTAGTGGAAGCTAACTTGAATATGTGCTTGGTAAATCACCTCAAACATTCCGGGACATAAGCAAAGAAAACGACACGCAAGCGAAAAAGCAGAAATTCGAGTTCGTTTAGACATCACATACTCATGTACATCTTACCAAATGTCGTCATAAAGGTCGTAACAAGGTCATTCCAGGTCCGGTATATGTCATAACCGACTACCAACCACCCTTTAAACTCCAGCAACCTCATCTGCTCAAAAATGAAACAAACACACAGATTAAATGCGCCCCCCCTATCCCTCAGAAAAACCCGCTGTCTACCAGCTGGATCGGACAATTTGCCAATTTAGTACGCCATCAAAGAAAATGCAAATCTCCCGAGGCGCTCGCTGCGCATTATTGTCTTGTGGCTTCAATTTTACCTTCATCGTCCAAGCCCCCAACCTCCTGGCTTTAGAACAGAGGTGTGTTGCCCCGATGACTGCACGAAGGCCTCGGTGGGTATGACTTCGATCTTGACGATTCTTCCTTGCTCATACCCCCGATCTTCTGAAATCCCTGCAGGATATCCACGCCATCGATTTCTGTCGGGCTTTCATCAAAAAGATGGAACGAGAAGAAATCCTCATGTGAAGAGTCCAGATAACGTGCTGAGTCAGTCACTTTGGAAGGCGACTCGGGGAAAAGAAGGCCTTTAGCTTTGGTCGATGATTGCAACGGCTGCACCCCTAGCCTGTTGTTGGCATTCAATGATGTGATATCTGCCAGTATATTGCCATTTGATCCGCCAGCGTCTGTTCGAGTACGCTTAATAGACCGCTTCTCTGGCGAGCCGTATGCTGGGGTTGATATATTATCCGAAACAGGATCCGCAAAGACGTCGAAGCCAGTATGAAGATTCTCGCTCGGCGTGAATGTTTCGTCTTGGATATTAAAAGCGGGACTCCACGGAAGATCCTCATCGTTGAGTCCCAAATGTTTTATCGGGGAATTGACCATGTGTTGAATCTTTTTACGGTGGTTCCGTAGATTCGTGTTTGGTGATACTGAAGGTGGTGGCTTAGCGGGTTTCTTGAATTTGATGACCGGCGTGATAGGAGGCGGTAGCATGCTGATATATTCCCCACGGAGGGGCGATGAACCAACAACTAATCCTGAATCCTTCAAGATGCCACAATGACTTGGACTAATGTCGTGTGAGGAACTTCGAATTCGAGCTATCTCTTCCTCTGCCCGACCACGCTTGATTCGTGGAGGGTCTATGTCTAGATCCGAAGTCAAAATGTGCCCAGCTTTGTTTGGTCGCAAAGCTGAGGACTCTAGCGATGAGAAGTATCCGCTGTCATTCACTGCAGTTTGCTTTCTCTTATTGGTGATGGATACTAATCCCGAAGTGATGGTTTGAGAAGGGGTTGGAGGGGTTCCTTGTCGAGTGTAACGAGGAGGTACAACAGGTGGTGACGAATGTATGGGTTGCAGTGGTGACGATCGATGTCCAAGAGTCTGTTGCACAGTACGGTTGGTATGTTCGTCACTCGTGTCTTCTTGAAGAGCAGGGTCAGAAGCAGGGAGGGTGGCATCAGAAGATAGATCCACAGGCTTCGAATGTCTTCCTGTCGCTTGATATGGGGGCGGCGGGACTGCCCAAGTAGTAGTACTTGAGTTGTGCGGACGAGCTGTGTCCTTCTGCGGCGCGGCCGGAAGAGGCAGGCTGGACATGGTTGCGCGGCGCAGTGGCTTGTCTTTGAGAAATTGAGCTTCCATTCCAGGTTCAATTGCCCAGTAGTTGCCTTTCCCTGGATCATCCTTAGGTCTTTCTTGCTTGATAAATGCTTTATTCAGGCTAAGATTGTGCCGAATGCTGTTCTGCCAACCTGGGTCACTATTTTTGTAATAAGAAAACGTATCCGAGATCCACTTGTATATTTGCGCTAAGGTCAATCGCCTGTTTGGCGCACGAAGTATAGACATGCCAATTAGCGTCGCATAGCTATAAGGCGGCTTCGTGCCATCGTCTTCTATCGGGGGCATTTCATGAGGCTCTGGCAAGCGCATAGAACTAGGTTCCTCCCGCTTCTGCTTCTTTGTTTGTCGTTCCTTTAGTGGCGCCGCGTCCATAAGTGTCCTCTTCACAGGTTTCGGTATGAATGAGGGTTCAGGGAAGTCTGCAAAATTATCGCTGTTGGGCTCATCTGATGACTGCGCATCCTTAGGTGAGTGTTTCCCTGAACTGGAAGTGGAGAATGTCGTGAATAACGCGGATTGGGGCATGGAAGAAGCAGCGCTGTGGCGATATCCGAAAGAGGGGTGTTTGGAAGGAGAATCTGTGGTGAATTCTGGAGCCGGGGGAGCCGTGATGGGAACGAATCCTAGACTTCCGTGTCCAGAAAATAGGCTACTTGAGCTGCGAGCAACTTTTGCTGGCGAAGCGTTGTGTGTCGTAGAAGTGGTCGCATTTAGAAATTGATCTTTCGCCGACGACACATGCTCAACGGGCTGCAGAGGTAAAGGTGAGGGCTCTAAGCGGGGGCGTGGCTTGGAAATCGCTTTTCCACAAGAAGGCCGTGAGGTTACCGGCGCAGAACGTGTCGGGCTCATACTGCCACGATCTATGCCCTGTACCTTGGTGTCAAGGGACTTTCGACGCGGAGCAAACTTCCGCACACCGTGTATGGCAACAGGGCAAAGCTTCGGGTCACCTTGGGCTCTGGCAAGGTACCCGCAGAATGAACGAGGGAGCACGCCTTGCTGGGATAATTGGACAAAATCTGGGTGGCAGAGTTCCAAATCGCAGTGCGAGAAACTATGATGGTCAGAACATTAAGCGCGTAAGAGCGCGATGCAAAGGCAGTAATCTAGAGACAAGGACACAGACGGCCTAGGGGAAAAGTCTTTGTCATCCAAGGCGTGAAACTTGACGTGGTTATCTGGACAATGATGTAGCCAAAAGCAGACTACCTTTGGTAGGGTGTGGTACGTTGAGCAGGCGCGAAGTAGATGATGTATGTTGGATGATGAGTTCGAGAACAGAGCGATGGAGCAAGTGGGTTATCGAAGGAAAGAGTCCCAGAACATAGGCGGCAAGACGGCTCGACTAAGTTCAAATCCCTTTGTCCGGTAAGGTCCATCCAGGTAAGGTGGGGAGATATGCGCAAGATATTTTGTGAATAATTCCTTAGTTGAGTGAAGAATGAAAGAACGAAGAAAGACAGGCTGCACCTGTTGATTGCCCACGCGCCTCGTCGGGCCTGTATGGTATGGTTATGGCGCGTGCGCGTCACGCGTCGGGTAGCCTCCGGACTATCAAGCTACCTTCGGGTGGCCATCAGGCATGAAGGGAAGATATTACACGTATCGTCACAAGTAAATTACCATTTACTCCGTGTTTGCAATTTCGTCCTCTTGTGCTTCGTACCGCATACATAAATGTAGATGGTAATACCAATCAATCCCTGGCTCCCCCTCCTCCCTTACTAGCCTAGCACAGACTGAGTAGGCATGCGGGTCCCTTGATGCTGCCCAGTGAACAGTATCGACGCTACATCTGTTAGACCCATGGGGATTCATCCCTTGCTCAAACCCACCCAATCAGCCGGCGAATTTTGCAGATCATGGGTCCCTTGGTCAATTGATGAAAGCAGTTTGGAGTCTGGACTCTGGTGGCATGCACTTGATATATTATTATAAATTCCCAGCCTACCAAATACAGTCTAGGCTACCGAACACAGTTCTACTCATTCGTTATGAAAATTGTAACTGACGAGGATACCGTATCCACAACTCCCACCCTTCTGGAAGCACTTAGGCTACGTATTACTTCGCTACCACAAACATTCTCCGACTTCACGATGATACTAGTAGCCCACTACGGCCCTAGCTTCCTTGAAACCCTGTTCACAATCTAAGTAAAGCGCTACTGAACTCATTGAACAGCACACATAAGCCACATGAACAATTTATGCCATCCAGGGATGATTACCTCACCTCCCTCCCAGAAGAAGCAGCGAATACCGAGCTAGGGACTTGCAATAATGCGGCTTGTCTAAGACAATGCAGCGACCGAGGCGTAAGCAACCACTTACTGCTGTGAGCCATGCACTTAGGGGTTTTGAATTGCCGCCCCCACCCACTCGCCTTTCCTCATCCCTACATTGTCTTCTCAAAGCTCTTAGGTACTGTGAATCGATCTCGCTATATAATAACTACAACACCCGCGGAGCTAGAAGGAAGTCAAGCTAAGAGTGCCATTGTGGCGCTAGGATTGACCCTACTTATACGTAAGTTAGCACCTATCTAAGTTCTATAGATTATAGAACCGCCGTCTGAATATCTGAAATGTCTACATGTTACAATACCCTCGAAGGGGCCGTGAACTTATATACAGACAATTTGTAAACGTATGTTGTAACCGGCATGATTTGCTCCTGCTCTTATATCCAGGGATCTACCCCAAACTACTGTATCCACTACTATATCATCGTATATTCTTTTCCTCGTGCAAGGTTGTTGTTGAGCAATGTGAGAAATAAACCTCGCATGCACCGTTGTGAACATGACTTTTGTTGGACCTGCAGGAACTATGCATATACTGATCATTACTGTAAGCAGAATTAAGTCCGGAACTCGCTATATAAGCCTTTCTGACAGATAACTATTCAGCAATGTGATAAATATGCCGAAAGAAGCTTGGGAAGCATTCCTTTAGAATAGTGGGAAAGGTCTTGCAAGAAGATGAAGCTCTATATAATAGACAATAAGGACAGATAAACCAAAAAAAAGTATAATGGTAAGCCAACCCCAGTAGACCAAAGAAAATAAACTTGACGCCGATGCATGAACAACCTGAAGCATACAAGAAAAGTCATAAATCTATCTGCGATAGACAAACCTGCAACCGAAGAAGGAAAGAAAAGAATATAGAAAGGAAGAAAAGAAGCATGAATCAACTACACAGCTGTTTATATGCACGTGACTCTTGTAGTTTGGGGAGACATAAGGGTGATAATGGACATCATAGCGTTAGGGGCGGACACAATATCTGGAAGGTAGCGCGACGCAAATGTATAAGGGAACAAAAAGAGCACTTTTAGTCCAAGAATGTGAACATGCTGGTGTGGATGATATTTAGGGCACGATCAGCGTCTCTTTCTTCTATGACACACGAGATGTTGATCTCACTTGCACCTTCAGGGCGGTATATCGTCAGTCGGTGTTCAAGACGCACAGGTGAAAGCGAGACTTACCCTGGGAAATCATCTCTATATTGACATTGTTCTCACCTAGGGTAGAAAACATGCGGCCAGCTACTCCGATCATATTTTTCATCTGTTTTCCGACAAGACTAAGAATTGCCATCTCGGGGATGATATCAACTGTACCATATCTCTGCAGGTCGCGCAAAGCACCTTTGAGATCTTCATCAATTACCTGGTATTCATCCCTCCCAACTCCGTTTAGGAGAGGCATTTCCGAATGAAGAGCCATCGAGACATGAACCTCACTTGTAGATATCAAATCGATAGAAAGTCTCCACCTGTCGAGGACGGAGAATATCCCAGCGAAGAATCCATGTGAGAGCGAACGTTTGTTGGAATGTACATTAATCACCAATATCTTGTGCTTGATCGTCACCGCCGTTGGGCGTTTAGGCCGCTGCACAAGACTAGGGCTGCGGGTACGGAATAGTCTCGGATCATGACCTGGGGTTGTCTTCTCCAGTTCAAAAGTGGAGTCTGGAAAGATCACGGTGCCATCACCTCTTGGGTTCATAACATTCTTTATGCGAATTGGAATCTTGGCACGGATGACTTGCTCCATAGTGAAGGGATGGATCACCTCCGAACCATAGAATGTAAGTTCAGCTGCCTCGGCTGGTGTGATTGCAGGTAAAAGGCGTGCAGTAGGCACTTTCCGGGGATCTGCGGTGAATATTCCATCAACCTCTTTCCAGACTTGGAGTTCCTTGGCATCTATTCCAACAGCAACGAGGGCGGCGCAAAGATCAGTATAACCGCGGCCAATTTGATCGAGGAGGCCACCAGGTACGGTTCCGAAAAAACCAGTAACAACTGGCACTTTATTCTCACAGGCCCGAATCTTTCGGCCAAGAGCTGCAGCGAGATTATTGTAGAAGTCCTGGTCGAGACCCTGATTCGAGATAGGAAAATCGATGACCTCAGCTAGATCCACGTACTGCGAATCCACCCCGCGATCCTGAATATAAGCGGCCATGAGGCGACAACTGAGTTTTTCTCCTGTACTAATCACTTTATCCACGCATCGTGCGCTTATCTCTCCTAAAGTTTGTGCAGCCTCCAGGACTCGAAGTACTTTGTCGCATTCGTTGTTTATCTCTGAAATGAGCCGGGACTTAAGTACCTTGGACTGGATTTGTTCGTCAACAACCTGGATATGTTCGAGCCGGACTGCCTCAACAAGGGAAGCATATTCTTGTGATAGAGCGTCTTCCGCATCCCGAGCTGCTCGCAAAAGGCTGCGTTATATAATAGGTTAGTCCGAATGGTAACTCTATTCTAACAGGATCTGGAAGTCGTAGAGACATTGCGGGCAGGAGCTGGACAGGCTATGTAAAGATCTCTTGGGATTTGGAACACAGGGGTTATGACTCACCGGTTTGTGGTTCCTGCAGCCTTCGTTGAACTACTCCTTGCCGAACAAACTATAGCCACGCGGTGTTCGAGTAGACTTGGTCTGATTCAGAGCCGTTGTTAGCAAATCCGGCGAAATTTAGAAGGATGTTCAGAGGGCGATTATACTGACAATACCACTTGGTCAATGATGTTCAATGCGAATTTCCCAACACTGGTACCTCCAAACTTCTGCACAACCCAATTGCTATCCGGTGAGTCTTTTGACTCATACCTGGCAACTTCCAAAGGATCGTTCTGGTTTTGCTGATGATCATCCATCTTTGGGTCTCCCGAACAGCACGTTGAAGCCTTGCAATTGAGAGATGACACACCCACGCAATTGGCTCCGGTAGCGGGACAGCCTTTTTTATGTGCACTGGCGGGGTTGCGAAAGCGGAGCTCATGCCGATAAAATGTAGAACGAATGGTCGTTCGCCATTTTGTTTCTCCGCCTTCCTTTTGCGGGTACACATTATCAGAACTCAATTATTACTAATCGAAGATAAATGTTGAGTCAGAGAACAAAAGTACTAACTAACTAATGTACCAAAGCAGTCCAGTTCTTTCCGAGTTTGCATACGCCCCGTTTCATAAAGTAATCTACCCTCTAACCATGTGTTCTCATATCACAGAGATGGGAGAATGGCATCAATCAAAAAAAAGTTTGAATTCTCAGTTGGACCACTTGGTGCTATGTTAAACTATCATGTTCTTCTATAACAAATTGTATTAGACATTCTATCTGGCTGATCATTTTTGGCCATCAATACAAAAGCTTTATAGGCATCAAAATTCTTTTCAAGAACGAATCTATGATACCTGTAATCATGCTTGCGCTCAGATATAATGACTCTCTCATACGGAGATGGCTCAACAGCAGAGTACAGATGGTTGATTTGGCTGTTTGGTCGCGGATTATGGTATCGCCCATTTAGGGACCCACGTTTCTAAATTTCCTTGGTATTGCTATGTGCAGCAGTTTGTATTATAGAACTAGCGAGGTGTGACTTCTCAATGAGATCCGTTCAGTATGCTACCTGTTATCGATATTATGATACTCTGTACTGTTTTACCATCAGAAAGACAGATTCGTCTCTACTGATATGTGCAAGAAGGGGTACATCAAATCTACTTTGTGATAGTAATATTTCATCGGCGGAAATATTAATATACTCCGTATTTCCTGCCTACTTACAGTAGCAAACGAACTACTTGATTTGCTGGTAGCAAGTCGGGAAGAATAACCGATATGGATATGAAGCTAATGTTACCCGTAATGGTATTGTTTTATAATACCAGAGAGTCCGCAAGGCCAAACTTTCATTCATTCTCATTGTTGGGCTCTTGGCCACTCCCCAGTACACCGTCGGAGTAAGTAATGGTTATAAGGAAAGATAGATTGTATATCATTTTAACATAAGTTGTCTCAGTTGGGCCTCGATCTTCGCATCTAACCTACTTGGCACATGATTTTGTGGTTGAGTTAGGTGGGCCTACGATGGTTGCCTATTTAGCCAACTGTCAATTTTGTCTACTTTCTGGCCCTAGTCGGCTCCTAATCACCTCTTCTTAGTTGCTGAAACACATATACTAACCATAACTTACAAGAACGCGGAGCTGTTTTCATTTCATCTTGAGGTAATCCTTGGAGCGGTTACAATAAAAAACTGGCTGCCATGGACCAGATGAATCATAGTGATCCAGCGTGTCCCTTTTGTCCATTTTCTGATCCGGACATTAGCCGTGTTGTAGAGCATGTGGATGTTTATCACCCTGAAGTGGATACTCAGGCTGGACATAGCAGACGGCCGGCAAATGCACCTTCAACTGGAACAGGAGAATGTCCAGGGGATTATGCCGAGTGTCCGCACGGCTGTGGGGAAATAGTACTCAATACTGAACTCGCCGCCCACCTCGACTTGCATTTTGCGGAAACAGTTGCCTTTGAAGACATATCTTCACACCAGCCAGAGTTGCCTGTTGACGTGGAGAGTCCAGTGTCAAGCCACGATGCAGAGAGACGGGAACGGTTGAAAGAGCGCACTCCCGGGCTGCTACCCAATGAAGATAGAACGCCCTCGCCGTGGTCATTGGTCGGCGGCACAAATACACCGCACAGAGAGACAGCTAAGCGGCTTGGAGTACGAAATCCTCACTTATCCTTTATACATCATAGAGCGCGTTGTGCTGACACTCAACCTAGCGTACGGAGTTAGGGCCTCATGCTCACGAAAAGCAGATGCCATCATGGCTGCGAAGAATGTTAGAGAGGGGTTCTATGTCAATCTTCACAAACACAATTGCCTCAGACGGCACGCTTCGGAGGCGCGAAGCTGTCGAAAACGAGACGCGCGATGTCATCCCGGTGCTCGCTCGGTTGTGTGAGCAGGACAAATCCGTCCAACGTGCTTTTTTCTGCAGCCCAAAGGTCCATCAGATCTCCAAGATCCCCAAAGAAGGAGGATTTTGCGGCTATAGGAACATCCAAATGCTAATCACCTTTTTGAAAGAAACCCAACTTCCGGGGCATGAGCGCTTCCCAACGGAACTACCCACGATCTTCCAACTACAAGATATGATCGAAGATGCGTGGGACAAGGGTTTCAATAGTGTAGGGAGGGTCGAAACAGGAGGTATCCGAGGAACTAGGAAGTACATTGGCACGCCAGAGGTATGATGACCATGAACGTAATCTTATGGTTGCAATTGATTCATTACTCTATAGGCACAAGCCCTGTTCTCGAGTCTCGGCATACAGTAAGACTCCTTCTCCGAATTGCGAAGCGCTGCTTTAACAACCCACAGGTGCGAAGCAAACAGCATTGGTGCCTCGAAGGAAGTGCGTGCACATGACGCATTATATATGAATGTTGCGGCTTATTTTCGAGAATCATGTGCTTTGGAGGAAGGGAAAAAAGTCATGCAGACGAACTTGCCCCCCATTTACTTCCAGCACCAGGGTTTGAAGACCTCTTTCTTCGTGATATGTGACCTGTCTAATTGGTGGACGGACATAAACAGGACATTCCATGACCATTATCGGCTTCGAAATACGTGACGGTGGTAGCGCAGACATACTAGTTTTCGATCCTATGTTCCGAACACCCCCAGCAGTGAAGCGCCTTAGGGGGGCACAAGCACTGACGTCGGACCCTGCACGCGTATTGAAGGCATACAGACGAGGCACAGCATATTTGCAGAAGTACAAGGCATTTGAGCTTCTAAAGTAAGTATGATAGAAGAGGCGACCAATATGGTGACGATGCAGTAATAGCTTACCAGATTGCTTCCAGACTAAAATATTCCGCCAATTCGTCTAGCAAATAGCACTGCAAACTAGCGCGGCATGGCATCAAGCCGCAAAACAGCAACAGTTCTTTGGCCTTCCAGTGTGAAGCGCACATCACAACATGCCTAGTTTGCCATTTCCCACTATCATGAGCATGGGCATGACTCGTCAGGTAGCCGCTATACGTCAGCTCAACAAGTAGCATCAGGCTCAAGAGGGAAGTTACCAGGTTTGAGTTTTCACGTGCATTGTACCACATTGTAAGAACTCAAGCCACCCGGCGAGCTCTACATATCACTATCCTTATCAGGGTTACATATGAGCTAGCATTTTCTGAGTACTATAGTGCCTATTCGTGCATATATAATTATGAGCACGGCAGCTTCGACCAACTAGATAACGATAACGAATCATGTAGCACCGGGTAACTGATGGAGATATCGGGAAGTTTGATAATCCGAAGCTGTACTGATTACTTACCCCACGGAAATTTTCCCCTCACTGTTGAAACTTTATCGGGCTTTATCGGGCAAATTGAAAGAAATACTCATTCACGTCGCACATTTTTATGAGGCATAATGCGGACATCTCCAAATGTGATAATAACAGGCACGCCCGGCGTAGGAAAAACCGTCCATTGCGAACAATTGGCCGAGGAGACAGGTCTGCGGCATCTTTCAATCAACCATGTCGCAAAAGAGCGAGACTGCTACGAGACATATGACCACGAATTACAAACCTGGGTTGTGGACGAGGACAAAGTACGTTCATGTAACGCTTATATAGTCTGGTTTCCAGTCTCCTCACGTTTACCTAACATACATCTTGCAGCTCCTGGACGCTATCGAGGATCAAGTACTCCAAGGTGGCTATCTAATTGACTGGCATGCATGCGATCTATTCCCCAAGTCATGGATTGATTTGGTCGTTGTATTACGCTGCCCATCTACTGCTGTTCATTATGATCGTCTCGCATCAAGGTACACCACGAGGACTATAAGCCATCCGCTCCCACCCCCGCCCTCCCCCTTTTATTATTAGCTGAAAAATCTAATTGAAGCTTATCGGTTTACAGGGGATACAATGAGACGAAGCTGCAGGAAAATTTAGATGCCGAAATATTTGGTGTTTTGCTTGACGAAGCTCGAGAAGCCTTCGACGAGGAATTAGTGGTTGAATTGAATAGTGAGAGGGATGATGATGTAGAGTCCAATTGCGCAAGGATTTCTAGCTGGGTACAATCTTGGAAAAATGACCGAGCCTGAGATCTCGATTTACCTACGGCAATCCGGGGGAGGGGGCGGCCGAAACCGACACCAATTCGCACCGTGAAATTTGCAGTTTATATCAATCACGTCTGTCGGCCAGCCAATCTTGCAACTTGACCAGGGCTTTATATCTGTGTGAGATGAGGTTCTGCTCCAGTATTAGTGGCTGATTGAAGAAATTGATGGGACAATTCCATTACCTTCTCCTCTTTCTCCATTTCAGCGTAAGTCTTGCCGCGATACTCGAAAATCGGATCCCAGCCTGGGAGGAGCTAGTGAGCATTGATGTTTGTAACTAATAGTCGCCTGTACATACCAAAATTCGCAGGACCTCTTGGTCTCACGATAGCTCCCTTGCGATGCGTCAGCTTCTGACAGGGTAGGTGGAGTTGGCACTCAATCCTACCTCAGTTCTACCCTGGAATAAGATTGGATCCGAACCGGGTCCGCTGGAAAAGGCAAAGGTGCAGACAGCCTCTGCGGCTCTGGTCTCAAATGAGTCAAGCAATTTATTCAGGCCTTCATGGCCTAGGGCATCGAGAAATGATTTGCTAGGTAGAATTATTAGGAGAGTTAGTATGCTTAGGTGAGGGAAGACATACATGTACGGGCCAGGCAGTCCTTTAAGAGCGTGAAACTCAAGTGCAGTATCTTCCGTCAACACCGGGCCTCCGACCTGACCGAAGTGAGTCAGTGTCTTTGAGCTGTGCGGATTCTGCCTTCTGCGATGTCACTCACCACTTCTGCTGCACGTCGACATTTCTCCCGGGCAATCTCTTCTATCGTGCCCTGTATCTCAGGAAGGTCAACTGCTTGATTTTCAACGTCGATCACAGTCCCTAATATCGCTTTCACTTCTGCTAGCTTGTTTTTGTTGCCGGTGATGAAGTTTATTTTTTTCATTGAGGCCATCTTTGCGTAGGCCGAACGGATTCTTACTAGGGGCAACAAGGAAAAAAAAAAACCAGATAGTAGGTTGTTCGTTGACAGACTGCAGACGAAGAGGAACGGATAGACGGGGGTGCGCTAGATATATATATACCTGTTCCGCCGAGGGTTCGTTCAATCCTCCAACGCTTAAGATTCTTGTTTCCCCGCAGCCCCACCAGGCGGTAGTGTGGTTCAATTGTAATGGAGCAACAACTTAAGAGGGGCCTTCATTCGGCTGCCTACAGAGATGTACTATAATATAAACTGGCTAGCACAATACAAACGCTCATCATCATGGTTTCTATGAAATTGCTAGTACTCCGTTGTTCATATACAAGGTCTATTCCATCGTCGCCGCGCCGCTTTCCGTCATCTCCAGCCTCTCTTGCTGAGCCATTGCTTGGGCAGATACGATTTCAGCCAGCCGCTTTAGTCGCGGCGTTTGAAGCCCTTCAGAGACCGTTAGCATCACTCGGTGCATTTTCCGCTGAAGCTCACTTACATGACGGGGTGTATGTCTCCAAGGCTGTTATAACACGTGGCTCCGCAATCTCATACGGCCCACTATCTTCCATGTCAACTGGTGTCAGGAGGAGAACATCACTCTTCTCGGTGACACGGGAGGCCACGGCTTTCATGATTTCACCATTGATAGGTTGCTCATAGTCAGCCACGAGATACTGATTCAGGAGTTTCTGGATTTGGTTTGGCGAGAGCCTAAACCTGTCAGTACTGCATGGAATTTCAGCAGGACAAAGTTGACCGGAACTCACATCCAACAAATATCTTGAATAATCTCGATGTCATTCAAGGTGGCCTTCTTCAGCTGAAGAAGCTTGGTCGCTTGCTAGAAAGAGATGAATTTAGCGGATAGAACAATTCCATCGTCTCGATAGGTATCTTACCATTAGATGCTCCAGCTGAAGTGTACCCTCGGGCATATCATGGCTCTTGCACCACTCCTCGATGCGGGTAATGTTGTAATTGATCTGCAGGCCACGTTTCCAGGAGAGAAAGTTTCTCCGCATGAGAAGGTCATTGAATGCAGTGACACCGACAAGTCGGAGAAGCTCAGTGACCGTCTGTGTGATAATAGTCTCTTCCAAATAGAAAGCCTTCATTGCTTTGTAGACATTGTTCAAGAGACTGAGAAGGTTATCCATACTGTAGGCTGGGTTGTTGTTGGAGGGTAAGAGCTTCCCAAGAAACCTGTTTGTTTCGCTTGTAACGAACCCAGGGAGGGACTGGGATTCTATGATCGCCGGTACAATCATCTTGTAAAGCTTCTTCTTCAATACCTTCATCCACGTATGATAAATGTTGAACTCCAGGCTTTCGAGATCATGCTTCACAATCTCTAAAAGACGATCATACTCGAAATTATCCGTCTTTTGTGCCTCATACCAATCTTCGGCCAAGAAAACGAAAGACAACATTTCGTGGACATTCGAAAGCCAGAAGGCTCCAGGATTAATGGCATCCTCTCCATCATGCTGCATAACCTCTTGCTGGATTGACTGCATGACGTTGGCTAAGAAACGCTCGGACTCTTTCACAAAGCCATTGTTCCACATTTCGGAAGTCACTAAATTGATCAAATAAGCTGGGAACAAGACCTCCTTCTCCGTTGGTGGAGGCGTAGAGCTAGGTAGTGGGATTTTCAAATTGCGTATCAAGCCCATAGTCACCTCTTCATTGAGCTCATCTTCTTCAGACAACAAATTCTCTAGCTCTACCTCAACGGAGTCCAGGCCTGGAGAGAAAGCATTTCCCGAGAAATGCTGGCGGCCCATAGCCGAGCTAGGAATGGCCATCGACACTGGCCTCGGGTTATAAGCACCACTGAAACGATCAATATCGATCCGCTCAGCACCGGCACTTCGTCTTTTAGGCTTGGGCTTCTTGGAAGAAACGAGGTTTATCAAGCCGCTCGCAGGCGGCTGGATGGGCCCACCGTTCGGCTGGTCTCCATTTACGCCGTTGGCAGGCACAACCCTCTTTGCAAGTTCAAGCTGTTCTTCGAGATCGACTATCTGCTGACGAAGAGATGCCTTTTCGTTTTCAGCATCAGAATTCAGCTGCTGAAGTTTCTCCAACTCTTGGTTTGCGGTACGAATCGATTCCCGTGAGACCTTCTCTTCTTCCTGTAGACGCTTGATGGTTGCCTGCGCATCATTATGGTGCTGTTGTAACTTGTTCATTTCCTCCTCCATGGCAGTTAAGCGAGCAGCAGTAATACCTGCCTGGTTTGCTTCGGCCTGTAGTTCTTTCGAACGGTTCTCGAGCACATTGTGTCGGCTTCTCCAAGACTTCACTTGTGTCTCATAGTTCTCCAGTTGCGAGTTGAGTGACTTATTTTCTCGCTTCAAGGATTCGAGGTACTGAGTCAACTCTACCACCTTATTTTCCAGCTTATAAGAGATCTGTTTGAGGTCCCGAGCATCCTCGCGGAGCTTTTTGTACTCTTTCCTGGCCTGCTTTCCTCTCCAGAGATTCTGGACAATGATCACTTTTCTGCGGTATTGTCTCCAGGCGCGTAGCTGTCGCCAGGAACGGAACGATCGCTGTATTACTTTGGCTGCATTGCCATGAATCGTGTCGAGGATATTCTGACGGCAAAGGAATCCCTTCGCAACTGACTGGAAAAGAATGAAATTGGCACGAATGCGGCTGTAATTCCGCCGCTCCTTCTGTCCTCGCCATACCCTCTGAATAGTCGTAGCTGCCTTGACCTGACGTATCTCAGCTGCACGTTGCCTTGCCAAGAAACCTCTAATAAGAGCCTGTGTTGTGAGGATAGAGGCACGAGCCTCGAGATATCTGCGGCGGTAGTACTTGCATCGAAGGTTCTTCTGTATCATAACAGCACACCCATTCAATCTTGATGTGCGAAGATTCTCGAGAAAAGCAAGCATGCCTGCTCGAAAGAATATCTTCGTTAAACCCAGTTGGTATTTATCTTGCTTTTGCTGGGTGCCATCCCCAAGAGCTTTTTGTAGAATGGCATGGCACATGTCCCTAATTTCTGACGTCCATTGCGATGAGTGACAAAGCATGTAGTACCGGATTGCAAATTCCTCGTATGTCCAGCGTGTAGGATATCCAGCAGTACTGATCCGTACAGTCTCAAGGACACCACAGGCTCTCAGCTGACTGAGTACCATCGGCCCTTCGAATTTCCACGACTCCTTAGCCTCATTAGGTTTGATGCAGCGTATGTAGTGCACGTCGGTAGAGTTGATTGTGTTCATGAGCTCAATCAATGATGATTTGAAAATTCCTCCCAGAGTTGGCTTGCGATTGACAGCAACGCCAATTTTTCGACCTGGGGCAGCCACGGGCTTGGATGAGATAGATGCCGAATCTTTCTCGCGAACGGCTGCTGCCGTGTCTAAGATTTCTTTCACGAACTCATTGGACGAGCCTCGCAGAATCTCCAAATGCTCGTCTGGAACAGTGTCCCGGTTCTTTTCTATGAAGCCGTCGGACTCGTAGGTCACATCGACCGCATAGTGACATATCGTAAACGCGGACTTGCCGAACCGGGGCTTCTTGTAGAATTTCTGCTTGTCTGCGGCGAAATTGTGGTGCAGTTTGGTCACGAATTGCTCATCTGAGCCCATAGGCAACCGAGATTCTTCATCCAAAAGGGATAAGATACCCAATTTTGCTTCAATTAGGTCAATACAAGGTTGGTTGTCCGAAAAGTCAATGAACGTCCAGTCTATCTGCTCGCGCACATATTCTTCCTGTTCCAGTTTGAACACGTGCTGGTTAAACTCTTGCTGCAACTTCTCATTGGCGTAGTTGATGCAAAACTGCTCGAAAGAGTTTTTCGCAAAATGTTCGAACCCGTAAATATCCAAAACGCCAATGAAAGACTTGAACTTGTTCAGGATACTATCGGTAGCCAGACCTTGGTTGATCCTATCAACAAGCCAATCGAATAGGCTAGAATAAATGAATTTAGCAACCGAGTCCCTGACCACCGTGGCCTGTTGTTGAGTTAGGTTGGACGTTATCTTTTCCCCTCGCGTAATCAGTTGTTTCTTGACTATCCATTTCGCAAACTCGTTGGCGTCAATCCCAAGCAATTGGCAAGCTCGAACAAGTGAAGGTTCCGAGGAAGACAAACTCGAATCTGTCCTGGTGGCGGTAATTCTGACATTCCCAAGGTGCAACAAAGCAGCGAGCACACGGAATATTTCCGCCTGCGTTTTTTCCGGGACCCCTATAGTACTCAAGGACTTCTTTGTCGCATTGAATTCGGCTCTGTCGTCAACACCGTCAATCGTCGGTGTACCACCTTGGTTAAGATAATCGAAATCCTCGACGGACGTGAGGCCAAGCTCCTGTTTTTCGGGGTCAGTGGCACCGGCAACCAGTTGGTAGAATATATGATAATTGCGCTCTTTCAGTGGCTGGAAGACAAGTCGAGATCGTTCAAGAAGATAGGTTCGTATCTTTGCGCCAATTATATTGGTCCTGTCATCGAACATTATCTCAATGTACTTTCCGAAGCGCGAAGAATTATCGTTGCGGGTGGTTTTGGCATTTCCGAAAGCTTCCATGACAGGATTTGTGGCCAAGATTTGCTCTTCGGTTTCACTGATGGCATCTGCTCGACTGGTAGTATACTTTCCAGGCTGATCTGAAGACTCGCGGGTTGCAAAATAACGCATTATGTACTTTGCGCTGACCGTTTTCCCGGCACCTGATTCACCAGAGACTACAATCGTTTGATTTTTTCCATCGCGTAGCATGTCACTATACAAATCTCGTAAGCAAACATATAGGTTTTTTTAGGAAAGGAGTCGCTCTTACGCGAACGCTTCCTCGGCGATAGCAAAGAGGTGTGGCGCCTGAGATGCCCTATGCTTTCCAGCATATACTTGCACCATTTGTGGAACGTAAAGTGAATCGACCCGGGCAAAGGGATTGGTAGCAATAAGAACGATGCCGCTATATGTGTATATTTCCTTCTGGGCATAACGCAGCTTGATGGCCTGCAAAACTGGAAGGGACTCAGTAACCACCGTAATCTCGATTCGGAGACACACCCACCGGCTGGCTCATTCAGATGAGACAGGTTCGTAAGGTCTTCGCTGGCTTCGAGCATGGCAGGATTCATCAAGGGCGGCAGTTTTGGATTGTTGTCTACCTGCAACTCGGCCTGGGTAGTTTCCAGAGTTTTTGTCTTTGCACATAAACTTGTCAGTTGATATCATGTCTTCTATGTGAGATAGCCGGACAGATAATATAGTACGAACCTCTCCATTTTCTATCAAGAAGACAAGCTGCACTTTGTCCCCATCAACTAACTTCTCTTTGACTTCAGATGCGACCCATCCCTCGGTCGGATCAGGTTGCCAAGCCCTTGTTCCGACCTCGTAATTGTGAGCCATTGCGTTCAGGTCTGCAGATATGTTGTCTCTCTATATCTTGACGTGACCGGAGAAAGCAACCTATGCGGGACGTTCGGAGGATCTGTTCGAATAATCGATGTTAAAAGGCATCTAGTGAGGAGGTGAGGGAAAAGCACAACTGATTAAAGTAGTTCGAGAAATGATTTCCCGTCTGGTAGTGGTAGCGACGGGCTCTATCCTTGATTATAAGTCAGAAGAAGGCATCATGCTTCGCTTCAGGGAGAAATTACTGAACTGGCTAACAGCTGGCGTTACCGAGCCGCAACCCCTGAGGCGGCGCCTGGAGAGCGGCGCCACTTGTCGACGCGATCCCCACAGTTGTCAGCACCAGCGCCAAGAGCCAGAAAGCATGAACATCATGTATTACTGCTATCTAGGTATTGATGATAATCAGAGGCCATCAAGGGGTTGTCTACTCTTCCCCAGAGAATACATTTATACAAGAATGACTAGAACGGACAATTTTCTAGCTCATATGCAGCTGCGAGTCCGAATTGTGGCAGATGCTCTGCAGAGCATAGACAGTCTTACATCAACATAAGATGGTGACAGAACAGGCGGTGAAGAAACACTACTAAAAATTAGCTAAGACGGACCACTCATCGATAACTATCTACTGTGTGCACCATACTACCCATTATGGGGGTAAAAGCAGCTTTTTCGTTCGTTTTGTATGAAGTCGCCGGTTTGAAAGAGCAAACATTAGCGCTTTTGTTAATAGAAACAGTAGAAATTATGTTCCTCTGGCCACGAAGAGCTGTTTTCTAATTCTTCCCCCCCCAGCACAGGGCCATCGCGAGAGCAAGCGGACATACGACCTCCGTGTACTGCCCAAGTCTGGAGTAAGCTCATGCTTCATATCGTTGCTTGGACACAATATTTGGATAGAATGTGATTAGAGATGTGTCACGCAACAAGACTAGCGATGCGCACCATGCCTTAAACAAGGAAACGCCAATGGATTGTTTGCACTACAAAAGCGCACCCCAAGACACTGGGACAACATTCTGAGGCAAGATTACTAGGCGGAAACGACAAGTCAAGAGGACCGGGGGTGGGAACAGTGACAAATAAATAATAAAATATGATAAAGTAGAGGCGAAAACAATGAAATGACAAAAGGAAAGAAAAAGGAAAACACCACTTGAGGGCTAGGCGTGATGAACTGATTCATGCATGCTCCGAGCTTGGTTTATTGAGCCATGCTGAACATTCTCAGCTTTGTTTACATTCTGCAGCCTCCTTCTTCGGCTTCGAGGTGCCATCCTGTTCTGGTGTTAGCATGGACAGACGGTATAAGCAAGCGATGATCATTGAATGCGCACCTCTTCATCGGAGTCATCGTCAACGTCCCGGTCGGATCTCCTCTCATCATCATCATCTTCATCATCTTCATCCTCATCTTCATCATCCTCGTCGTCGTAGTCATCGGCATCCATGTCGTCACCCAGCTCTTCGAACTGAAGGGCCTCTCCCGTGAACCAGTCAATGGCTCTGGGGATGAGCTTCTCCTTGATGTCTTCACCGAGCTGATAATCAAGCTCGAGTCGCTCCTCGATATCAGTAGCAACGGTATCATCATCGTCAGTCGGGGGCTGAGGGGGGGAGAAGAAGTTGAAAAATGACTCCGTGGGGACGGTGATTTTGACAATCCGGGTCTGTTTTGTATCTGAGGAACGTCAGCTACAGTGCACATTTGATAAATGCTATTTCGATACTCACTCTTGTTTCTCTGTTTCTTGCTCTCAATGCGGACAGTAAGATCTTTCTCAGCCTTCCAATCGATCTTAGTGCCTTCGGCGTGATCGTAGATAAAATCACCACCGTAGCCGTTTTCTTCCTTGTAGTAGTAGGTCTTCGAAATAGTCTTGTTTGTGAAATAGGCATTCTCTGAAAATTCGAAGATGAGACGGAAGCCTGGGCGGTCGAGGTATTCCATACGGATATCGACGAGATGTTTCAAAGCCTCCTCATCTCGCTCGGTGATCATTTCTGCGAGAGAAATCTGGTTCTTCATAGCTGAGAGCCAGAATTCAGGTATGCCGGCGATTTGGGACTCCTGATCCTCTTCTTTGGTGGCCTCAGCATCATCTTTAGAGTCAACATCCTCTTCATCACCCTGTCCCGCTTCAACTTCACCATCCGTAGGCTCCGCGGCTCCGTTGACTATCGTGGAACGCCTCTGATACAAGGGAGTAAACTTCGCGAAGTATTTCTTCTCGAGTTCCAGTACTTCTTCCTGGAACTGAGCTTCCAATTTAGCGTGCTCCTTCTGGATACCCTTCAGGCCAGCAACGCGCCGGCGGACTGACACGGGTAAAGATTCAATGTAGCCCGAAGAGCGGCCAACAAGAGATCCGAGTTTTCCCTGAATCATCGAAACGAGCCCGGGGTTGCGTGCAAATAGGGAAGCCGCCGTAGCATGGTCAAGAGACTCTATAATTGGTTTGTATGAGAAACGATCTCGAAGGTGGTAAGGGATTTTACCTTCTTTGATACTAGCAATTCCAGGTTGCTGGGCATGAGAAGAAATAGGAGCATTGTTGGCCGGGGTATTCTGTGGTGTCCTGCAACCGTCGTATCTTGTCAGAGATCAAAGAGCATAGCATACAACAAGATGTTTGAGAAGTTGGTAGTTCAGCGAAGGGATACTTACGGAGCCACTGGAAAGTCCGCTTTCTTATTCCTGATGGGCTCAGACATCTTGACGGTGCTGTTTAGGGGGGAGGGGGTAACGAGGAGATGGTTTGGTAGAGGGGTCTGGCGAAGAGAGTTAAGGAAGAATTTGATACGTTTTGCGAGGTCTGGAATAATACTGGCTTGGTGGGATCCCTTAGCGCCCTTGGGCCGAGGGGCTTGGCGGGACGGGGGGCGCTGGCTGTTGAGAACTTTTCAAAAGCTCCCAACAATACAGTGACAATTACTGGTGTCGGCAGGCTATGTGCTTTGTCATTCCAAGGCTTTTAACCAACTACCTACTCAATTACCATTATCCATCTCTTTAGTCAATAGTACAATATAGGTATAGCCTTCTATACTTCATAGTCAATGGCCTCGAAACTATGGCCTTTTAGTTCCAGAATACCGTACTATGCAGCGGAACTTACCATTTCCCTTAACTTTCCAACATTCACCACGGAGTAGTCTATACTACCTTGTCAAAATACAGATACACGCCGCAACTCTCTTTGGGGCTGTCCCTGCTGTATACGATGGTGTTATCCAAGCGCCCCAGAAACAGCTAGCGGAGGGAGGTTTGGGCGATGAGCGATTGAGAAGACATGATATCATTTCACCAGTCATACGCGGCCAGGGTCCCGCGGGTCATAGGCAAGTTAAGACTCCTTACCTCTGCTCCGACACTCTAAGAGCAGGACATATAGTAGAAAGGTTACATAAGTAGATGGCAAGTTTTCTATATACTCGATACCAGCCAGTATGAGCTATGCTATTCGCTATTTTCTAGGTAATTTTGATATAACAGAAGTCTTGGCAGACAAGAATCTTTATCAACAGACAACAAAACTCTGTATGCGGATTGAGGAAGGATTCATAACTCGATGCGTACCGTGACAACATCCCGCCATCTAGATAGTCACGTGGAGATAAGACGTCAAGCCGGTCATAAAGAGCATCTTCGGACCATCACGTTAGTCCACGCACAAACGCAGATCGATAATTACACATCTTACACAGTGTTGAATTTGGTTGTTCAGCGTGACGAGATTGGCGGTTTTCGGCATGCGAAGAGTCAAATAAATCACTCTAATCTCCGTCCATTGCCTGTCGGTGTCAACCCAAAAATCGACCTCTACACGAAGTCGAAGCGGACCTTCAAAAGCGCATAGGAAGTATCATTCTCAAGATGGAGCCTGATATACAACCACCACTAGAGGCTCAGTCACCCATGTTTTCAACTGGGGCTGATCGTCGCCGCAATTCAATAAGAAGCAGGTTCTTCACACTAGACAATACCCTCCTGGTGGGCCTTGCTGATGGTTTTCCAGCTATAGCGTTGTCTCAGACGTTGAAATGGCCCGCAACGAGGTGCGTCCAGATGCCGGCGAAGCTTATGGAACAATGAACATAACTATCTATACTAGATATATGATGGACCGATATCAGAGAGTATCCCTTCCAGTGTTGTTTCTTTTTCCCACCGTCGGAATCGCAAGGATTCCACCACAAGCTTCACCTATTTCCAGGAAGATCAGGAACACCTGGACTGGCCAAACGAAGATACCATAGATGCTGAAAGTGACATTGACAACTTATCTGATATTGAGACGAACGAGTCAATTAGATCCTCTAAACGTCCGTCCTTTTCTAGAGACTCTGTTCAAGACCCCCTTCTACGAAGGTCTCTATCAGCTTCGTCGCGTGATTATTGCCATAGGGGCGATCAAAGGGTAAGCCAAAAGGTTCACATCGTTTCGGAAGACTTGACTATCGTGATTGCGGGCTTTTCGACGAGTCCTACCGGTCTGCTATTGTATTATCTATCTTGCCTGTTGTCGCTCGGGGTTTTCTATCTCCTATTTCGTTGGTTTCCAAAGTACCGAATCCGTTTGATGGGAATGCCAACACCTCTTCAAACCTGTCAATGGGTTGTGATTGAGGTAAGCAATGTTACATATGGAACTATAAAAACTTATCGCTGAACTGGGCCCAGGATCAATGGAATCAACTTGACATTCATACGGTCCATACTGAAGTATACGGTCGTCCTCTCTCCACACTCTTCAGTCCTGACTACCAGTCGTATGATGAGGACAATGACCCAACAATCTATCAATTACGGTACATTGATTACAGATATCATCGGCTTATTTACCACCCAGGCGATGACCAATTTTGCCTAATCGGTGGCTGGAAAGACCCTTCCTGGATGAACGCGAAAGGGATGAGAGCTGGACTGGATGCCGATGACCGTGATAGCCGTGAACAGGTGTTTGGCAAGAATCTCATTGATATTCAGCAGAAATCTGCTTTCCAACTTCTTATGGATGAGGTACCTGTTCACCGACGTTCAATGTTGGATTGGCATGCTCACTGTTCCAGGCTTTCCACCCATTCTATATCTTCCAACTTGCTAGCCTTGTCCTCTGGTCGCTTGACCAGTATTACTATTATGCTGTCTGCATCTTTTCCATCTCTGTGATAAGTATAAGTGCTACTATAATTGAAACCAAAGCAGTATGCTGTTCTTGCCAAACCAATGTGCTGGTGTGCTAACTCTATCTAGACAATGAACCGCTTAAGACATATTTCACTGTTTGAGTGCGATATCCGTGTGCTTAGGAATGGGTTCTGTAAGCCAAACTTCTAAGATCTAACCATCCTGATGCAGCATTAACGTTCCTTTCTCCAAACAGGGAGATCTGTCCCCTCTCGGGAGCTTGTTCCGGGTGATGTTTACGAATTCTCTGACCCCTCCCTGAACTATGTCCCTTGTGATTGTATACTGTTATCCGGTGATTGTATTGTGAATGAAAGCATGCTTACAGGTTCGAGTATCGTCTCCCAAGGTCTTGATGAGAATCTAATGGAGGTACAGGTGAATCTGTCCCTATTTCTAAAGTCCCACTGACAGACGATGCTCTGAAATACCTGAATTTGAGCGCACCCTCAATCCACCCCGCTCTTGCAAGACATTTCTTGTTCAGCGGTACGAAAGTAATTCGAGCACGTCGTCCCCAAGGCGTTGATGATGACGAAGCTATTGCTTTGGCAGTCGTTGTGCGAACCGGTTTCCTGACCACGAAAGGGGCCCTTGTTCGATCGATGCTCTTCCCAAAGCCTTCCGGCTTTAGCTTTTACCGGGACTCATTCCGATATATATCTGTTATGGCCATCATAGCGATTTTAGGTTTCGTGGCCTCGTTTGTCAATTTCATCCGCCTCGGTGTAAGCATAGCTTGGATGCCAAGAAATAATTCCTGTAACTGACTAGATACAGCTTTCATGGCATCTGATCATCGTTAGGGCCCTCGACCTGATTACAATCGTTGTGCCTCCGGCTTTGCCGGCCACGCTGAGCATTGGAACCAACTTCGCCCTCTCGCGACTCAAGGCACATAAAATATATTGCATCAGTCCACAAAGGTTTGAAAACACACCAAGTCCTAAAGGAGACTATGTTAAGCTTTTCAACAGGGTCAATGTAGGGGGCAAGTTAGATGTGATCTGTTTCGATAAGACAGGTACTCTCACGGAAGATGGACTGGATGTACTGGGAGTGCGGATCGTGGACCACAATAGAAGGTTTATATGCGTGCACACTACACTTATACAATTGCTTATCAGTTCGCAGGTTCTCCGACCTGCTCCCTAAGCTGTGTCTCGCGTCTCCGACATCATCATATACAAATAGCATTCAAGATATGAGCAGGTACAACAACACCCTTTACACCATGGCAACATGCCACTCTCTGAGAGTTGTGGACGGCGAACTTCTTGGGGACCCCCTAGATGTCAAAATGTTTCAGTTCACCGGTTGGTCCTTCGAAGAAGGTGGGAGCCATGCTGAAGAAGCGGATTCCGAGGCGATATTACCGTCGATTGCGAGACCACCTGTCACTGAAAACCCTACCAGTGCTTGTCAGCGAAATAAAATAGAGGTCTGTACGCCACTTTGATGCTTTTAAATGACAAATAGTTCGAATCTGACTATGCAAACCTAGGCACCCCTAGAACTCGGCATTTTGCGTGCCTTTGAATTCGTGTCACATCTCCGTCGAGCAAGTGTTATTGTACGCCAGTATGGTGACACTGGTGCCAGCACTTTCGTGAAAGGTGCACCAGAAAGTGTGAAGGCCATATGTCTTCCAAGCAGCTGTAAGGTTGCACCTACTTAGGTTCCAGTTGGAAGCTGATGCATGACTATGTAGTGCCTCACGATTTTGATGAGCTCCTGAGTAACTATACCCACAAGGGATATCGTGTCATCGCCTGTGCGGCGAAATATGAACCAAAATTAAGCTGGATGAGAGTCCAGAAAATGTCCCGTGCTGATGCTGAATGTGATCTGGAGTTTCTTGGCTTTATCATTTTCGAAAACAAACTGAAGCCAAACACGGCTGAAACTATTGCTGAGCTGAATAAAGCAGGGATACGCAACATAATGTGTACAGGTGATAACATACTGACTGCAGTAAGTGTTGCTCGCGAATGTGGACTAATTAGTGGAGATGAACAATGCTTTGTTCCTCGCTTCGTACAAGGTAAGCTGTCCTCGCAAGGCGTCATGGCTATTGTTGATCTTGCACCAGGTCATTCTCCTCAACATGCGTCCGATGACTGTCTTTGCTGGGAAAGTGTAGACAATCCCGCACTGAAGCTCAACCCGAGTACTCTTATGGTATGAAGTTTCATTCACAAGAAAGAGTGGGCATGGCTAACGGCGTGAAGCGTTCCGTGGATTCGACGGCTGTAGACTTATCTATACCAGGCAATGCCTGTAGCCTCAGCCATTACACTCTTGCCATCAGTGGCGAGATGTTTAGGTGGATCGTGGACTTTGGGAGCGAGTTGCTTATCAAAAGGGTGTGTATACCGGCATGGGTCTACGAGTAGAGTTGGCTTTTTATTGCGACATTGTTTTTGCTTTCATATTAACACTGCCTGCAGGTACTTGTGCGTGGAAATGTGTTCGCGAGAATGTCACCTGATGAGAAACATGAACTAGTGGAGAAGCTTCAATCCCTAGACTATTGCTGTGGCTTTTGCGGCGACGGTGCCAATGACTGTGGTGCATTAAAAGCCGCTGATGTCGGTGTTTCCCTATCAGACGCCGAAGCTTCAGTTGCTGCTCCATTCACCAGCCGCCGCTTTGACATATCGTGTGTTCCGACGCTGATCAGGTACCAAACATTCGAATTGAAATATCATACGTTGCATTGGATGTCTAACAAGGAAATAGGGAAGGCCGAGGTGCCTTGGTCACAAGCTTTTGCTGCTTCAAGTACATGAGCCTATATTCAGCAATTCAGTTTTCAACTGTCAGTTTCTTATACGCATCAGCGTCAAATCTTGGTGACTTCCAGGTGAATCTCAAGGCTCCTGAGAGACAATATATAACCTGCTAACATAGCATGAAGTTTCTTTATATCGACTTATGCCTCATATTACCGATAGCAATTTTTAGTAAGTGTCTTAGCTGGATTGAGGATGTCAACTACCTTGTGAGTTTTAGACTGACTCTGCTCACCAGTGGGATGGACCAAGCCAAACCCTGTATTATCGCGGAAACGACCCACTGCTGATCTTGTATCACGCAAAGTCTTAATCCCGCTGCTAGGCCAAATAACGATATGCATTTTGACTCAATTAATTGCATTCGAGACTGTGAAGTCGCAACCATGGTGGGTAACTTGGCTTTTCCTTAGCTCAAGCTTGCTTTCATGACAACCACTGACCTTCTTAGGTTTCAACCCCCTCAGCTAGATCTAGAGGAAAGCAACATTGAGAACTCCGAGAACACCGTTCTGTTTCTGCTTTCCTGCTTTCAGTACATCCTGTCAAGTGCTGTCCTTAGCGTCGGACCCCCATTCAGAAAACCGATGAGCTCTAACAGTCAGTCCCCCCAAGCATGTGTGGTCGGCCATGTCACTAACACAGTCTAGAACCATTCCTCTCTATGATAATTGTGGATTTGATGATCTCCTGCTACATGCTGTTTACACCCTCACAATGGCTGAAGCGGGTCATCCAATTGACGTACCTGCCGGAAAGTTTCGCGTGGTGGTTGCTGACACTTGCTGCCTTGAGCTTTTTGTTCTCTTGGTTGGCAGAAAGGAATCTCTTTCCTAGATTGGCTCATTTGCTAGGGCGCATGTACACAGCCTTGCGACCAGGTCACCCCAAAAAGCGTCGCCAGTACAAGGTACTACTCGAGGAAATGCAAGGGTAGATGGAATTCCACGTTTGCACATATCCTATTCTTCAGATATGATCGTCGTCATTCTGACTTGAAAGTTTGAGTGGATGGTTCCTTTAATGACGATAGAAAGCGAGAACCTTTGTGTTACAACTCGATTGAGATATCTGATGTAGTCCTCAAAAAAATCAATTGTCTTCCAATCTCAACAAGCGAGACCGTACTCAGGTCTGAGAATATTCGGCAATCAATGGTCCCAAGGATGCTTCCAACCCAACAAAGCAGGACCGTCTTTCTTCGCCCTGTACATCAGCTATAGATCCGCAAAAAGGGAATGGTTAGCACTATTCGCCATATAATCGCGTGAGATTCGTACAAAGAACCACATGCTAGCTCCCAATGCAGTCGCGGTGAAACGATAGAGAGGTCGAGCAGGATGAATATGAATTGGGTGGTTTGCAGCCATATCTGTACATGACAAGTCAGTCCCAGACGATAAAAGGATTAGAGAATAGGTGATAGAAAATTCGAGGTGCATACTTTTCTGCCGCTTAAGGACTTATGTATCAGGACTGATGGTTTGAAGAAAGGTAAATCAATAGCAGTGAGGGATCGGTACGGACTAGATTAGAAGCATTACATAATCACGTGATACCAAGAATTCTGCTCCAGGTAACAGCCGGCACGGTTTGAAGTCATGGACAATCTATCTTCCTTCGTACCATCTCAGCTAGTGAGATCATGACCGTCATCCAGTAAAATCATACATTGAATTATCAGAGCACTATGATAGCTCTGGCTCTCACACGAGTGAACGGATCGCGTCCCATACTACCTTGAAAACAACAGTCTTCTACAGTCTTCCTGCTATCAACCTGATATTGTTAGGTATTCGCAGGTTTTTCTTTTGATACAAGCCATATATTTATTTGGCCATCACACAACGGTTTCTCGAGACGTGTGACTCCCAACCGAGCTCTTTTACTCTAGAAGAATTGCAGTGGTCAAGGATCCGCGCGACGTTCGGCTTTGCCTTGACGCTAACAAATCATACCTTGTATTGCAACTTGGTTCAAGCATTATATCAGGGAGATAGAGCCTCACACTTGTCCCGATCTCGCACGGTTGGCGCCATCATCCACATATATGATCACTTTGGTGAGGAGAGTGGGTAGAAAATGGTCATAGTATCCCTCGAGAGAGACAGCAATGGCAACAACCGATTCCATGGGTGCACTAGCATACGTGAGTTTGAATTTTTGGGTAAGCTTGGTGAGGGTACTTTTGGGTGGGTTTCAGAAAAAGCCTGTACAACAATGTGTTCTCAAACTGAATGTCTACAGTGAGGTCTACAAAGCGAGATCGAAAAAGGACAATGCTGTCGTTGCTCTCAAAAAGATACTCATGCATAATGAGAGAGACGGGGTAAGATGACCGATTGGGATCACCGCGTTAGTAGATGCTGATTGATGCCCTCGAAGTTCCCCATAACCGCACTTCGTGAAATCAAACTTCTGAAGATGCTATCTCATACTAATATCTTACATCTTAAGGAAATGGCAGTCGAACGGAGTAAAGGTAAGTAGAACTTCCTACCGCAAAGTGAACCGTGCTTATACCAGCACAGGGGAAGGACGTAAAAAGCCAAGCATGTACATGGTAACACCATATATGGAACACGATCTCTCAGGCCTTCTGGAGAATCCTGCTGTTCAGTTCACTGAAGCTCAAATCAAGTGTTATATGCTTCAACTTCTTGAAGGCCTTAGATATTTACATGAGGTACTAGTTCTTGAGAACTACTTAGATCTTTGCCCTAACTTGTTATAGAACCGTATATTACATCGAGACATGAAGGGTCGGTGAATCATCAAGCAGCAATACAGCCTCTCCGACTAACCACCTGATAGCTGCCAACCTACTTATTAGCAATAGAGGCATACTTCAAATTGCTGATTTCGGATTAGCCCGACCATATGAAGAGGCCCCTCCTCAGCCTGGGCGAGGCGGTGGAGAAGCACGAAGGGATTATACTACACTCGTTGTGACTCGATGGTATCGCCCCCCCGAACTGCTTCTTCAACTCCGGCGTTATACGACAGCTATCGACATGTGGGGCGTTGGGTAAGTAAATTATCCCGATCTTCGTGGTGATGTTAGTCTGACTCTCGCAGATGCGTCTTTGGGGAAATGTTCAAAGGAAAGCCGATCCTTGCCGGGAATAGCGATCTCAACCAGGCGCAGATGATTTTCAGTCTTGTAGGCTCGCCTACAGAGGAGACTATGCCAGGGTGGTCTTCACTACCAGGGTGTGAGGGAGTGAAGAATTTTGGTAACAGACCGGGTAATTTACGTGAAGTATTCAAAGAGTATCGTCCACCCTCCGAAAAGACCAGGTGAATGGAAAACTTCGAATATATGCCTAACCTCTTCTCAGGCAAAGCCCTATAGCGATATCCTTGCTTAGTGAGCTTTTAAAGCTCGACTGGCGGAAACGGATCAATGCTATCGATGCTTTGAAACATCCTTACTTTTCTAGCCCACCACTACCGGCACGACCTGGAGAGTTACCTTCTTTTGAAGACTCCCATGAGCTTGATAGGAGAAGATTTCGCGGGCAAAAGGCACCCATGCCACCGGCACCTGCAGGGGGTGCTGTAGGGATTGGTGGCCCGAACGGAAGTTGGGCAGGTGGCTCAGGGAACAGAACAGGCGTCGAAGGTCGAAATAGTCGTCTTCCAAGCGCAGCCCGTGGTACTTGGAACAACGGGGTTCAGGGAGTCCCTCCACAGCGCTCTTATGACAATCGTAACTGCGAAATGCACGCAGCTCGATCGAGGACAGGTGGGGAGGATCTCAGTCAAGGATCCTGGCATAGAGGGGGGTTGCCACCTCGTCCGCCAACGTCAAATCACCAGATGTGGTCTTCCGGTAGCATAGGTAGATTGGGACGAGACAGAAGCCACCAGGCTCGCGGGCGGTCTGAAGGGAACCTAGACTCCTACATTCCAAGCTATGCTGGCGGAGGCGAACGTCCTTGGGAGAGAGACCACAATCGGGGCTACAATACGGATCGGCGTGACATCAACAATAGTGACTCAGCCTACCAACCTGTGCGAAGAGACTTTTCGCGAGAAAATCTGACAAGACGAAGGAGCCGTAGCCCCTGCTCTAGGGAAGGTGGTCGTGATGCAGCTAGGACAGTCCATCGCAGGTGATTCGGTTTCACCCGTGCCACCACGACCCTGCAATCGCTAATTGTCGGATACCTTGTCATTGACTGATCGCATAAATCACAACGCCATTCATTCTTTGGACTGGAAGCATGTGGGCTTAGAATTAGTAGCAGACATAACAAAGTATTTTGGCATCAATTCTATAAGAGCATGTATTCAAAGAAAGGCTCAAGTGGTTCTATCAGTTTCTCGTTCACTCTAGCGAGAAAGATAGCTAATAACGGAAGAAAGTAATATTACCAATAGAAATAGAAATATAAAGTAGAAAGGAGCAGCGTTGTTGAATATTCTGCCGACAGGCTAGCATTGTAGACTAACTTGTTTTCTCATGTCCCAAGCGCATGAGGAAATCTTGAGTCGGAGTAATAGAGCCGTAGATAGCTCGCTAGCGTATCACGGGTTCGAATCAAGTTTAAGGGGAAATTGTACTGACAGCTTCATTCGACGAGTGCCGTTGAGGGACCTCTGCCGCATAAAAAATGAACTAGGTTCGCAACTAATTTTGTGATTCCCTTCCGTTTCTAGATCCTTTCGGAGAATGGGTAGTGACCTGTCCACCTATACCTTCTAGCCATAGGTATAAGCACAAGAGAGGGTCGCTTTAATACAAGATGCGCGTCATAATTCGAGCTAGAGTAAATGATCAGTCAGGAAAGTCATAAGGTGATATCGAGAAAGAGATTTCGTACATCCGAGGCTTTCAAGTCTCTCGTACAAGTCCTTGATTGTCATGTTGTCGACACTGCTGATATCGGCCATCAAGTATGCCACCTAATATAGTCAGCTTCGCACTGCTTAGACATGTCAATGCATAACGACATACATCACCTCTGCTATCAGTCATTTGCTTGTCAACATTGTGATCACCAAGAACCTCATTGACTGGAAGCCATCAGCAAAGCACACATTATTCCTATTTCGTAGAAAGAAGCCTACCTTTTCGCAAAACACCCGGAACGTTCTGATGAATGAAGATGACCTATTCCAAAGAATTAGTCATTATTCAAAGTTGAAAACTTTGTTCCTGTACTCACTCGGGCATGGTTGGGTTCATCCATCGTCAGGGACCGCAGAGCAACCTCCGGCAGGTTTACGGCCCCCAGTGTTGTGCCCTCATTAACATATCTCACCAAGGCTTCTGCCACCTCAACGCCAATCGCACGCTGCGCCTCCTCTGTGCTACCGCCAATATGTGGCGTGAGGATCAAATTCTTGAGACCCCTAAGATCCGTTGCCCAGTCATTGAGGCTTTGGTTGAAATAATCACCATTTCCGGCTGGCTCATTGGGATAGACATCGAGAGCGGCACCCGCCACTTTGCCGGACCGCATTGCATGGATTAGAGCAGGAATGTCCACGACACTTCCCCGACTGGCATTTATCAGATAACTGCCAGGCTTCATTTGCTCAAACTGGGGTTGTCCTATCATGTTCCGTGTCTCCGGGAGCTCAGGAACATGGCACGTGATGAAGTCCGACTCAGACAAAAGGATTTCAAGGGTTGGTACTTGGCGAGCAGTACCCAGTGCCATCAGGTTCACTACGTCGTAGAAAATAACAGACATGCCCATAGCCTCTGCTAGAACCGACAGTTGAGCGCCAATGTGACCATATCCAATTATGCCTAACAGGAACATTAGCCGACAGCAAATGATGGTAGAATCAAGAGAATACCAAGGGTCTTTCCGCGGATTTCCCAGCACTTGTTGCTCACTTTGTTCCATGTGCCGTTATGCATCTCATTGGAACGGTCACCCAGTTGACGGGCAAGAGCAATGATTTCAGCTATAACCAATTCTGCGACACTACGAGAATTGCTGAACGGTGAGTTGAAAACAGCAATTCCATGTTCAGCTGCATATTGCAGATCAACCTGGTTCGTCCCGATGCAGAAACAACCAATGACAATAAGATTCCGAGCTTCCTTTAGTACACGAGCGCTCAGCTTGGTCTTCGAGCGAATCCCAATCACGTGTACATCTCTGTTCACGGGGGAGGCAAGTCAGACAGATACTAGAGCTGAATCAGATACGATGATACTGACCGAATTTTCTCGATGAGTTGATCTTCCGGAAGGGAGGATTTAAGGAATTCCACCTGATAGCCCTGTTTGGTAAGGATGTCCCTACCCGTTTGGTTGACGTTTTCCAGGAGCAGGACCTTGATATCCTCCGTGGCAAACGGCTTCAAGTGCTTTGCATTTGCTAGCGGTATCGTACGGCTTCCAAAAGCCGAGCCACCATGGCTGGAAGGAGCAGACTGGAAAGAAGCGGTAGGAGAGGTGGAGAAATTCAAGCTTTGTGAAGGGTTGAGATTCAATCCCTCTTGGACATTGATGTCCCTTGCAGATGTAGCCATTTGGTAAGATTGGGTATAAGAAGATAGAGCGTGGAAAAGTATTCTGTTACGTTAGAAAATAGAAAATAGAGGGCACAAGAAGTAGTGGTGTATCCAAAAAATATAATTTGAGTGAACAGTAAGACCTAAAGTGACAAGGAAGGGGGTACTGAAATTTAAAACCTCCGGAACCGGACTTGAACAGAGGCGTTCCACATTCTTTGTGACTAACACCTCATCTGGCGTTATGATCTGTTTGAGTCATCGAAAGGCACAGCAATTGTTTGGCCAGTTACTTTTTTGGAGGGGCAAGCAACAGCGGGGCCGAAACATCCCCTCTTGATCCGTATCCACACAAATATCTCATGATTTTTAACTATCGACTCTGTACTCCGTATACAATTTAACCTTGGACCATGAGAGGCGCCATATTGTGTAGAATAATTCTACGAGGCTAAGCGATTGGCGAAAAGATAATTTCATTGATTGTACCCTGTACTCTATATCATCCAACTATCATGGCATATGCAATAACAGTGGTCTTCTGACCCAGGTGACTGGGATCTCGCTTTTACCGCTTTCACTTTTTTTTTCTTGGTTAATCGAGATGCTCACATAACAGTCATTGGCCCGCTAATTGATCTCGTCTAAAGTAACATTTGACTGGCCAGATTCAAACCTGAAGACCCTCCAGTTTCTTCGCAGTCTCATCTGCACCGCTCACAGCCTTCGTAGTCTGCTTGGCTTTGTTTTTGTTGGAAGTACTATCTTTCGGCAGCTCTTTGGAATATGGGATAAATTCGGGAGCGCCCGGGATATACTTCCTCAGAGGCTCTGGCACAATAATACCCTATCACATTATCAGTATCAACAATCATCAGCAGGTGGGTTCAGAGTCATGACGTACATCATCTGTCTGGTAGTTTTCAAGCACACAACAGAGTGTACGTTCGGTTGCACACAGAGTCGCATTCAAGGCATGGACATAGGACTTCTTCACATCAGTAGCCTTCTTCGTGCCATAGCGAATCTCTAGGGCTCTGGATTGATAATCGGTACAGTTGGAGCAGGATACTAGCTCCTTGTACTCTCCTTGAAATGGAAACCACGCTTCAAGGTCATACTTCTTCGAGGCGGCATTGTTCAATGCCCCCGAAACAATGGCGACAACCTGGTACGGCAGGCCAAGAGACCGGTAGAACTCTTCCGAAGTGGCCATCATTTCGTCAAATGCTTGCCACGAGTCTTCCGGTTTCGTGAGAACAAATTGTTCGATCTGGGCCGAGTTAGCATTACAAGCAACATGGGTAACCTAGGGCTTATCACCTTCTCGAACTGGTGGACACGGAAGATTCCCCATGCATCCTTACCATGAGCACCTGCCTCTTTCCGGTAGCAAGTACTATATCCAGCGTACCTGCGTGCTAGTTAGCCTGAGGGAGAAGTTGACTAGAGATGCCGGGACCACCAACTTGATTGGGAGATCTTTATCTTGCAGCCATTCTCCGTCATGCAAGGCTGAAAGCGGTTGCTCTGAAGTAGCGATTAGGTACTTGTCGGTGGACTTGTCTTCACTTTCCGTGACTTTGTAGAGCTCCTCGTCGAACTGTTCAAGCTGGGCGGTCTTCGCCATCATGTCCTTGAGCATGAATTGAGGGGGTTGGTTAGGCTTGTAACCTTTACCCCAGAGGAATTCCAAGCCATAGTTTATGAGCGCGAGATTGAGGAAAAGCCCATAACCTGTCAAACAGTAGCCGCGGTGGCCAACCACTTTGACACCACGCTCTGAATCAAACCCATCGAGACGAGTGAGAACCTCATGGTGCGAAAGACAGTTGCGCTTCTCGACCTTCACGTTGTCGGGCGCCCATGTCCTTATTACGGCATTGTCGTCCTAACGGCAGTCCTTTCGGTTAAATAAGTCTCTAGCGTCCGACTGAGTATAATACATACTTCATTGTTGCTCACGGGAACAGAATCATGAACAAGGTTGCCAATAGTCCGAATTTTGCCGTCTCTTTGCTTTTCCTTCTGGATAGCCAGTTCCTCGGCGTCCTTCTTGCGCCTCTCGAGGTCGGCTTTCTGTTCCATCAGGTCATTTGCGTCTTCCTTGTTCTGTTTCAAGATTATGTCAGTTTTCTGTCAAGCAATAGAGAATACGATAGATGGATTATATAAAAGTATAATTGGAATTATATGTAAAATAAATGCGAACCTTCTTTCTCTTGCCAATTTCTTTTTGGAGTGCATTAAGCTGGGAGTTTATTTGCATAACCTCATACCGTGCTATAAGATATCCGAAATCAGCCGTTTAGAATGTGAATATCTGTTAGAAAGCAGACATAGCATACCACGCCGCGCCTCTTCATATAGGGAGAGGACCTCATCAACGACACTCTCCGGGGCGTAGCGTTTCCGTTGACTCTCTTTGATCTTGTTCGGATCGCCACCGCGATCACTGATGAAGTCTGCCAGATCAAGCATGATGAACGATTTTTTCTTGTACGATACAAAAATCCAGCGTCCCAAGATTCAACTAAGGAGGACAGAATAGCGGCGACAGTTGGCGGGGAGGACAGCTTGTAATAAGTAGGGAAGGAGGGGCTAGAGAACTCGGTTGGTGTATCATCAAATGGAGGGGCAGAAATTTAGGGGCTCGACCAATTGGGTATAGCATACTCCTACTAATGAAACTTAGTCGGCCGCTCTGCACAAACTGCATCTGTCGGCTGTCTCACCCTTCCTTTCTTATGGGACTTGATTCCAAACACAGCTCTCATGCCCTGGGAGATAAACTACTGTGTATGTATTAGATTATGTAACAGACAAAGACAGTACTTGAGAAATCGAGTGCCGAAAGAATCACAGCTGCGCCAGTGAAGAGCTGCAAAAAAACGTATCCCAGAAATACAACAACCTAGGCTAATCAACAGCTATGTTGCCTCTCCGAGAAACTGGAAGTGATATCCAAACGAGGCGTAGCCATTTTCGACCACCTAGGTCAATACCTATCCTGCTACATCATAGGCCTTATCACATTACGGCGCATTTGTTGCCTCCTGCCGGCTGTGATGGGTTTTGCGACTTTTCGATCTCCCCAATCATTAAGTCAAACGCTTTCGCAACATTATAGTCGAGACGAGCACTAGCCTCAGTAAATGCACAATGGAATTCTTCACAAAGCTGCCGGCCTTCATCTAGAGACACCTGGCGTTGCTCAGATTTGAGATCGCTTTTATTTCCGACAAGCACAAGGGGTACATGATCGGCACCCTTATTTCATGTCAGCTTCTAAGGTGGCTGCAAGGACCAAATTGGATACTCACAAGATGGTTCAAAATCTTGTCACGTATGACCCTCACCATGTCGAACGACTGACGTGAAGCCACCGAGTAGACAATAATATACCCATGTATTCCGATGAAATGCTTGGAGTTCAATATACTGTACTCGTCCTATAGCAGTATTAGCCACCCACGGGGCTCTAGGCTCAGGCCAGATTTTCTCCATACCTGACCAGCTGTGTCAACGATTTCAGTGGCATAATCTTGGCCGTTGTATTTGATGATTCGACTGAACGTGTTTTCGATCGTCGGATAGTAGCTTTCTACAAAATGATGTTCAACAAATCGAACTGTAAGAGAAGATTTACCTGGGAAATATTTTAGTAAACATGATGCGATCGAACAAGCAAAGGATTGTCAAAGAGATAGGAGGCCATACCCACAGAGCGACTGCCAACAATAGCTATTTTGCGCTGCTTCGGTGCACTAGGCATCTTCTAGAGTACGGAGCGGGGAAGTGGCTATAAAATATAAGGCGATTCTTGCGGAAGTTGGTCAATGAATTAGAGATTTTTGCGCACAAAGATATAGGCTTCTCGAGGTCATTAACAGGTATCTAAGCACGAACCCACGGTTTGTTAGAGGCCTCAGTGGTCAAACTTTGTCAATTGTGTAGCACCCTTATGATAGGGATGGCAATCAGATCACAGATGAGCTCACCCGGAAGTGGCGAATAGGCAATCCAGGAGCGCAAACAAGTCAAACGGCAACTAGAACAGAGCTAAGTACCAGAATCGCTATTACGTCAAAACAATATTTATATTTACAACGGGACCTCCACAGCAAACAATCTGGATGGCAATCTAACAGAAAAAGTACAATAAATACTGAAAAACACCCTTTTGACAATGGAATGTTGTTACTTGTGTTTTTCCAGTCTTCCGTTGCAAGTAGCGATCATCAAAGGATAGGTGGGCAGGCCGCTCATAGCGACCATTGCAAGAACAGGTCTTTATTGTTACAGTTTACATATGGAGTAACTACTGGGCTGGATGAAAATCGAAATTGCATATAGATATCTCGGAGCTTTATTTATAGACGTGCTTTCTGGCGTATCTGATTCAGGACATCCTTCAAGCGCGTTGTTGATCTACCTCCACGTTCTCCCGAACTTTCAAAAAGCTGCGAGTCTTGCTCAACCTTCTGGTGAAACTTTAAGAATTCTTCTGCCGTCGATAAGACTAGTAGAAGACCTTCGCCACGAATTGATTCCCTGATTTGATTCAATGCCTCCTCGTTGAGACACAAGGTAGCCAAGACAATCGAGAGGTATCCAATCACAACATTATAATGCACTTCGGACACAGAGCGCGCCTTATCTGAATTAGCTCAATATGTCCTCCAATTGAGAATGATATACTCTTACCTGATCAACAAATGCAAGCCCCGCGGAAAAGTGCTCGAGAAGTAACTGGAGTAGTGACGTAGAATCGGAAGCTGGATTAAGAAAAGCAGCTCGTGAGAGCTCGCTTTGTTCCGACAAGTTTATGAGCACACCCAAAGCTAAAATGTTGGCATTTAAAGATCCATGTTCATCCACATTGCGATTCATCGATGCACCAGACAACCCAGTAGTGGCAAGTTCCACAAAATCCGAGACCATGTCAGGAGTAGCAAACTCTTCGCATAGCGAAGGCACATTATTTGTAAGGTTGAGTATCACCCTGGCATATAACATAGGAATCTGCTTACTCCGATCAAACTGACAAAATGGCAGAAATTTACCATGGTTCTCGAAAAGCAGCCGGGAAAAGTTGTGATGATGATACGCTGATGTTCCCGGTAACATCGAGTGAGATTCCAGAATCAAGAATGACAACCTTGATAACTCATAGCTCTCGAGACTTGCTTTGGAGGTTGCATTGTCACATTGTGTTATCAGCAAGTCGACGATTTGTTCCGTTAGCGTCGCGGGCAAAGGTTCAATGTCGTCCCCCTTTTTGAGGAAGATAGAAATGCAGGATTGGATGCACGAAAGTGTCACCAAGCAGGGAGAAAGGCTCGGCGATGGGGACGCATTGAAAAGAACAGAGGAAATCTGAGGTAATGTCTTTTTGAAAGATCTTTGCACGACCTTGGACAGGCTGGTGGTTCCCTCAGTTGCCATATTTATGATGTCTTCGGTCATAGTAAGAAGCTTGTGAGACATTCCCAGGATTGTGGCCCAGAAAGATCTCAGACTTGTGTGAGAGAAAAGACCATTCGAGCAGATTAGTCTAAATGCACACAAAGCCATGGACGTAATGAGAATGTTTTGATCATCCGCGATGCACTTGACAAGCCGTTCATTGAAACCATATTCGGAGAATCGACGCACAAAGGCATGCTCAAGAAGTTTTGTGCATAGCTGTGCGAAGCTACTACATTTCCCAGAGAGAGAGTTATTTGGATCCTCGATGTCTTCAAATATCACCTCAACTGACTCCCGAAACCGTGCGTTATCTCCAGCCTGTCTAAGCTCATGTATGCTACGGACAGGTCTAGATTCGATTTCATCGTCGTCACTAACCAAATTCTGGTTACCATCATTGTTTGTGATGTGTGCCAGACTTGCGTCACCAGGATGTGGCGAGGATGCCGAAGTGTCCCGCTGTTCAAGAGCTGTCAAGCTCAGAGGATTACCCAAAAAAGATCGTTGGCGTGCATAAGTGATCCTAGAGCCCCGTATTCTGGAAAGCATCGGAGTGTCCGCTTTGATGGCCTTTTCAGAGCTATGATCTGTTACTTCATCCGGATTTTCACAGTGGCTTGCGCGAGGGATGTCGGTTTCTTGCAGAGGCCGGGAGTTTTCTGAGTGTATGTTTTCAGCTACAATTGAGTCAGAACCACTCGATCCAGTCTCCTTTGACGGTACTGCTATACCTAGCAAATCAACCAGTCTCTTTCGAGCAGAGACAGTTCTCCTGTCATGCCCAGCTTCCGCCAAAGTCCGGCTGGGGGTGCTACCGTCTGAGATGGGCTGTTCTTCAATGCGAAGCCGTCGTGACACAGACGCAGCTGGGTTGTAAGGGAACTCCGATTCTCTGCGTTCAATATGGGATTCCTTCAGAGGACTGCAATTCCCTTCAATATCATTAGACATGTAAGCAACATCAGCCGCACAATCATATCTAGGCTCGTTAATATCCGAGGCTGCGTCATCGCTATCGCGTACGTCAATCTGGTCCAGGGCTGGCCGTGACTGCTCCGTATGCATATACCTCCTCTTCTTTCGACTGCGCTCGGATTGGTACAGGCCTCTATTCGGAGGAGTAAAAGGCTCCTGGGCCAGTTGATAGCCTGCAGATCCACTGCGTTTTTTAAATAGTGTCGGGGGCCCAGTTGTAACTTTATCCGCTTGCGATCGTGTGCCAGGGGACGCTTCCGCTGATGAACGGCCAGGCCTCCCCGAAGCTCTTCTGGCCGTATCTTTCTGGGGCATTTAGGAGTGGTAGTTCCAATCAACTGCGCATGAGTCTATTATCTCTCAAGCGTAGCGGGGTGCAAGGCGCTTGATAAAGGTTGGTCGCATCCAGATCTGCTTGTAGTGCCCAAAAAAAAAAAAAAATTCGAGTGGGCTATGCTTTAAGGGCAGGTGTCAGATCGCGTTGGAACGCACCATACCGTGGACAGTCGAATAGATAGATGACTGGACTACAACATCGCACTATGTACTATCTGGTACTCCGTACAATGCAAGCTTCCGAGGTTGGCTTGACCCACCATATTTATTGGTACTCCGTATTTCACTGAGAATACTTTACTAATATCCGCTGATTCTCCCAATCACGGGACTGACTCAACAGCTTCCAAAAGGTCAAGCTTCTAGATTATAAATGCTCAATGCAATTGTGCACTCGTCCATATGAATTGTGTCCTTTGTTATACAGTCAGAAGTTGTGGAAATGTAGTCTACCGTACTTCTGTGTATTATAACTAAGATTAAAACTTAGGCCACGATAAATTCTAGCTACTTCGAGTTTGAGCATTCCTATTCCCAATGATCAGACACAATTCAACATTCACTGCATTGGGTCCACCTTAAGTATGTTGGAGGCTTGAGAAGGCGAACGTTGACAATGATGTCATATTTACATATAAGCTTATTCTTATAAAGGCATATTTGCATAGTTACAAGGCGTTGTCTTACCGTGTTGGTAAGGGAAGATTTATAGTCAAGAGGAAAGCTGTTCTAGTGTGGGAAATGGCATTTATAACTTCTAGAGTCAGTGCATTGTGTAGACGGTGAAAGGAAAACGGAAAGAAAAAAGCCTTGTGTCTACTTTCCGCGCTTGATACTCGATAGATATCTACTTAATCCGTCGACTATCTTACGTCTTGCTTACTATTCCACATTTCCGTTGCTTTAAAGTAAGGGTCAGGTGCCGATACCAGGTCATAGCTACCCAGTATACAGCGACGTCGCCGAATTGACCGGATCAGCTATTAAAAGTACCCTCGGGTGCCTGCGTAAAATTCTATTGATTGGGGTTTGGAGTCACAGGGCAAAGTGATCCAAAAGACATAAATTGATAGAAGGATGAACAACCACGTACCACCTACTTAAGTTAGTTATTGGCTTTAAAAGGTTCACGGCGGTCGGGGAAAAGCACTGTTCACGAGTTGGTACCCACTAGGGGCATATGGTACAAAGTGTGAAGAGGATATTTTCATTAGCAATTGTTTCGAGATGTATCAGATTAGGCGGAAACTCAGTCCCGAACTTGAAAGGCGTTTGTTTAATGCCCATACCCAAATCTTGGGCCGAAGTTGATTTTTCAGGCTAGCTTGGGTGCTCTCTCAGAGGATAATGGACGGTTCTAGACTGATTGCATGTGGTTGAATCCACTTCTATGAATAGTTTACCGCAGTACTACCGTGATACTCCGTATTACGATTGACTACGGAGTAGTACTAATAGCCAGCTTAAGTAGTCCCACTAACTTATTGTACCAATGAGGAAACGTTTTAGCCTCGCAGATTGTTATCCTGAGCTTTACATGCCTGCAATACTCTCTAAACTCCAACCCAACCCTTCTACCTTGGTAACAGGTTACTTCGCTGCAAATATATTTCCTTTCCTGTTTCTTCACCACTTTTCGTCTCTTTCATTTGTGGAAGGCAGGGATAAGCTACCATAGCCAAGACGAACGAGATGTCAGAAGCCACTCCCTCCCCCGCGCAAGGCGTTGGCCCCATCTACAGGCCCGATGGCGAAAAGCCCACAGCGACAGTATCTAAAGACATATCGTACGAGAATGTCCACGTTTTACCTCAGTCCCCTCAGCTGATCGCTCTTTTGACGTAAGATGAAGGCCGATTCAAAACTTATAGGCTAACACTAGTCAGTATCCTCTGCTGACCCCTTTCGTAGCATGATCAGAGATAGAAGGACTAGCCGTGCCGATTTCATCTTCTACTCAAACAGGATCATACGCCTCCTGGTGGAGGAGGGCCTCAATCACCTGCCAGTGGTTGAACAATCGGTCACGACACCTGTGGGTCGCGTCTATCTCGGAGTCCGGTTCGAAGGGAAAATATGCGGCGTTTCCATCATGAGAGCAGGAGAGGCGATGGAGCAGGGTTTGAGAGATTGTTGTCGTTCTGTCCGAATCGGAAAAATCCTTATACAGAGGGACGAGGAAACTTGCAAGCCAAAACTGTTCTATGAAAAGCTCCCTGGTGACATCGCAAATCGATGGGTGCTTCTTCTTGATCCTATGTTTGCAACAGGCAAGTTCTTCGACTCAACGCACTAAACGAACTAACACAAAACAGGGGGCTCTGCAACACTTGCCGTTGAGGTGTTGAAAGCAAAGGGGGTCCCGGAGGACCGCATTTTGTTTCTTAACCTTATCGCAAGCCCTTCAGGCGTTGCAGATTTTGCTGAACGCTTTCCAAAACTCAGAGTAGTGACTGCTTTCATAGATCAAGGCCTAGATGACAAAAAGTGAGTATCTCGGGTCTATAAAACCTACATTTACATTGCTGATCAAGGCCATTCTAGATACATCATACCAGGGCTTGGTGACTTCGGCGACCGCTATTACACACTGTAGCCATACCAACAAAGATTGTGGCTTCAGAAACCACTATGATATACATACATACATATGTATGAATAAAGTACACGTTTACAGCTTAACGATGTCGCAGCTGGATTCCATTCACAGTATTAGGGTATAGTATCTTCAACTAAGAAGTGTGCCGCAAGTTCAATGTTACTTCATTTGGTACGCTGCGGGATCCTCTAAGTTCAGAGTCAGTATTCATCGGCATATGTATCGTTCCGATCCGCTTCCTCGAACCCAACATCACGAGCACTGGGGGAAGTAGCGAAATCGTTCGAAGGTCTGACACGAGGATCATTATCCTCGTACTTGGTAGCAGTATCCTTGGCAACCGCGTCACAGGCATCCACCCAGTCCGAGTATACATCAACAGCAGCGGAGAGATCTAAGTATATATCATAAGCAAATGCCACTCACGTAGAAGAGATCATGCACGCACAGTTTATGCCCGTCTGAAATCGCTGACCGCAGACTTTGCAGGACAGGTTCCCTAGGCCAAGTTTCTTGTCTAGTTTTACGACGATGGAGTTTTCGTGATTGCAGAAAAGGCACGCAAATGTCGTAGGCAACGGTTCTCTCTAACTCAGTGTTAGCGACGGTAACGCCGAGGAATCAGAAGGTGGTCACCTTTCTAGGTTGCTGTGGTTGCCTGCTCGACTTCTTCCGCTTACCCTAGATTCATAGAAAGCTTAGAGAAAGGTAGATTGGCAATGTGTAGAGTGGCATACCATGCTTCAGAGTTTCTGGGTGACGCGACCGGCAATTCAAGATGTCCTTTGATACTGTAAGAAATTTGAACCTCTTGGGTTGACAGCTCAACAGCCGATGTGAGTTCAGCAGAGCAATGCACGAAACTGCTGCAAAGTCGGCGGCAAATTTATGTTGTGAAGGCACAAATCTAGTGAAACAAAGCGGTGCGAGCAAGTGACCGGACCGATTTTATCTGAGTGTGCTTCGCAGGCTATGAGGAAGTTTGAGTGCTTCAGTGGAGGACTAGGGATCTTCGGGGAGGGGGGCTAGACAGGTATAGCCTAATCATCCACTACATGCACTCCCCGAGACTGAAGAACACTATTCGGTGCACAAGGTAATGGAAAAGCAACCAGTTGGTTGACTGGTGGTAGATTAGTCATCGAATGGTAGTTAACCTAGTTAACTAACATTAAGATAACTGTAGAGTGACTAGTCAAATGATTAACTTAGTTCCCGCCCGAATCGGCCAGCCATACAACTTCATACAAAAGATATCTATAACATCTCGGCGATTATGAGTTAGCAATTTATGAATTAATCAATGGTTCTATTAGGTAGGTAATATATGTATCAGAATATTATCAAGATTTTTTCTTAATATAGGGTTATATAATGACTAGAGATCCTATATGCTAAGTTAACCTTAATAGTCACTGGAGATGAAACAAATGAAATGAGAACAAGGGGGGGGGGAAGAAGATCGAAAATATTTATTGTTGTTTGTATGATTTATATAAATTCCACAGATCTCTGCTAGTTGAGATACCGTGAACTGAGAATGGCTTTCGTATGGCGCGGGTGGTTGACTCGGGCGGAAAGTACACCACCGTACGTTACAGAGTATGAATATAACTACACTATGTAGCTGTGTAATGTGATGCATTCGAAGTTGTAACAATTAAAATTCTATATGGATAATAAAAGAGCCCTGGAGGAAGAGCCCTTGAAATCTGCAGAATACTGGTCTGAAGAGGTAAAGATATTAGGCAGCATAATGTTAAAATTTGTACTTTACTGAGCCACTTGACTCGAGCATAGACACCTGAGAATTTCGGGGAAAGCCTATACCAGTACAACCAGGCACTTGCAATCTCGAAGCTGTCCAAGTAATGGGAAGATACTCCGTAGAAACGGGGTAGATAAAATCATGTGATGTAAAAGTTTTGTCCAATCATTGTGAACTTTGGGGGGCTTGGTGGAGGCGCAAATATTATGTAACTGGATAGGGCCGACGCCTCGCTTAGCCGACTTTTCTGTGGGATTTCGATTTCTACTCTCATCCCGCGATCGAGCAGCAAGCAGCAAGCAGCGACAATCGATCCGACTCACCTCCACCAGAGCGTGTGGTGTGATATCCTAGTCTGTCTTCAAGCCGCGCAAGATAGACACGAGTCGCAAATATGGCCGTTGGAAAGTATGTGAACGCCCTACTCTGTTATGAATTTAAGTTGCAGCAATTCGACCGTATTGCGCTCTTGCTGATTTCATGGCAGGAACAAGCGCTTGTCGAAGGGCAAGAAGGGTGTTAAGAAGAGAACTGTTGACCCTTTCACCCGGAAAGACGAGTACTCTGTTAAGGTAAGTTGACGATTCGAGAGTTTGTGGATTTTGCTAACAAGAATAGGCTCCCTCTACCTTCCAGACTAGAGAGTATGGCATCGCCCCTCCCCCCATTTCGTCGTCAGGACTTTCAGATATTATTCAGCCTCGTTATAGACATATTTTCTCGCATTCTCCCTGTGCAAGCCAGTCGCTGACGTTCCCTTTGTTGAAGTGTTGGAAAGACTCTGGTGAACCGTACCAGTGGTCTGAAGAACGCGAACGATTCCCTGAAGGGCCGTATCTTCGAAGTCTCTCTTGCCGACTTGCAGAACGACGAGGACCATGCCTTCCGTAAGGTCAAGCTCCGCGTGGATGAGATCCAGGGAAAGAACTGCCTGACCAACTTCCACGGACTGGATTTCACGACCGACAAGCTGCGATCCCTTGTGCGCAAGTGGCAGTCGCTGATTGAAGCCAACGTCACTGTGAAGACGACCGATGACTATCTTCTCCGTCTGTTCGCCATCGCCTTCACGAAGAGACGCCCCAACCAGATCAAGAAGACTACATATGCTCGCTCGTCCCAAATCCGCGCTATCCGCAAGAAGATGACCGAGATCATGCAGCGCGAGGCCGCTAGCTGCTCTCTCGCTCAGCTTACCACCAAGCTCATTCCCGAAGTTATCGGTCGTGAGATTGAGAAGGCTACCCAGGGAATTTACCCCCTGCAGAACGTTCGTTTCCCTCGGTCCTCGTCTATTATTAAATATTTGCGACTCATCTAATGCTCCATTAGGTCCACATCCGCAAGGTCAAGCTTCTCAAGTCTCCCAAGTTCGACCTCGGTGCGCTTCTGAACTTGCATGGCGAGTCTACAACCGATGACAAGGGACACAAGGTTGAGAGAGAGTTCAAGGAACAGGTCCTTGAGAGCGTTTAAGCTCTAGCTATTCGCTGGTCATGGATTCTGGTTGCTCTGCCATCTTGGGTTCACGGTGCCACTGCTCCAAGTATGATAAGTTTATGTCAAAAGTAGTGTCGTTAGCCAACAAATGACAGTATATGCAAGTTGTTCACAACGCCATGCAGCTTCTCAGATAGGCCTTATCACTGGGACGTTTTAATCTTATTCATGGGTAAAGCGGAAGGGTAAACATTCTAGTTTGGTATGTTCAACGTTTGGCTGATATCCTTCCTAGTGGTTGATCACTAAATTGTAGATATTGTGAATTGAAGATACATCTGATTGGCGGCTTCTTTTTGCTATAGGACTTGTGCGTCCACTATCGGATGACCCCGTACTCGGTATATTTTAGGCTTCCAACTCCGCTTTCCTGTATATCGTGTTATATGAGCATCACACATGTCTTAGTGTAGGGCATGCGGAAGGTCGGCCCAGGCTTAAAGAAGAATAAAGCTTGGCAGTAATGTGTTAGAAGTCCCATGCTACATAGTTATCATTATTCAGGCAGCTTCTATACCTAAGGCTTTTCCCGCTGCCAAGAAATCGAATTCTCACTGGCCACATTCCTCAGTCCTTTACGGGGTTTTGCATGAACCGCGAGAACCGCTTCTACATGTAAGATCGCTTTTAGGTGCGCTCCGTGGAGGTCTTCTGCCCACCTCCTATGCTATCCGGCAACAGCCTTGAGTAACTGGGCCACATTGGCTCAGATGCACATCCGTTGTAAGCTTGGCCCTTGGAGGCGTTCAGGCCTCAGGGTGATAAAGTGCGGACAAATCTAAGGGCCGTGGCTTCAACGGCACCCTTTCTTTGTCGTCTGTACCCTCATTGCGAATAAAAATTTGGGTACTTGATATGAAGAAACCTGATATCAGTAGGGAAAACGATTACTCCCTTTGTTTGTCGGGATTTCCTTTGTTCATTTATTAATCATTCTTATATCTTGTTGGGTTCCATTCCAGCACCTTGCAGGCCGCGCTAGAGATCCTAATCAGCTTAGATCTGATTTCTTTGATTATAGCAGTAATCTATTGTCTATCTTTATATTATCAATATATCATAAGAGCAGAAATATTCTGCCTTATTTTAAATTTTTGTTTTTATTTAGCTGTAAGAGATGGGGCAGTCAGCTAGCTGTAATCCCAGTGACAGTATGGAGAAATACAATAATATAAGCTAACCTCCCTGAATCTCGATTCAGCGCGCCTTTAAAACACTTCTTATCTTCACATTTTCGTCTTCCTGGATCTAAATTTCAGCACATCTTTAAGTATTTCTTATTTTTATTTTCTTATCTTCCTGAATTTTGATTTAGTATACCGTTAAATATTTTTTACCTTTACTTCAAGAGACAAGTTATATTAAGATGTTACCAATCTATCTATAAGTAATATATTTAATATGAAAGAGAATTTATGTTGAAAGTATGTGATAGAATAGCCAGCTATCAAGACCAGGATCACCAGAATAATGTATTATAGTAGTTAGGAGAATTATAAGAATATTTTATATTTTATAAATTAATTATAAGATACAGATTTCTTCGTATAAAGCTACTGATTTTTTTTCAAATTAATCTATTCTATGGATATAAATTATCTTTAAATGAATCTTCAATCTATAATAATTAGCAATCAATTTCTTATTTAATTAACTGTTAGGGATTGCTCCTTAATGCCAAGGATATATCATCTATAGAATAAGAAGAAATAGCTGGTATTTTGTGATAGGATCTACTTGTCAGGGTAGAAAGCCTGTTGACTAGATAGAGAATCAGCCATTAAATATTGTATATTTATATAATAATAACAAAAATAGTCTATCTCCACAAAATAGACTGATTCTTGTAAGATTAGTAACTTCTTATAAAAGAATTAATTCTATAATTATTATAATATATCATCCTGATAACCTTGACCTTGATAACTAGATTATTTTATTATAAATAATATTTTTTTACTGGGATAAGCTATCTGGCTTAAATATTAAAGATAATTTTATATATTTTTAAATTAAAATAATAAAAGTTTAATAATAAAAAATAAAAAATAAAAAATTTATAAGATATATAATATAGACAGGATTACATGCTATTTCTGTATAATTTTATAGATATTTAAATATATTTATATAAGTAAATTTATTGTAAAAAATTATAAATAAACAGAATTCTTATATTATTATTTTTTTATCCTGTAGTTATCGTTTCTTTAATCTTTTATAATTGTTTTATTTATTTTTTATAATTATTTTATATACCTTTTATTATTTTTATTATTATAAATTTTAATTATTTAATAATTAAATATTTTTATAATTATTTCTTACTTTATTTATTCTTAAATTATATACTTTATATTAAGTTTTTTAATATATCTTTCAAGACGGCTTTTAAGAAGAAGATTTATATATTATAAAAATAATTTATTAAAATCTAATATTTTTTTATATATACTGTCTCTGTACTGTTAATATTAACTTTAAAATTTTAAAAAAAAATTTCTATAATATTAATTATTACTAGAATATTCACGCTTCAGTATTATATTATTAATATTTTAAAAAAAGATAAATATATTTCATGATATATATTATTTAATCTTTTTATTATATTAAATAAAATATCAATATTAGTTAGACTAATACAGAAATACTTAATAATATTTATAATTTTATTATTATTTTTAAATGATAAATAGCCCTGATAAACTCAGATTAATAAAATAAAAATATTAAATCTAATTATTATATTTAATTATATAAAAAGGGCCCACGCTTGCCAGTTTAATTTTAAAAAAATC